TTAAATAATCTTTGAAATAGAACCTTTTCAGGGCCCTGACGGCTAAATGATATTCAACTAAGTTTGTTCTTTCCCTGTTGATTGATCACTATTCCTGTTGGTCTACAAAACTGTTTTCCTTTTGTTGAAGCTAAAATAATGATGGGTCTGTTCAGTGTTGCCAGGAGTGTGGGCAAGGGGGCAGGCTTGTGTGGGGGGAAGGGGGAGAGTGGGGGGAGGGGTAGGGAGTGCGTAAGCAAGTGAGAGAGGGGGGGGGGAGAGGAAGGGAGTGGAGACGGAGAGATAATATTTTAAATATTTCATAATGTTTGTGAATGGTGAGAGAGGCGTGGATTACTTCATGGATCACTCGTGCCTGTATCTTTGTTGGTGTTCACGTTCGTGTACAACTTTTAGCATTCGTGTTTACGTAGAATTTTGGGGGTGAATTTGTGTATAAAAATGTTGGCGTGGTGCGTGTGTAGTAATGTGTTGTTGGAGCACTTGCAGCCTAGGAATATTGGTGTATGAATAATTTTACTTATATGGGGGTAAATAGTGTCGGGGAAAGATGTGGATGAATATATGTTCAACACCTGCGTCTCACAGGTGTTACCAGGTAAAGGCACTGCAGTAACACATGTTTTCAAAGGAAGCACTTGACGTCATGCCTCAACTGATACAGATGATTACCCCACACTGACCACAACAGTTGACCTTCACGTCCGCACCACCAACTAACTTCCACACGAGGCTGGTGGTTCAGCCCTGGGCGTCCCACGCTCCAGGAGAGGAAGCCTCAAGTTAGGTTTATTGAGCTCCCCCGAGGCCTACTACACATCACCTTCCCACACTTATCCACAACACTTGCCTGGATCTCGGGTTCCTATTTATTGCTAGGTAAAAATGTACCTGACCGTCTCTGCCCCGTCCGGGGATCGAACCATTGATCCTTGGTTGTGAGGTGACAACGTAACCCACTGTGGCACGAGTACACACGGACGCAAACCCTCAGACACAGTATTTATTATCTTGCATGCCAGGAGGCACGTCTGAGCCACAGACTGGCACTGTTGAGTACGCGGCCGGTTTAGACAGCTTTTCTGTTCTCGCAACACCTCCCCGTGGGACATGGACACCCAGAAACTTTCCCTGGGTGTAGTTGAGGACGGGTGGGGGCGAGAGGCATGACTATTGTGTACTGAGACGACATGGAGGGCAGTCAGGCGTGTGGCTTGTGAAGCCCCTCTTCTGACCCAGGGGATAAATCCTGTGTGGACCACAGCCTTATCAAGTCGAGATGGTAAACCTAACTCTAAGGTTAGAAATATGACTACACATTTTATGTAGCTGATGAATGGTTGGGGCTTTGTTGAAAACCATTCTCCGGAGAGGGGAAGAGGCGAGGGGGGGGAGTTGGTGAGAAAAGAGGTCATCTCAGCATACCAACCTTGAGGGGAGGAAGAAGTAACACCCCCACGTCCCCACACCTTAACATATGCAATAATAATAATACAAAAAACAGTGATTCGGTAATGCGTAAGTATCCACTAGGAAAATGAAACTAAAATTCCGAACGTTTTCGTGTTCCGCCACATTATCAAGTACAGAATTTCTTTGACATTTCTTAATAATGTGAAACACGAAAACGTTTGAAATTTGACTTATTTTCCTAGTGGATACTTACTCACCTGAGGACATGTCTCGTGAGAGTTCATTGACACAGTATATAAGTAATGGCAGGTCATCACGGCACAGCAGCAGGCTTAGTCACGCAAGGACATAAAACTCATTCATTTGGAGTGAGGTGCGGTCGGTGGGCAAGGTCCTATGGGCAGGGTTGTGAAGCGCTCTCACTCTGATATGAACCTTCAGCAGGTAAAGGTGAGGACCAAGCGACCTACCCCAGTAAGCCCGCCGCCTAAGGCAGCACGTACGCTCGCCTGCGCTACACCACCACCTCACTTTACTCCTACCAACTAAAGTTGGTTGGTGAGGGGACTGTCCCGTTTGGGAAAGGTTCCAAAGGTTATGCTAAGCCATTCTTGTCTAGAAATTATGATGCTTTTGTGTGTGTGTGTGTGTGTGTGTGTGTGTGTGTGTGTGTGTGTGTGTGTGTGTGTGTGTGTGTGTGTGTGTGTGTGTGTGTGTGTGTGTGTATCATTATGTTGGTGGCGTGTGGCGGTGGTGTCTCACTCGTGCACTTGTACGTCTGCCAAATACAATATGGCCGCATGGCAGTGTTGCCGCTCCATACCATGTTGGTGTCCCTGGCCGCGCCCACACACTCGCCATGTGCGGTCATAATTTGGCTGGTGCTAATGTGTATGATGCGGTGTGAAGGATGGCTCACTGTAAAGTATACATAATAGTGAAGTGTAGGTGGGGGCGCGTGTTTGTAAGACTTAGCATACGGGTGGTGGTGTAGAAGTGGAGCAGCTCACTAGGCTAGGGGAGAGGTGGGTGGGAGGGTGCGAGGGCCTCCGTCACTAACTAACACACAGGTGCGGTGAGCCAGCACGTTTTTAGTGGGGGGAGGAGAGGGGGGTCCGTTATGGCAGCAGCCACGTGTGATGTTACGTAAACTGGCCACCAGCGCCACCACGTGCGCGCGCATGGCTCCACCCTCTCCTCTCTCCCCCACTACCTCCTCCCCCCTCACCATCTACTATCCCTCCCCCCCTCCCTTCCTCACCACCTACTCACAATCTTCTCCCCCCCTCCCTTCCTCACCACCTACTCACAATCTTCTCCCCCCCCTCTCCACCTATTCTAACCCCCCCCCCACCTACCCCTTTAACCCCTTTAACGATCTACTTCTCCCTTCCATTGTTTTGCTTGCAATATCCCCTTGCGACCTACTACTCGTACTCCCTTACACCATTTACACCTCATTAACTCTCAAAAAATACTATGTCCCATTATCTTTTCCTCTTCTACTCCTCTCCTCCATTCTCCCTCATACACCTCCTCTCTTCCTCCTACCCCCCCCCCTCCCACCACCTGGTCTGCTGACTGAAGTGCTCTGCGGGCCACATCACACCTCTTAAATGACGTGTTTTGACGAAGGAACATTGCAAGGTTAAACGTCGCTGTTTTCCTAATGAAAGTAATTACCAAGCGGACAGCTGGCGCATGCCATAGACATGTGCTGACACAATGACTATATGTAGGTCAGGTTGGTGTAATGTTTTGTATTAGGTATTTATAAACACGATGCTTGCGGGGGGTTGAGGTTTGGCTCATTGGTCCCGCCTCTCAACTGTCAATCAACTGGAACAAAGTATGAAGATGTACTTTGGAAGTTAGGCAATAAGCGGCCCAGAATGATCTTGTTTGCCACTACCATCACGTGGCTGTCATCAAATGTAGTGCATTGAAAACAAGTGTTAATAAAAGGGGTTAAATGTAACAGTAGATAAGGTATGGAGTAAAGGGGTTGAGAGGGAAGAGAGGAGGTTGGCTGTGGCCTACGTGTGGAGCGAGGCGTGAGAGCTGGACTCTGGTATTTACTCTCCGACGTTGCCACTTGTTACATGAGTGGAGCCCCGCACCGCCACCCACTACACACAACCACTTGTTTTGTTCACTTCCAGCTGACCTGGGCTGCCTCTAGCCACCTGACTTTACACTAGCAGTGGCCGCCCTTTAATGCTATTGCTACTTGACACCACCTTACAATAACCTTACATTGGGCACCCAACACTTGTTAAGAAGGTTTGGTAGTTGCTAGTGGGTACCATTACACCCTGTTGTTTGTCAGTAGTAGCGCTCTACTAGTACTCCTCTAGTTGTGCTTGTGGGGGGTTGAGCTTTGGCTCTTTGGTCCCGCCTCTCAACTATCAATAAACTGGTGTATAGATTCTTGAGTCTTATTAAATCTACATTTGAAACCGTGTATGGAGTCTGCCTCCATCACATCACTGCTTAATGCATTCAATTTGTTAATTACTCTGATACTGAAACAATTCTTTCTAATGTGTCTGTGGCTCATTTGGGTACTTAGTTTCCACTTGTGTCCCCTTGATCGTGTCCCACCCGTGCTAAAGAGTGTGTCTTTGTCCACCCTGTCAATTCACCTGAGAATTTTGTAGGCAGTTATCATGTCTCCCCTTACTCGTCTGTCTTCCAGGGACGTGAGGTTTAGCTCCCGTAGCTTTTCCTCGTAGTTCATACCTCTCGGTTCTGGTACTAGTCTGGTGGCATACCTCTGACTCTTCTCTAACTTTGTCTTATGTTTAACTAGTGTGTGAGGTTCTTTGTGCTCTTGTTAGGTTGAAGTGATCTATTTCATGCATCATGGCTCTTCCATCTGAGATTTATAAGCCAACTCTAATGTGAGGTGTAAGCATTAGTATAGAGGTGCTAATGACCTCGTTACTACAGATTACTTGGCAATGAGCACTTCTTGTCTCACAATCTGTTATTAGTTTCAGATTGTCTATTGATATTATGGTTCTATTTTAGCTAGTGTGACTGGTTCATCCTGGTATTTGTTAATTCGCCTTGGAGAGCATTGGAGTTTATACAAAGTGTGTGTGTGTATATAGTATATATATATGTTAATTATTATTATTAATAAATATTATAATGTGATTGCTAACTGCCATATGATGGATAACAACATTTCATTCACCTGGACAATGAGAGCCTGGAACTACCAACCACATACACCGTAGCCCCGCAGCTCTACCTGTCTACTGAGCCACCGTCACTTTTCATTTTAAGGGTGTTCGTGGCTCAATAGGTAGAGAGCTGCGGGCTACGATTTATGCAATTTATCGTATAGGACCCCCGGGTTTACCGTATACTGAACAATAACTGAACTTTAGTTTGCCGGGCGTTACGAATAATTATAACGCTAAATGTTTTCATATTCCTCATATGTATTTTACTCGCTAATATTTTTGTGATTATAGTGTATACAGCATTCAGATATTGTAATTTTCTTTTAATTCTATGTTGTGTAGAAGTGGAGATGTGTGTTGATGGTAAATTAATGTTTATTGTTGGTGTTACAGATGAGGGTGGTGAGGAGGGTGTCACAGACGAGGCGGCCAAGAGAGAGGTGGTGTTCCGCAGGGCGCCTGACACCTACAGTAGAAGTGCACCCACCAACACCACCCACCACCACTATCACCACCACCACCACCACACCAACAACCATGGCGGTGTGGCCTCCACCACTCCGCCCCCCGCCACTCGCACTGCGCCCTCAAGCCCTGGCCACGCCCGCGAGGAGATAGGCCAGCAGCGGCGGGTTCCGGCGTTGACCCCGCCCATGGCGGGGGGAGTGAGGGGTGTGAGTGTGGGGTGTGGGCAGCAGGGGGCACAACAGCAGACGTCGCCAAGGACATGTTTGTCATATCCAGGTTCACCTGCGTCCTCCCCTCCGCACCTGACAGTGACCCCTCGGGGCAGCGCTGCCTCGCCGCTTGGGTTACTCAGCGCCTTCCGTCACGACTCTTCGTCCTCCTCCTCTTCCCCGCCGTCATCCGCCACCTCTGGCCCCGCCTCAGACCCTGCTCTCACCCGCCTCTCTCACGACGCCTTTCAGCCTCATCTCACCAATGGCCTCACGCGGCCCAACGGACTGAGCAAGTCCCTCTCCCTTTCTCCCTCCTCTCACAACTTCACTCATCACGGCCTCTACTCCCCGGAGGACCCCGCCTTCAAGGACGATAAGAAGCGCTCGGGGTGAGTTACCTCATGTCACTCCCATTATACCCCACACTGTACATATACCCCACACTGTACATATACCCCACACTGTACATATACCCCACACTGTACATATACCCCACACTGTACATATACCCCACACTGTACATATACCCCACAATACATATACCCCACACTGTACATATACCCCACACTGTACATATACCCCACACTGTACATATACCCCACAATACATATACCCCACACTGTACATATACCCCACAACCTCTCACACAATAATATATGAACACAACCTACAAAACTGACTTCAAGTAACCCCAAGCTCAGTATTTAATATTTAATTAAGTAAGCTACTGATCTGGGATACAATATTAAGCTCTAATTACTGTAATATGATTAATATTAGTTGGAAATTTAGTTTTGTTATTGCATAAATATTATAGTTTGAGAAAAAAACATAAATCATGGTGGATAGAAATAAAATAAAGTATAAATTATGGAATGTGAGAAGTAAAATGAATGATAGAGATGACACATTGGTACAGTTGGCGAGAAGTGAAACTGCAGGCTAACCATAGCCCGTGCTTCTTGCCCCACTCCTGTGCCAGGCAAGTTATGGGCTCACCATAGCCCGTGCTTCTTGCCCCGCTCCTGTGCCAGGTAAGTTATGGGCTCACCATAGCCCGTGCTACTTGAAACTTGTTCCGAGTAGCTGAATCTATGACAACAACAACAACAAAGTGAAACTGATGATTAAACACGTTTTCTCCAGGAGTACGCCGTCACGGGAGGTGCACAATAAGCTGGAGAAGAACCGTCGGGCACACCTTAAGGAGTGTTTTGAAACTTTACGCAGACAGCTGCCTTCCATGGATGACAAGAAGATATCCAACCAGACTATACTAAAGGCTGCCCATAGACACATCCAGGTGGGTACTGCTACATATTATGGCACTACCGTACAGTAGTTAACAAGTAAACAAACATTATTGAATACCAGAGAACCGAATAATTAACTCTGTTGGCACACAAAAGAGCCATCATCGGTCTAATGCTAATTAATCCTCTGTACTTCTCTAATTGCATTAAATATGTATTTTGTAAAAAGAAATACAATATCATGGTGGGATATTATTTGAATAACTATCAAAACTGCTGAACATGAAAGGCAACAAACTCGTTTCATAAAAGCAAGATAGGCTTACATTATTTTTGTACCACTAAAATGTGGCTCACCCATAATGTTGTAAATTTGTATAGAAATTATAGGCCTACATATAAATAAATGTCAAATCAGATATTAAATTGCCAATAATTTCTAATTAAAAAAAAAGTCCAACAAACTTATGTTTGTCGTATCACTGAAAATGTACTCTGAAAAATGTCATTCACAAGAAATACATAAAAAATGTAACACAATAATCGACTAAATCCTTACTTTACCTATACAGTACCAGTATTTATGTATTGAAGTGCAGGTTTTAATGGTCAAAACTTTCCTGTAATCATTCAATTTATATTATTTTTAATTTAATAGGTTGTGTCATAAGTTTCATTTACAAAATAGTGGTCATATAGTAAGAATACCCTTAGCTGCTTATTTGACACTATTAAATAACTCCTATACAGTATTTATATGGAAATCTTGTCTTTTTAATTTTATGTATCTTTTTTTACTTGCAAGTACAGTACATGTCTTCTATTTCGAGTATTGTTAGTAAATTTAGGCCTCTTAAATTTTTTTTCTCAATTATTCAGTAATTTTCTAGATTAACCTAACTAACGTCCATTCAATTGGATCGACTTTATCAAAGATGCAAAGAAATAAGTTAATATTTAAACATGGGATATATATAAATACTCTGGTTTGCTCTTAGCATTTTAAAACCTCTAAATCCTTTATTTCATCACCAAACATCCATCAAGATTTGTTTGGGATTGAGCTTAACCATTTCTAAAGTTGCCAGGTTTGGTATCCAAATTAAATTTAATAATTTTATTTTCAACTTTTTAGTATTTTTTTTTTCGTGCTTGCGAATACTTTTAAGTATAATGTGTATAGTTTCAAGGATTTTTTTTTTCACATCATAACTGGTTTGTACAGTATTTTCAAGATCTAATATAGGACTTCATATCTTTACATGCAATCAAAGAGCATGTGGTTTTAGATAATTTGTTTATATATATATATACTGTAATTCCATGATCTCAAGGAATTTGGTAGTTAAAAAATCTTTAATGGTGAAACTTTGTCATTGACAGACGTTAAAAAGAAAAGAGCGTGAATATGAGCACGAGATGGAACGCTTAGCAAGGGAGAAGATAGCTCACCAACAAAAGTTGTCAGCACTGAAGAAAGAGTTGTCAGCACGATGGGACCATATTGACTTTAATGCCTTACTCCCAGACATGGCATCTCTAGAACAGCATCGAGACAAGGAGACAAAGTCGACCACCACTGCTTCAGAACAACCAGACTTGGAAGATGATTCTCCTAGGGATGCTGGCACGCAAGCCACCTCGGTTAATGTACCATGCACACACACGCCACGTCTGCATGCCGAGCCTTCTCGCGGCACCGCCACTTTTGCAACCATAAATAATGATGGGAGTAACAGTATTGGTACTTCAGGGTTGGTACCTTTAAGAGAACATTTTGTAGACCCAAACCAGCCATTAAATCTGTCAACCAGTATTGTTGACTCTTCAAGAGTGTCACCTCGGGCACAGCAGATAATTTCACAGGGACGATCTCCACACAACAGTAGTGAGTGGGGCTCGCGTCAAGCATCACCACACTATACATCAGCCACATATACTACTAGTAGTGAAGAAGACACATGGCCATCCTCAGATATTAGTACTGTGGCACCTACCTTAACACGGGAAACAATAACAAGTGTACATAGTGAGCACTTGCCTATAATGGGAAGCACAGGGATCCATCTGCCAGCACAACTAGTGGCAGGTGGGATGCAACTAAATGGTGCACCAGGTGGACTATTAGGTCAGCCAGCCATCCAGGTTATCACTCCAGAGGGTTATAAATTGTTGCCTGCGGACCATGCACCAAATGGTACCAAGCCACTCACAATCACACTTGCACATCCAGGTAGGTTAATATTATAGTACATTTTTTATTTGAATAATATATAAAAGCCATTACATTTGTTAGAGAATGAGTATCATATGTCAAATTGCAACCCATGCAGTTTATCAAACAATTTTGAACCTTCAGCAGAAGGACTCGAGAGGGGAGAGAATTCTGACGATGTGAAAACTAGTGCAGCTCCAATGATGGTTGCTCTTAACAAAAATGGTGTATCTGCACTACACTTGGCAGTTCCAACTGCCCGCTCACTATCTCATGCACAAGGTCAGTTACTGTTATAGAATAATGTGGAATATTGTGTTTATAAAAAGGCTACAGTTCACAGGGCTATATAGCCATGCTAACTTAGACTTCAGGGAACGATATATACTGGACCTGTATTCCGTAAAGATTTAGATTTTTACATTGCATTTGCTAGACAAAATGATTAAAGAATCAATATTTGTGTAATCTAAAGGATTAGTTGAAACAAAGCGGTTTTGCTAATCCAGTGAAACAAGGCAAATTAGACATTTTTCAATCTTCAAAGGTTATTTTTCTTATTCTCATTGAAGACCTGCTTTGTACCCATGATCTTCACTAAATATAAGTAAATTGCAGCTTTTCATTTAGAAAGATAGATCCTAGAAAATTTTGTTAATGTTGACCGATTAATAAGGATGGTATTTTTCAAGTTGCTAAGATATGCCATCCTTTTGAAAATGAGTCCATTACTTTAGGATTGATGGACCATTTGCTATTGTGTTCAATCCTTCCTAGTTATCATCTTTATACAAAATCCACCTGTAAATGTTACATAACACAATTCTGTAAACCTTGTTTAATAATGAGTACATATGCTTCTACTTATAGGCACCAATGGAACGGTTCCTCTGAACTTGAGTGTAGGAGGAGCTCCTACAGTGAAGGTGACACAAGCAGCTACATCCTCTCTCTTATCTTCATATCTGCCCATAACGCATGCCAATGGTGCGTTTTTGTTTGTAACCTTAAATAGTTAAAGGATCATAACTAGTTTACTAATTAACGAATAAAAACTTCAGACATCTGATTTCTTTATTAACAGACATGTTACAACTTTGCCAAATTATTTATTCTTAACAAATGATTTTTATAAAATTATTAAATACTGTACACTTAATTGAAACCTGTTGAATATATTAAACCCATCTTCTGTTAATAAAGCAGCTAGTGATGAGATCTAATGAAAGTAATCATGGTGTACAAGTAGGAAGATATTTTGTAACGAGGGAAGTTATCCTGTGTAAGATATGACAATTGCAGTATTAAATTTTGAAGCTTATTAAGCATTGCCTGACACTTGAGGTTTAAAATCATACTTTGATCTAGAAATATTAGTTATCATAAATTAAATAAATGCAATTGATTTGGTTTTGAAATTTAATAATTTATTCCTAAATACATAATTTTTTTTTTTCATTGGCAGGCATCACACAGTTGGTGTCTGGTCTCGGCGGTAGCATGGGAACGCTTGTGTCAGGACTAGGCCCTCCAATAGTTACACCCTTGGTGGTATCCCAGCCACAGCGGGCTGGTGTGCCAGGAACTGTCACAACAGTAAGCAATAAGGGTATAAAAACTGCTAACATGGGAGGCAGTGCAACCAGTGTGCCACTGGTATCAACGCAGTATACCACTTCCCTTGCTAGTGGTCTAGGTGGACTAGTGAAACCTGTGGTTGTAGTGTCTGCTCCAGCAGCAGTTACCGGACTGATGGCAGGGGCCCACACGGTGGTCTCTGGCAAGCCCTGATGTGCACCTCATACAGACAATCCCAGGAGAGTACAAGCCATACCTCAGCTGTGGGCTGGACAGGAGGCTCTTTGCCTCAACTGTTGCCCACTTTCACCACCACTCTCATTCTTCATCGTCATACTTGTTATCATGAGAAAACTAGTACATATTTTCATGTTTTATTTTTATGAGATGTAACTTGGCATTTATGTCAAGTTTCTCTATGTACATTTTCATTACCGGTGATGTTGGAGATAAGGATATCTAGTTATTCTTAATTTTAAAGAAAATTTTATTAGCTAAATTATTTTATAAGGTGGCCAGCATGGAATCCAGGCTGCACCAGGAAGTGTTGTACTGAAGGTGATGTATGCCTGGACTAGCCGTCAGTCTTTGGCAGGTCACCAAACTGTGATAGTGGTTCATCTAGCGACTCTTTGTTTTCCGAGAGTTGCTGGGTAGGACTCGATTATGCTGGTGGATGCACACTGCTCAACATGGTGCTAGCCACCATATTTGTGTTGCACTCACTGGTGTATATAGCATCACCCACCTGGTTGTTGGTGTTATTGTTATCAAACCTTGTTGTAAATGTCTTATCTTGATTATGTATTGTGTATGTATGCCATTTTTTTTTTTTTTTGACTAAATGATCCTTATAAAGGTGACTAAATGTTACTGTGGCTCCCCTGATGCTCTGCATACAAAGTGTGCAAGAGTCGACAATTGCTGACAGTGATATACACCCGCTCAGGGTGACGCAGTTTCCCCCCTCTTCCTCAGACCTGCCGCCCACCTCACCAAATATCTCAAGTGTACAAATTCAACTGGTAATCAGTTGTTACATGCAAGTGTATTGGCTGCAGTCTATTGTACCAAGTGTTTGTGTCACTCTGGGCGGCAGTACTATGCCAGATCTCAGGGTTGACAGGGACCTACAGGCCCCTGCTCACCTCAGTGCAAACAAGCCATACCCAAACCCTTTAATTGATAGTAAAATGTTTCAAATGTCTTTAGTTTTTTATTCATATCCTACTAACAAATGCAATTGATAGCTGCCTTATATAGGACTAAGGATCAAACTTTTAATAGATAATTATAAATGAATTTAGTTTCCATGAATTGTTTTAAATTATCCGACACCATTCTAAAATGTTTAGAGATTGTTTCAAGTTTAGATATGGCTTAAAAAAGCATAATAAAACATAATAATAATTAACACATTTATTGATAACTAAAAAAGAATATTGCTTTTACTTGACTAAGAATCATTATCCTCAACTTCTTCCTGCCTCGATGATGAACGTACGATTAATTTTGGCTTCTGGCTCTTGTAATGCAACATGAAGACTACCATCACTGTACAGGAAATAATAAACAATTTAATTTCATTGACACTAACAGGATTTACAAAGTTAATTATGACTAGTAACAAGTGTGACAACATCACAGCACTGATTAACTTCACAATAACAAAAATCATAGTACAGTATATATAAACCAATTATTCGTGGAATACAAATTTTTGTACGTGTAATTCTGCATATGCTAAATAAAATTGAAGACTACTCTAATAATTCAGAAGCTTTGTGTATGGTCATGGGATATGATTGTATCCAAAACTCTGCCACTTAAGCTTCAAAATTAGAGAGATGAAGGAGAGGATCTCCAACACAAGTACATCCCTCACCGGCAGTACAGGTGTGTGAAAACAGCCCGTTCTCCCAACATCACCGAATTATTGTACAGTAGTACTATATTGCCCGAACCTAAACTACCAGAGGACACATGAACATAAAATGGGACACAACGTCAATATTGTGAGCCACTACCACTTTTAGTACATCAGTTTTCGGCATTAGGGAAATTGTCGAAATGTGATGTACTACAGCTATTCACAATAGGTTAGATAAAATGCCTTGTGATCAGCCACAATTTGGTTATGGTTGCTGGGTGGCAGTCAAGGCCTGGAAGTACATGAGCAGGATTCAGTAAGAGTATTCAGACATGCTTGTCAAACTAGAAAATCTCATTCTTCAGAAAAGGCTGGCTGTCCTACTAGCAAACCATCACTGACGAGTGTCTCCCCACATTCAGAACGGCCACCATCACAACTTTATTTAAGCACTGTCAAAGATGTGAGAGGTTGTTATTCAACATGTTGAAGTCCACCCACTTGACATGGGTAAGGTGGGAAAAACCCAAACCTGTTACACAGTTGTGCAGATCTCTGGTTTTTCTTCTACCAAAAGGACTATGGCCCTTCCGGCGGAAGCAGAAGTACTTTATCCACAAAAGGGAAGAATCGTTCAGTTATCTGTAACTATAGACCAGTGTCACTGCCTTCAGTCACTGACAAATTTCTTGAGAATTGCCCGAGAAATGACAAGTCATCATTGATTGTTATAAAAAAAACAAAAAATTGCCATGTGGTTGACAATAGGGTTCTGTGAAAGGAAGTCCTGCTGCTTATATCCTCTCCATAAAGTGGCATCAGTCACTGGACAGTGCTCCTAAAAATGAGCACTGTTACTGCATATACACTGCAGTGCCTTCAAATGGGTATTGCATTTTGCTTGTTGCCCAAGCAATAAGCACTAGATATCAAACTCCATTTGACAGTCCCTTAAGAGTAGACTCTTATTAGCTATCTTAAACAATAGTCTTCAAAGGAGCAAAATTGGAAAGTCAATCTTACAGTACCAGTGTACCCCAGGCTAGCATGTTTGTCCGTCAACCAGACATGGCCCACCAAAACAATTGCACCATAAAAGCAGCACTGATTGTATAGTGGCAAACAACAGATGAATATATTGACTTCTGTATAGGGAAAGTCAAGAAGTAATCCTTGAATAGTGAAAACATGGAATGAACTGAAGGGGGTGATTGAGACTAACGTAAAACTATAAAAATAGTTGTGGAACATTATTGCTTCCTAAAAATTTTCATTAGATATACAAATGTGAAAAGGAGACCACACAAGAATTCTCCCTACCAGCGAGCACATAGGCAAGAGCTTCAAAAAAAGAAAAATGCTGATACACTGTGACCAGAATAAAATAGCAGCACCAATCAAAGCCTAGTGCCCTAACCTAGTGGAGTTTGTGGTAGAAAAACAACTTTTAACCTTTAAAACTTTAAACCTTTAAAAACATTTAATTTACTTTCAATTGTAATTATACAAGCTAAGAGCTAACAGGGTCAATTAAACATGCAAATTTAAGAGATTTAGACTGACAATCTCATGTCAACAGACTGGAGGCACAAATATCACAAACTTGTAAACAATATAAAGTTATGTGCCATTGTTCATTCACCAGAAACCAAAACACTGATTAAGGCACTTCAATTATAACATTTGAGTGAAACATACCTCTTTAAATGGAAGTCCATTTTCAGTAACTTCGAGTCAGTAGTCAGACTTGTGACATTAACCTGTGAAAAAAAATCATATTAAATTCTACCAAAGCATACTGACACATTCTCCAGGTAAAGATGTCCCACTTTACTTATAGTCTTGTACTGAATTACTTGGACTTTTTTTTTATATACTGTATATACAATATGGACTCAATAATTTTTCCCACCACAAATTTGTTATGGCACACTAAAAATCGTAGGTAATTTTCTTACTTGCAATGTATGCAATTAGTTTTTATAATAAAATCAGTGTTGAATGTAATAAAATGCCTCTGTGGCTCCTTGAAGGCATTTCACCGAGATGGCTTCCTACTACTGCATCACAGCAGTCAGATTTTTTTTGGAATACTGGGGACCAGAGCTAGAACCTGGCCCCCTCCTCACAGAGGGGTTGAGAATTGGAGGGAGCTATCATCACAATACTGAGAAAGCACCCAGAAAGTAAGCAAAAAAAAAAATGCAGGCAATGAAAGATTTTTAGAAAACAAAACAGCAAACGGTCTAACAAATTCATTCAAAATAATGGGTTCACTCCAAACTAGTTACTGAGCTAACCTGATAAAGATCAGAGGAGCCAAATTCAAGTCAAAGGGCAGAACCTAGTAGTGGTAAGCTTTAATTTAACCCCATCAACCATAACCAGTCCTAGAAACTATGATGAATAGACATGCCAGTATGTATTTTTGAGGTTCAGGGACATCATCCAGGAATCTGCCTGCAAAACCAAGTGAACTTGAGCTAATGTGGTCATGCAGAAGGTCAGACAGGGAATGAAGCTGTTCAGTCCTGCTTGGGGACTGGGGAAACAACTGGGACACCCATCTAAGAGATGAGGTTAACTTGACCATGCCCGAGTCCAACTACATCTCAATGACCTTGCAGAGCTGAGAGGACTCTTGACCCAACACCCCTCAACTTAACAGGAAGATAGACAAACTCCTCCAAAGATTCTGAGACCACCCAGTGTTCCTAAGTCATGGGACCAGGAAGTGGCAAAACAGGCCAGACATCCCGCACACAGCACCATCAAAGGGCTGGCATGAATACCCATGAGTTGAGTCACCCTTACTGCTAAGCAAAATGGCAACGACAAGCAGAGGCGGCAACAGCCAAAGAAAAGGAGGTGCACGGGGCTCAAGAATCCGACATGGTCAGAGGCCTGTTATGACTAACAGAAGGCCCCAACCCTGTCAGTACCATCTCAGCACGAGAACAGAAGCCCTCTGCAATAAAACCTAACAGGCAGCAATGCCACAGCAGTCAAAATAACTTTAGAGAGAGAGCCTCCTCAAGAAGCAAGAAACTTTAGTAGATCTGCTAAAGCCAGATGCCAGAACTTTCAAGCAGTCATACCTTGAGGTTACCTTGAGGTGCTTCCGGGGCTTAGCGTCCCCGCGGCCCGGTCGTCGACCAGGCCTCCTGGTTGCCGGACTGATCAACCAGGCTGTTGGACGCGGCTGCTCGCAGCCTGACGTACGAGTCACAGCCTGGTTGATCAGGTATCCTTTGGAGGTGCTTATCCAGTTCTCTCTTGAACACTGTGAGGGGTCGGCCAGTTATGCCCTGCCATGCCATGGAGTCAATCTGAAAACAGCTCCAAAACAGCCCAACTGAGTATGATAGCTGCCACGTGGGCACAAGCCCAGTAAGGACTCCAGTGAACACAGGCAGTTACACACACAGCTGCCACTTGACCATGTCCTTGGGGAGCACTGAAGTAAAGCAGTAATCCTTAAGTGGTGCATAAGGAACACCAAATAAGATGAAAAACACTTGGAAAGACAACTCACTTCCAGCCATTGAAGCATTTAGGTTATAATTTATACAAAGCTCACAAGGAAAGAAGCGGGTTGTCAGCTATCCAGGATGAATCAGGAGGCTCATACCAAAACCAATATACAGAGGCAGAACGAACTCTAATGAGGCTAGGTCCATCAACAAGCAAGGTCTAAATTCTGCAGGAGGAATTGAAAAGGTCTTCAAGGTTTACAACAGCAGGCAAAAGTTGGGATGACGGAAACCTCTGGAAATACAATTCTGTGGAACTGAATAGTACACGGAAGTGCACCAAAGCAATAACAAATATTGGACAAATGAAGCTTGAACCATTGCATATCTTAGAACAAGTTAGAGCTGTAAGAGACCTATTATAGCCCTAAGATATCAAGAAAAATAATGACTTCATACTTCACAAAATACAAGATTAAAGTCAACGAGACAGAAGTCCCACTTATAAATGACCTTTTAATACCTAAATGTAATGTTTGATGCATTCACATACAGTACTGTAATGAGATAAAGTAAAAAAACTGCAACATGTCCCTCACGCACCTGGACTAGTACGGCCTCTTCCTGTGGTTGGTTTGCCGCCTCTTCTGCTTCATAAATAACTACTGAGCAGCTGCTGGGGATGGGGGATGGGAGAGCCAGGTTTAAACTCTGGCGGGAGTGAGTGGGAGTTCCTCTGCTAAATACACACTCGCTGTTTTCACTACCCAGAATCTAGAAGAAAATTTTTAATGTACTTATATTTTCCAAATATCTGAATTGCTTTCTTTATGATAAAACTGGGAAGAGAGCAGTGCAACAGCACAAACTGTTTAATTGTTCAAAGAATATAATATTGTGTGCAAATATTACTGACAAATATATCTGTGCATAACAATGTTTTACAAGTTCTGTGATACAAATAACATTACTGACAGCCTAATAAATCATTACACTTACACATTAAAAATTCACTGTCAAACACTGATGGGCGAATATAGCATAATAACAGCAAAAACTGTTTTACTGCTCTAACCATATATTATTGTGTAAGTGTTAGTGACAAAATATATTTGAGCACTCTAATTTTCCACACAATTTATAATATAAATTTGTGAAGTAACACTATTGAATAATATTACAAATCAAACAAATCAACAAATCTGAGAAAAAACAAATCCGACATTACATAAATAAAGTATCTAAAACTATCTTCACTGCAACTCCTGTGCCGTGGCAGGGCTGTGCAGTCCACCACGGGGCGAATACGAACACTAGTGACTCGTGTTATTTCCGGGCTTCACCATGCCAAAAGCAAGTCAAAATATTTATCCCCGTGATTAGGAAACATATTTGAACAATATTAGAAGGAAAAAAATTTGGGGAATTTGCCTTCCCCACACACTGGGGGAACAGGAAATGTCTGCAGAATGACAGCTATAAACAATAGTGCAGTGCTGGGGTTAATCTGCATTTCTTAGATCAGGGGCCGAGTTACTCGGCCTCCTTGTGAAGGACTAACGGGTTTACAACTAACCAACAGGTTGTGGGGATCAACAGTGTCTGATGGCTCCCCCAAGAGGGAGGTGTTCACACTTAATTTTAGTCAACTGTATACAGTTGCAAGGGTGTGTGGGATGAGAAGTGCCATGAGAAGTAGATTGTAATGAGATCATGAAGTCACCTGTTAATAAGGAAGGAAAGACAGTGGAGGGGTGAACCTAGAGAATGAGGGTGAGGGGTTATCAAGAAGAAAGAGCAAGGCTCTAACAAATGATACTAGCACAAACACCAAGTTGTCATACATCATATTTGTACATCATACAAATCTTGGGTAAGATAAGGGGTCAGCTATTCCTCCTGTGTAAATACCTATGCAGAGGAGAATTCAATGAAAATGCCATGCCGTGTGCCATTTAGTACTGCATAATGGACACACTTATCTGGCAAGTGTATCCCCCATCACTGGAAAAAAAACTAGTTTTCCACCAGTGCTGTATTTCTGTGGCTACCTTTACATAGACTCCATGTTCCAGCTCCATGATGTGCTCTTTCCTAGGTTTACATCAGATTCCTCACAATTTGTGAAATCCAGAGTCAACAGTTTACTTGTTAGACGAGGTATCTCCGTGGAGATTATCTGCCCATGTTAACACAGTACACGTTTTATTAAATGTTAGCGAGGTGTTGAGAAGTTCTTGAACTTCTTAAGAACAACATCTTGTTAAGAAATTGTGTTAAGGTGGCAACTTGAGTGGTTGGAAGCCAAGTGTTTTATATATAAATTTTTAGACGAGAGCATTTAGTGTTTGATCAAAATTGATATACTTTTATCTGTTTAACTTGAGACTTTTGTTACAGTATTTCAATACATTAAGTTAGTGGCGACAAGTTTTCTTTATACCACAGGCACGTAATTACTTTCCTGACAGCACATCCAACTTTAACTAGTATCTCATTGTCTATCAAAATTTCAAAGTATTTATGATATAATAGTAAACAATTATTAGTTATATAATTTTATCTAATAATATAAATGAATTAGTGTGTATAACTGTAGTATAATTGAAGTATTAGGCTTCTGATTTCAGATTATTTGATTGAGATATATATATTACAGTAAAAAAAATATCACTATTCATGATATTCCTTTTACCATAAAGAACCAATTTTAAAAATTAAGAGTTTTATAAAACCATTTCTAGTTTTTCCAATGATACCAAAGAAATGACTTTCAGTAATACTTGTTTGCTAATTTATGAAAGACAAAACTTGTTTGAATTTTTCTGGCCATTTTAAACTCTCATGTTTATGTCTATAGTCTAAATATAAAAATATAAAACTTAAAAACCTGTTCTAGAGTAAAGTTGACTTGGGGCCTTAAAGACTGTTTTCAGTAACAATTACTTCTCCAATTTGGAAGCAGCAAGAGATATTCTCACAATCATTCATTAATTCACCGACGGATTATTATGCCTAGTGCTCAACCTCACCAGTTATTATGCAAGTGTGAAGTGTGTTAATTGAAAATCATTAACCAATAAATGGGTAGTTAACCAATATTGTTGTAGGAAGTTAATTCCCAGTCATTGGATTGAAAAGAGGAGAAAGAGGGGGAGGAGGAGGTGCAAGTGGTTAGGACACAGAGGAGAGAGAGAGAGTACGGTAAAATTAGGGCTAGAGAAGTAATGGATAAATACAACAGAACAAAGAAGATAGTACAGAAAAGAGTAAAGGAAAGGCCGAGGAAGAGGTTAGTCAGAAAATATACAGTATTGTCATACCATACAAAATACAGATGCTGCTAGGGCTGGGACCATGGAGGAGGTGGTCGGAGAATGACTTGGCTGGCCCAAGAGTAGCGATGCTTCTGTAGATGCACCTGCAGCCAGCACTTCATCAGGAGGAACTGTACACAGAAACTCAGCTTGAGGGAATGCTTCTCCCACAAGTTGCTGCAAGCGAGGGATTTTGGCTGATCCACCAGTCAGTATAATCTAAAAATTGAAGCCAAGCATGAATTATTAATTGTCTATAAATCTAATGGTCACATTTCATTTGCAAATACCTGTACATGGCCCAATGTGTTTATGAAAAACACTTTTATACAGTAATATAATAAATAACTATGATTCACTTAGAAAATTAACTATGATTATTCTGCAAAATCTAATTCTTCTCTGTAAATAGAGCCTGTATTTTATGAGCCCCATACTTTTGAGAATAGCAATGTTCCACACATTTAATTATATAAATTCCTGAAATTACACACTAATGAATAATATTACTGCAAAAAATTAATAAAACCATTCACAGACACCGAAATAAATATGTAAAAATGTATTTTGGGCAGACACCGCCACACACAGCTGTCAGCCACTAGGCTGACCTTCAATTCTTGCCCTATGAATATATAAACTCAACACACGATCTTTGTCGTTCATCATGGTGCATAAAAATGTAAATATTTATATATAACGTGTATATAGTGTTATAACGGCAAAAACACTGTTAAATTGATCTAGGAATATAATACATATACATGTTACCATATATGAGCTCCACAATTTTGAGCAGTGATGTTCCACACATTGAACAATATAAATTCCACAAATTACACAATTTTGAATAATATTACCAGAAACCAGAGAACAAACAAATGTGAGACATTGAAATAATTATGAAAAATATATTCGCAGCAACTGCCACCCCACGGGGTGGCGGGGTCGAGTGACCCCAAGCACTCCATCGCTCAGTGCCCATAAATTGCTCAACTTCTCGGCTCCATCACAGCTAAAGTATGTAACATACAATATTTTATTTTAGTTTCCCATGATAAGACTGCATTTTAACAATATAAAAAGATAAAAGAATTTTTTTAATTTTTTGTATTCTGCACACCACAAGGATGTCATATTTTAACGCAGCACAGTGGATAATGACCAAGTTAATACTTTAAATAGTAGAAATATCAGTTCAATGAGTACTGCATCGCAGTTTTGAACAAGGGCATTTTTGATAGAAATCCACCTTATTGTATAAAAAAAAAAATGTACCAGTTAAATACAAAAATAAAAAGTACAAGCAATCATGATTTTGGTGGAGAATCTTACTTTCTGTATGTGATTCACAGTGAGACCAGACCTCTGAACAGCTTCCTTAGCTGTCTGCAAAAAAGCTAATAGTGTTGCCATCACTAAACCATCAAATCTTGCTCTTGACAAAGATGTTGAAAAATCAACTCCTTCCCACAGTGACTCAACATAAACCTGCAAATAAAAGGCTCATTACACTAAAATGCATTATGTTAAAAGATAAGTCACCTACAGTATTGCATATAAATTAAGCGATACACGTTAACACATGTTATGGAATGAAGAAATATGTAGTTTTACTTTATAAACAATCAAGACTAAGCCCCTACATGAGTAGGGGCTTAGAAAGAAAACCAACTTCCACTAAAAAGCAGAGCAGGGTACAGATTGCCAACAAGAACTGTCATTTGGCACATTTTCCAATTTTCAATCACAGGCTAGACAACATTAACATAGATGTTAGGATTTAATTGCAATGGCCAACAAACCTGAGCTGTTCCCATGGTAGATAGAACATGCTTGCAGTTTTCTGCAGCATTGTAAAGTTTCATTCTTGAGCGTTTATTTTCCAAGGGATCACCTTTATATTTCCTGAGGAACAAAACATGACAACTTATTTTGAATATTTAAAGATGCATCTTATACTACCTGTACACACAAATTAAAGAAAATGATAAAATTATTATACGTTTTGATTCATTGAATGTCACATTTTACTATATAACATAAACATACTGGAATCTCATGTACTGTATAGTACTGTACTGTACTTTAACAAATAAATTATATACACAGAAATCACAATAGCGTGATGCATGAAATAAACAAATCCACAAGAGCTGTGACGAGGGTTTGAACCTACGTCCGAGAGGATCCCAGGCGCTGCCTTAATCGACTGAGCTACAACATGGTAAAAGAATTGCAACCGGGAAATTATCCCGAGTTACCAATGGTTCCTGCAGTTCCTCAGTCCTGCAGACACACAAATCATACCGTTGGTAAATCAGGATGATTTCCCGGTTGGAATTCTTTTACCATGTCATAGCTCAGTCGATTAAGGCAGTGTCTGGGATCCTCTTGGATGTAGGTTCGAACCCTCGTCACGGCCCTTGTGGACTTGATCATTTAAATTATATAATAAGATAAATTATGCACGACAAATTACTAAAGCAACCTACTTGTAAAATTCTGTAGCAAAATGTTGAACAAGTACATCAGTTAATGTATCCCCTGCCACGGTTGATGAAGTAATGGACTCCTTCAGGGTCAGCATACCACCCGCAACCTCAACCACCGACCCCACAACTGTAGTGCCCCCACAGTGAAGAACCACCACTTGTCTGTTGCAATATTGAATAATCATTAACCAAAATTTTAAATAACTGCTAGTCTAAATATGAGAATGAGAAACATTAAGTAATTGCAAAAGGCTTTCCCAAGCAGGTATGTTTCATGATACAAAGAATAGATGAACACACAGTATACAGAAAGTTAATACCTACATGCCAAGCATTACTCTTGTGTGAAAAGGGAATGAGCAGCAGCTGCAGCAGAGAGAGCGGTAGACAGTGCTCGAGTTATCAAGGTTGTTTTATGTGTACGCCGATGGAGTCATAAGTGTGGAATTAATGCAACACCAGGAAAAAATTTATACAACAAATAATGTAAACAAATCATATACTGTAGCATAGTTCCCGACATACCCTAGCCAGGAACTGAAGAGATACGATCAAGTTAAAGCTTTTGGATAAACAGCCAAAGATAGAGAAGGATATTGTGTTTGTGGAATAAATGTTAAGTATTTTTCTAATTTGTTGACTGGTATGTGTGGGCTGGCATGAATTTATATACTCAAGAGTCGAGTCAGAGAAGGCAAGTACTGTAACTGATACAATTAAAGTCCTGGCTGGGAAGAACAAGATTAGATAAGATGATGGTTCTAAATGTATGGATGCAAAACATTGGCATGATACGAGCATTAAAAACCTTAATTTAGTATAATAGTCGTAGACAGATTAAGTGGCTTGTAATGCATTAGATTATGTTTTGGAACTATGTAAAGAATGAACGAATAACCCAAATACTAAGAGTCCATAATTATTACTTAATAATTTTGTTAACCCCTGGGCTGTGCACCAGTTAACAGACAACATCCCTATGGTGAGCACGAAAAAAATTATTTGTTCTTTTTAGACATTGTTAATAAGCATCCAGGAAGCATGAAAATCCAAGTAAAAAGCCTCTACTTCTTGTGGTTTAGCTGTAGTGAATAGAGAAGGTGTTTTTTCTGAAGAAATTAGGCAAGGTGCCGCATGGGGAATAACTTTGTCAATTTATTGTACTTTCGTTGTTGTTGTTTTTTTCACTTTATTTAGTTTTTCAAGCTAACAGGTTGATTTGATGGGTCAATGGTTTTCATTATGTATAACTTTGAAAATTTATGTACAAATTATTATAAATATACTGTATGCACACCATGTATTTGTTCATACTAATATGTGCCTAAATTCTTATAACTGCACATAGCACACATTTTGCCTGTAAATATATACATGGTAATCACTCATTTGCTGCTGTTAAAAGTTCAATGGTTCCTAGTTTGGTCACAGTGCACATCCACACACTGGAAGAAGTTGCACTAGACATGGTCTACATCTTTATATTAAGGCCCTAAAAGGAATGTGAGAAATTCAGGATTTTTGTTCGAGATGGGGGAGGGGGGGGGGAGGGGATGGTTACCGGAGGCCTGAGGAAGCAAACATGAGCCGTGTATATGTGCAGTGCTTTCAAATCTTGCATGGCACTCTAAAACATATATACTGCATGTGATTTGTGCACTGTAGTCAGTTAGGTCATACAAATCTACATGTATATATCACTCGTGCAGTGGAATGGTTTACAACTGGACAAGACGTGACATGATGCAATTCTTGCAAGTGCCGGCATGCTGGAAATAGTCGGCAAACTAAATAAAACATTTGCTTTGCATCAAAATGAAAGTAAAAATGAATAGAGGCATTTGCTAGCAAGAAGTTAATGAGCTAGGCTTTTCAGACCCTTTACACATAGCATACTTTATATGCTGTATAATCTATGATACTGATGCCAAAAATAAATTTCCCCCTGTTATTACCATGTGTAAAAAGTACGAAAGGTTGAGTGTTTATGGTAGAGTAAACCTCATCATCCATTCCTGGTACCAATCCCATAAAATGGGAATGTGGTCAACCATAATTATTATATTTTTCAGGTTACAAATACCTGCATTAATATTATGGCACATAATGATAACAAATAATTGTATTTGATACCTGCTTGATGGGGTTCTGGGATTTTATTTGTGACACCAAGTTACACAAAATAAAGAACTAAGTAAATTTCATACAATATTTGGAGCAACATTACTACACATAAGGTGTGAACATAATTGGTCATCACTGGAATTAACAAGTATAGCATGAACAGTGTTTTTGACAAGTACGTAAACCACCCATGATGACCAGACCGAGTCGATTGTCAATCAACTTGAGAATGGTCCAGGACGGATCGAAACGTCGTCATCCCTTCACCTTCTAGTGTGGGGTCTGGTGATCATACTTTAGCCACGTTATTGTGACTCATCGCCCGTAAACCACCCATATGTAATCAACGAGTGCAGGTGTATTACAAGCTATCAGCACGTGTTGGAATTTATAACAAAAGGAATACATACGTGTTGTGTTTGTTATCATTTAAGAGATCATAAGTCAAGACAGCAGCAGCAGGCTGTGTAACTGTAGTCAGAACAGTGAAAGCAGCTTTGCTTGCAGCCTTCTTAACTGCAGCAATGGTTCCCTCACTGCTCCATGCAGGCACAGCAATAACCACTGGCAGTTCTGGCTCACTGGTATGGGCACTAGCAATCTCTGAAATGCCATACAATTGTTACTCTATTGCACTAGCTTGCTAAAAGCAATTCTGTATAAAGTACACAAGTTGCACATTACAATAACAGACTGCAACAAACTATGACCAGAAAAAAATGTATAAACAAGGTATTTTAAAATAAGTAATTATTTGAAATGTATAGGGATCTTGAACTTAAGACATCAATGTATAAATGCTTGAAAAAGGCAAAAATGAGACTGAATCACACAAAAGTATTAACATCAATAATAAAATATCCCTTTTTCCCCTAGTCCCCCATTTAGATGATTAAGTTCAGCTTTGGGTATTGCACTATGGAAAAGACAATTTTGATGAAACATAATTTATGTAAACAAACGTGTACAAAGAAGAATGACGTACAAGAATGAATGTACAAAGAATGAAGTGAATATGGCGAGTTTAGGAAAGCTTAATTCACATTCTCTAGAAAGACAGTCACTAGACATACCTGAAGTATACAAATGGATGAAAGGGTATAAAAGGGAATATTGATATGTGTGCTAAATATATATCTACAATATAAAAAAACAATAGATATAAATTCCCTAAGTTTAGATTTAAAACTGACCTTGGTAAATACTGCAACGAATTGCATACTAACAAACCTTTCAACAGTGAAAATATATGAGTAAGAACTTCATCCGCTGATATTTGAACCATCCTCTCTCCCCGCTGCACTGAATAACGCGGCTGACCACTGTCCCAGTTTGGGCGGCATGACATGCTCGAAGGACACATTCCTTCATCCTCCACTGTGCCCACTACACGCAACACATTTAACACAGTGTTTGCACCATGGCGAATTATTCCCTGCTTAGCAGATAATCCAGTCACCTATATCAAAAATTGAGGAAATTAGTATTGTATAACCAAAAATTTACAAAGGGTAAAAGCCAGAGAGATGGCAATGAGGGAAAATGAGTAAGTGAAACTGGGAGAAAAAAGTAAGATAAGAAAAGAACAAATATTTATGTAAACAAAAAGTATAAACAAATATTTATGTAAACAAAAAGCATAAACAATTATTTATGTAAACAAAAAGCATAAACAATTATTTATGTAAACAAAAAGCATAAACAATTATTTATGTAAACAATAAGCATAAACAAATATTTATGTAAACAAAAAACAAATATTTATGTAAACAAAAAGTATAAACAAATATTTATGTAAACAAAGGCATAAACAATTATTTATGTAAACAAAAAGTATAAACAATTATTTATGTAAACAAAAAGCATAAACAATTATTTATGTAAACAAAAAGCATAAACAATTATTTATGTAAACAAAAAGCATAAACAAATATTTATGTAAACAAAAAGCATAAAACCAGCGTTGAATGTAATGAAACGCCATTTTCTGGGTGAGACCCGGAGGCTCCCCGGAGCTTTACCGGCAGATATGCTAATGTCAGACTTTGGCATCAGTCATGTGTATGGAGTTCTAGGGCCTACCGGGGACCACGAGCCAGAACCTGGCCCCCTCAGAGAGGCAAGGGGAGCAATGGCCTATAGAAACCCCCGTGTGGTTGGAAGCATTCTATGTCTGCCATCGACCGGGTCAAGCACCCAGAAAGGTAAGCATTCCAAAACAAACCCCTATTCTGGTGAAAATTGCTACCTAAGCCGAACTAGTGAATAGAACTCTTCAACAGAAAACACGGAAACTAGTATGACGTCATACGTCACCGCGCCGCTGTCTGCGCAGCTCCCCCCTCCCCGGGAGGGGGAAGGGGGAGCCCCAGACCTCCCACGCCGGCTATCCACCCATCAGTTCTGAGGCTGGATGTCAAAACACGCGAAAAACGCCGACCGGAGGGAGGGAGGGTTGCCGGGGAGCCTCCGGGTCTCACCCAGAAAATGGCGTTTCATTACATTCAACGCTGGTTTTCTGGGGGGAGCCCCGTCGGCTCCCCGGAGCTAACTACCCACAGAGGAAGGTCAAAGGGACAAAACCGGGAGGCGGACACCACGCACCCCCCAAGGAGGCGAGACAACCGGCAGCAAACGCCAACCCAAGGCGCCACAGCCCCGAAAATCCCGGGAACAACACGAGAACCACGAGCAGCAAGGCCCCTGCACGAACACCAAAAATCCATGCCCGAAAGACTGCAAGGCCACGTCGCCCAGACGGCAGCGAGAGCAGCGAAGCCACGAACGCCACAGGCATGAGGGAAGAACACAGGCAGCTTAGCCGCAAGAACACGGCTGACCACCCGGGACACCATCACCCGCGAACCGGGAAGAACAGAACCGGATCAACGCAAAACGCGCTCCGGACCCAAACGCCGTGGCACGCAAACAACAGCAGAGGGCCGCCACTGAACACAAAAACGACACACCCCCGGCCCGACCAACGAAGCACCAACAAACCCTGGACCCCTCCAGAATGCAGCAGCCCCACCCCGCGCCAGAAAAGATGGAGACTGCTGCCATCAAACAACCAAAACGCTAAAACCGAAGGAGCAAGAAAACACAGCGAACCGACCCCCAGAGGCAAAGGCCCAAAGGAAAGAGCCGACGAAAAAAACACCGGAACCGAAGGGGCACTACCAACCGAGGAGAAGACAGAGCACGCTGACCAGAGACCAGGATGGTGCAAGCGGCGCACGAACAGGCCGGAGGTGAAATGACGCACAAGACAGCTGACTAACGGTGCAGAAGCAACACCAAGACCGAAAGCAAGCTGAAGCGGCTCCGCCTGCGCCGCACGAAAAGAGGCGACAGTATGTGGCAAGACGACGGCCCCCAACCCCCACTAGAAAACCAAGCCGAGAGTAAACCAAGCCAACAAGAAGGACCCACCGAAGAAGGGACAGGAAAAGGAAGGACCGCCAAAATACCCCATACTGCCGCCAAGAAAGCACGCAGGTGGGACACCTACCACGAAGCCACCCGACCACCAACCGGAGGCGAGACCACGAGGCAGAACATAAGCAGCCCCGACAAGGCCCCCCCGAGCCCAGGAAAAAGGCGGAGCCGCGAGAAGATCTCGGGCGCGACCACCGAAACCCAGGCGGCACAAGGAGATGGAACGTCTGCCGAACAGAAAAACTCCGAAGCATGCAAGCCCGCCAGGAGTTCAGAAACGACGGGTCCGACGCGAGACATCGCAAGAACCCCCCCAAAAAAAGTAAAACAACAACAACCGGCAGGGCAAGCTAGGAAAACCAAAGAAGGCGGAAGGGTCGCCGCCAGAACAGGACCCGAACCAAGGGGCACGAACAACTGCAACAGACCGAGACAAAGAAGCACATCACAGGACACAGGCTGACCAACGCCTAAGAACACACGCAGAACATTCCTGCTGCAGAAGAGGCAGGAAGAAAGAGCAGAAGCACAAAAAAAAAAAAAAAAACAGGAGAACAACCAGGGGTGGACAATCAGGCAGGGACAAAAACCCCACGCAATCCCCAGGCACAAAACGGCAGCAAAGCGCCACTCCACAACCGGACACAGGAACAAGGACACGCCACCGTGAAACACGGTACCAATGCTCACGTGCAGCAGCAGCAGCAACAGGCACCACTGCAACATGCAACATGTAAATAGCAACTCCCCTCTGCAAAGGCAGAGAACGGAGCAGGCAGACCCCAGACAGGGCCAACGGAGACACGACAAAACCCTGCAGGCCCAGAAACCTGCACCAGGCGACCGACGGCGGAGAAACCCCGCTCGATACCTGCTGGATGAGGTACTGGGAGCTCTTCTACACCTCAAGCCCGGCCCAAGGTCAGGCCAGACCGGCCAGAGGATGGCCCACCAGGCAGCTGCTAGGAGCAGTCCACCGGCCCACATACCCCCACAACCAGGACGGGCCGGAACTGCCATACGAAAACAGGCCAGTGCGCCCTGGAAGTCCACGGACGAACCAGCAAGAAGGCTTATGCTCGCAAGTAGGTCGTGTAACAAGCACAGACCACTGATGGTAATACAGTGTTCCCCAAAAGTGCCAATAGCACCACTGCACTCCACTGGTACTATCCCGCAAGTTCTACCAGATAGGCGGGACCCAAGAGCCAGAGCTCAAATCCTGCAAGCACAGCCAGGAGCCTCACCAGGTGAGTACAGAACCAACCCTACAACCCCCACACCTCACAACAGTAAAAAAGGAGGGTCCCCTGAACGACTCCAGCATGGGTTGGACATGCACATGAGGGGGACAGGAAGGGGTGATAAAGGGACAGTCACTGGTGTGCGAACGGTCTCAGTCGTACAAAATTATACCTAAATAAAGACAGGTATATGAACACCGCCGCATCCAGCGCCCGGCCAAAAGACGCCAGACCGCAGAAACTCACCTGGCGAATGGTGGCTCGAACTTGACACGACTCAACCGTGCCCAGAAGAACTCGGGAGCACCGCTAGGTGAAGACGCCAGAGCCGGACCCGCAGGAGAACAGGGAGAGGCGAAGGAGGCGGTCCACACCCATGACACAGAAAACCGCGGTGTCCTCCCCACAACTGGGAACCAGGACACCCCTGGCGCAAAGGGGCACATACCGCAGCCAGGGAGAAGAACGAGAGGCGAAGCACTGTAGCAAAAAAGGGCGCAAAACCCCAGCACTGAACCATCGCCCAGACCAAAACAAACTCCACGGCGCATGCGCATAACACGCTGGCCGAACCGCACACCCTCCCTGCGGGAAGGCGCCAGCCAGGACTATTGCACGAGAAAAAGAGCCAAAAGAGGAAGCAGGAACAATAAAACCGGCCAAAGAAGCAAAGAGCCCAAAAAAAAAAAGGGAACCCAAACGGGCGACAAGTAGCCCAAACGGGCGACAAGTAGCCCAAACGGCCGACAAGTAGCCCAACCGGGCGACAAGTAGCCCAACCGGGCGACAAGTAGCCCAACAGGGCGACAAGTAGCCCAACAGGGCGACAAGTAGCCCAACAGGGCAACAAGTAGCCCAACAGGGCGACAAGTAGCCCAACAGGGCGACAAGTAGCCCAACAGGGCGACAAGTACTAGGAGCCGACAGACGTTCCAATAATGCGGGAAGTAGCGAAAAACCTTCCCGTACCCTCGAGAACACAGAAGCCAACACTAGTCCCGAAGGCACACGAAGGCGCAGGCGCACCCGAGATCAAAAGTCACGCAGAACCCCATCGAACGGGGAAACATGACAAAAACACCGTCTCAAAAAGCGGGGGAGGAAACATCCACCCACAGGACGGAACCAACCGACTCAAAGGCCAAGGAACCGAGCCCGGGGAGGGGCCGACGTCCAACAGCACGTACGGCGAGTGGGGAGGAAAGACCCCACTCCGCGTAACCACAAGCCCCGCCGAGAGGGGGATAAAACCCCCCACGGGGTCTAACGGGGCCAAGGCCCCCCCAAGTCAGCCCCTCCCCAGCCCCGGGAACCTACACGACAGGCCCCGGGGCCGAGCCGTTCCCCCAAAGCCCCGGCCGTACCAGAAAACCGGGGCAGCCGTGAAAACACTAAGGAAGGGAGCCCACTGGCAGACTCATACAACACGGCTGGAGGAACAGGCCCAAATGCCCCCGTCACTACCCCGGAAGGGGAATTCCCCGAGACTGCCCGAGTCTCAACACCACCAAACACCCCGCCCTGAACCTACAGACGGTAAGGAACCGGATACAGGCAGGAAGGGTGAACCAGGGGCAGCCCCGGGGCTCCCGGGGAGGAAACCACGAGAACGTTGCCACCACCAAGGCTCAAGTGCAACGCCCCTGCTGCCCGCACCCGCTTTGTTAGCACAACTGGGTAACCGAGCCACAACGAGCAACCAAACTCGCAGGACACCGGGTCGAAGGTGTCACCGACCCCACAGGCAGCAGACGGAGGCAAAACAGAGAGTCACCCAGAGACAAAAGGTGAGAGCAACACTCAAACTCGCTGGAAGCGAGGGGGGGCTCTGGGGTCACATCCATCGGACCCGCGCGCCCCCAGGGGTTTCCCAGGGTCCCGAGCGTTTACTTTAAGAGGACTCGCGCTCAGGTAATCCCAGGCAGGGTACTGCTAACCGGCACCCAAGCTACCAAACAACTTTCTAAGAGCTGAACCCCCGGGACGTGTACACTCACGGGGACCTAGCAGGGGGTACCACCAGAAATACTCAGAACACAAGGGACACAAGGGGCAAGAACGAAGGCAGACCCCCCCACCAGGTATATAAACAAAAGAAAAAGAAAACCCCGCAAGAGGACAGCGTACCCAAGCGGAACAGAGCCGGCCGCTATGATTGGTAAAGACAAGCTGCACAGTACCCCGCGCCCCACCAGTGCAAACACTGCCCCTTACTCTAAGGCGAACAAGGGAGACAGAACACCCGAGCACACAAAGAGCGGCCGAAAACCAAGCGGTAAACGGCCAAGCAGGGGCAGGACCCAAGGAACTTGTGGAAGGTGGCCCCAAGCCCCAAGGGCAGTACTTACAGGGCACCTAGGGAAGGGAACCCTAGGCGCATGCAGCCCGAGTACTGAAGAATCACACCCGGCTCACGCACCACCTAGAAAACAGACACCACACTCTAGGTACAGTGCTGAAACAACCACTGGAGCCGGAGCACATAACCATTGCCTATAGCATCAGCCGAAGAACTGATGGGTGGATAGCCGGCGTGGGAGGTCTGGGGCTCCCCCTTCCCCCTCCCGGGGAGGGGGGAGCTGCGCAGACAGCGGCGCGGTGACGTATGACGTCATACTAGTTTCCGTGTTTTCTGTTGAAGAGTTCTATTCACTAGTTCGGCTTAGGTAGCAATTTTCACCAGAATAGGGGTTTGTTTTGGAATGCTTACCTTTCTGGGTGCTTGACCCGGTCGATGGCAGACATAGAATGCTTCCAACCACACGGGGGTTTCTATAGGCCATTGCTCCCCTTGCCTCTCTGAGGGGGCCAGGTTCTGGCTCGTGGTCCCCGGTAGGCCCTAGAACTCCATACACATGACTGATGCCAAAGTCTGACATTAGCATATCAGCCGGTAAAGCTCCGGGGAGCCGACGGGGCTCCCCCCAGAAACAAATATTTATGTAAACAAAAAGCATAAACAAATATTTATGTAAACAAAAAGCATAAACAAATATTTATGTAAACAAAAAGCATAAACAAATATTTATGTAAACAAAAAGCATAAACAAATATTTATGTAAACAAAAAGCATAAACAAATATTTATGTAAACAAAAAGAATAAACAAATATTTATGCAAAACTTTATAACAAATACTGTTCTGTATTTTTTTCCCTCTTAAAATAATCTACAGCCTATTACATTTACAGTATATAAAGAAATATAAAGCTTACCCTCAGTGAGACAAAAAGTGTTCAAGTACTGTAATACTAATTTAATCGAGCTCAAAAAACTGTTCCGATCCTTGCAGATGAGAAGTGATGTGTTTGCACCAGACATACAAATGATGAGGCAGGCAGTCAGTCAGACTGAACCCTTAGGTGACCCGAGTTACCGTCTGCAGATACATCTGGTTACTTGTGCATGGCTTGTAACGTAGGGGCAAACTATCACTTCTCATGGTTTAAATTCTCTCTCTCTCTTTTCAAAATACTGTACACAAGTTTGTTCTGCTTTCACGGTACTTGTGTGGTTTTACTGTTAGGTTTATCTCATATCCCATGCTCACCTTTATAAGCACACCAGATTTTGGTCCTAGTGTTCGGTAATCATGTGCAAGTAATGGCAGCTTTGTGGCTGTCTGTGGTGCCTATTCACTGGGCATCTATTGAGAGCGAGTCCAGTTAAGTCCCGTAGTATAGTTTCAATGTAGTAAACATATAAAACCACAAGATTTTTAACATTTAATACTGAAGGCAGTAGAATTGTATTTTTTTTTTAAATAAGATTAGCTTGTAATGACGACACAAAGTCTGCACAGATTTTCCTCCCATGTTCAAAAGCTCAAGTACCTGTTCTGAACTATAAAATATTGTTCTGTTAGCCAGAACACGAAACAATGGGTATAAATTGGATAAGTTTAGATTTAAGAAAGACTTGGGTAAATACTGGTTCAGTAACAGGGTTGTTGATTTGTGGAACCAATTACCGCGTAACGTGCTGGAGGTGGGGTCCCTCGATTGTTTCAAGCGCGGGTTGGACAAGTATATGAGTGGGATTGGGTGGTTATAAATAGGAGCTGCCTCGTATGGGCCAATAGGCCTTCTGCAGTTGCCTTTGTTCTTATGTTCTTATGTTCTTATGTAGCCAAACCTATTCAGATTTTAAAATCCCAATTTTAAGAGACTATACACTGATCTTAATTTTTGTTTATTTAGCTAGAATTAGTGAATTAGAAAAAATATCCTATACAAGCAAACACTGCAGACAGACATATTCCTTGTAATGAAATAATCCCCAAATTACATATTTTATGTTTCTATTAAGATATTTATGCTTTATACAAATTTAAGAACATATATAGAATTGAAATTTGTTTATAATTACCCAACATTGTGGAACAAGGCTTCTCCAGCAATGCCATCAAATAGGGGTTAAATACAACAATATAAGACATACATAATAAGAGGTAAGTACAAACTTACCACTTCCATATCATGGAAAGCGACAACAGCAGGCGTGACCCTGTCCCCAGCCGCATTAGCCACCACTTCAACCTTTCCATCCTGAAGAAAATTGGGAAATTTAATATTTAAAAAATGACAATATGAATATAAAATATAGCTTATGCCTACTTATGTCTCCCTGTAGCATAGCTAAATTCAACTAAGGTAATTTTTGCTTATTACAGCCCCATATTAGATTTTCACAACACATTATAGAGTTTTATAGTTCTGTATGAATTCTTAATATAATTTTACCAACCTCATGATGCATACAACACAGGTACTGTATGGCAAGCTTAGTCTACAATTTGCAGTATTGCAATCTGAGCCTTCAAAGTTAAATGGGCAAGCAATTTTATAACAAATGTTAAAATTTAGACATTTATTTTATGTAGGATAAGCAACATGGTACTGTAAGTGACTTTATTTAAAGTAGGAAAACTGAAAATACAGGGTTTAGCAATTTCAGGTCAAAATCAAATACTATACAAAGTTACTAGTTAAGAAATGGCAAAGACCATTTGTTCGAAGAAAGCACACGATGGTGGCATATGAGGCAGCCTGCTGCCACTTCACTGTTCACCAACAATTATCTTATTTTCTTCCATTTATTGAACAACCTCATTCTCACTAATTTTTATCTAAACAAAAAAAAAACAGAATTCTTAGTTCTTTGCTGTCAAAGCCTTGAATCCTGTACTCAGGTACAGAAGCCCCTCTGCGTCTGTCTCACCTATACGCAGATGATGAGTCACAATCACATGGCTGAAGATACGAAAACTAAAAAACACACCAGAAGAAGAGATGATGACTACGGCATTTCGGTCCGTCCTGGACCACTATCAAGCCGATTGTGATAATGATTGGCTTGATAATGGTCCAGGACCGACCAAAACGTGGTCGTCTCGTCTTCCGGCCAGTGGTTTTGTCTTCAAGTCTCACCTGCCATGGGAACTGAACCAGACCCTTCGTCTGTGAGTCAAGACCACAGTGGTTCAGCACCCTCTCTGTGAACTGTACTGGAAGATTTAATGACAATAGCCATGAATGCCAGCAAATTTATGTAAAATAAAGATTGACAGCTGCCACTGCTGACGACTATGGTGAGAGTAGCATATACAGCAACAAATTTGACCTCACTTTTGCCACTGTTTATAGTTACCCTACTTGCATCAACCATTTGCTTTATGTCTAAATAAAACTGATCCCGTACGTGTTTTGTACTCTGACCAATTCATCAAAATAACAGGCAGCCTTAGGCAGAGGGAATGTAGTGTCCACACACAGGAGACTGTACTCGGAGCAAGAGACCAGGTGGACAAGGAAAGCCTTATTTAACAGAAAATAGAACAAGAGAACCAAGTGGAAGTTAAAACATTGAATGTCACATAAATGTGAGCACCTGTCCTCTGTACGGAAGGTCACCAGGTGACAAGAACAGTCACGGAGGCCACCTTCACCCACAACTTGTGCTCCACATACATCATACCAGTGCATGTTGATTTATTTATTTATATACAAGAAGTTACATTGGGGGTTGACAGAGAATATAGCAAATAAATTAAATTAACATTCTTGTAAAGCCATGTCATAACACTTAAAGTGTAGGTGGCTGAGAGGTGTGGTGCAGGGAGGTGTGTGGTGCAGGGAGGTGTGTGGTGCAGGGAGGTGTGTGGTGCAGGGAGGTGTGGAATAGGGAGGTGCAGGTGGCTGGGAGGTGTGGAATAGGGAGGTGTGGAGTAGGGATCAGATCAGGGAGGAGGAGGAGGTGGCTGAGAGGTGTGGTGCAGAGAGGTGTGGTGCAGAGAGGTGTGCCACAGGAAGGTGTGGCACAGGGAGGTGTGGCACAGGGAGGTGTGGCACAGGGAGGTGTGGCACAGGAAGGTGTGCCACAGGAAGGTGGGGCACAGGGAGGTGTGGCACAGAGGTGTGCCACAGGAAGGTGTGGCACAGGGAGGTGTGCCACAGGGAGGTGTGCCACAGGAAGGTGGGGCACAGGGAGGTGTGGCACAGAGGTGTGCCACAGGAAGGTGTGGCACAGGGAGGTGTGCCACAGGGAGGTGTGCCACAGGAAGGTGTGGCACAGAGGTGTGCCACAGGAAGGTGTGCCACAGGGAGGTGTGCCACAGGAAGGTGTGGCACAGGGAGGTGTGCCACAGGAAGGTATGCCACAGGAAGGTGGGGCACAGGGAGGTGTGGCACAGAGGTGTGCCACAGGAAGGTGTGGCACAGGGAGGTGTGGCACAGGGAGGTGTGGCACAGGGAGGTGTGCCACAGGAAGGTGTGGTACAGGGAGGTGTGGTACAGGGAGGTGTGGTACAGGGAGGTGTGCCACAGGGAGGTGTGGCACAGGGAGGTGTGCCACAGGGAGGTGTGCCACAGGGAAGTGTGGTGCAGAGAGGTGTGCCACAGGGAGGTGTGGCACAGGGAGGTGTGCCACAGGTGTGGCCGCCCTACACACACCGCCGGGGTCACCCAGCCACACCTTACCTTACTCACGGCGATACAGCACGAGCTACACCCAATATATATGCCGAAGGCCACTGACATTGTTGTGGCGGGTGTGGGAGCCGCATGTGGGTAGTGTGGGTAGTGTTGTGGGTCCGTGGGTCGCCCGCCACGCTCCCTCACACTGCCAATCACAAATTAAGTCTGGAGAAAATCTTTATTCTGATTGGCTGGGTCTTGGCCGCCTCCGCTGGCTACACTTCCCTTTAACTCTCCCATACATCATTAAAATGGTCAATTAACAATAAATAATCTCAAATCTTATATCCATTATACGGTATAAGCTTTGCTTTATATTTTAAAGGTTATTTGTTTCGGAATAATATTAGAGCGAAGAGAACCATTAGCCGGAGAGAAACTATGTTAGTGTCTGGTATGGCTAGACTCTATTGGACTTATTATAGGTGTAGTTATTTAAGTCATGTTAGATTAAAGATAGGCCTGAATTCCAAGTAATAGTTCTCCGCAGTATTATTTATTTTGATGAGAGTGTCTAAATTATAATTGGTGAGAGCGTGAAGCTTCCCTCCTGAGGAACTAGCGGGTAGTTCCAGTGACTGGGCTCAAGCCATGAACAAAAGCTTCGAACAATTTCAAGTCACCTTCGCATTAGGTTAATTTAAAGTTAAGTAATTTATTTAAAACGTCGAATATTAAAGTTATATGGTGCAATATTTTAAGGCCAGTTGTACCCAATAAATTAATTAAAAAATTGGGTTTAGTTCGTATTAAACTGTTTGAGTGTTTGAATCGATGTCCAAACGTATAAAATCAGCTTCATGTATATTATATATAAAAGACTTAAAGTATTTCGGTTTCTAATTACCCTGAATAGGAAACTTTTTTATAGTAATCGACTATAGTCTGCTTTAAATAAAGATAAAAATGACAGAATGGCCTGAAATTGGTACCTTCCTGACATAATTGTGTTCGAAGCTGTGCGCGCGTGGCTTAATTTGTATAGAAGCTGCTGCTTTAAATTTTTGTGTTCTCTAGGTATGTATTTAGGAATATGTATATATATATTACGTGTATATATAAAACATATTCGAATAGATATTTTGTTAGAAATCTGAAGTGTGAAAGTGTTGATGGTTGAGGGAGCAGGCGGCCGCCTCCCTCCTCCTCCTCCTCCCGCCCGCAGTGGACACGTTTCGTGCCGTCTGGCCTAAGAGTGAGTCATTTATCCTGCTTTTATCCTCGAGCTAGTGCTACTGTAGCTAATTACCCCGCCCTAGTGCCACGGTGGTGTTTGGTGGCACCGGTAAGGGCCAGAATGGTTGTAAGAGAGGAGTGTGTGTGGAGATATTGCGGTCCACGTGATGCTGCACGCTGGAGGGTGGTGAGAAGTCGTGGGTCTTGGTGTGTGGTGCTCACCTTAGTGTTGTCTTGAGTGATTGTGTTCACGTCTTGAGTGTAATACCTGCTTGTGTCTGTGTATCTTATTGTGTGGATAATTGTTATAAATGCAGTACGGTATTTCCATATTGCTATATCGTACTAAGACTAGGGAAAGGATAGGTCCATTAAAAACTGAGACAGGTCAAATAACAGATAGTGATGAAGAGATGAGTAGTATTTTAATAAATATTTTGTATCTGTATTTACTAAAGAGGAACTTAACAATATGCCTTCAGCCGAACAAGTCTATGTGGGTGGGGACGAGGACAGGTTGACGAGTTTAGCAGTTACCAGGGAGGATGTTCTTAAACAAATAGTAAAACTCAAACCAAACAAATCCCCAGGGCCGGATGAAGTGTTTGCTAGGGTGCTTAAAGAATGCAAAGAGGAGCTTTGTGACCCACTGTCAACCATATTTAATAAATCAATAGAGTCAGGCAGAGTGCCAGAGTTTTGGAAAGTTGCTAATGTGATACCAGTTTTTAAGAAAGGAGATAGATCACTTGCGTCTAACTATCGACCAATTAGCCTAACGTCTATTGTGGGAAAGTTACGCGAATCTATAATAGCAAATAAAATTCGTCTTCATCTTGAAAAACATAAATTAATAATTGAGTCGCAACATGGTTTTATAAATGGCCGTTCATGTTTAACAAATTGTTATCTTTTTATTCTAGCATTGTTGAGGCAGTTGATAGTGGTAAGGATTGCGATGTTGTATACCTTGACTTTAGCAAAGCTTTTGATACAGTGCCACATGAAAGACTGATTAAAAAAATAGAGTCTCATGGTATTGGGGGTGCTATATTAAGCTGGATTAGGGCAGGCTATACCAAAGGAAACAGAGAGTTAGTATAAATGGAATCAAGTCAGAGTGGGGAAAATGTTGTAAGTGGAGTGCCTCAAGGCTCTGTCCTGGGACCTCTGTTGTTTATAATATATATAAATGATTTAGATTCAGGTTTGAGTAGCAACATTTGCAAATTTGCCGATGATACGAAAATCGGTAGGGAAATTAATTCGGAGGAGGACTCACTATCACTTCAAGTTGATCTAGATAGGGTTTTGAAATGGTCAAAGGATTGGCAGATGCAGTTTAATGCTGATAAATGTAAAGTTCTGAGGTTAGGTAATGATGATAGAGTTACAAGATACGAGCTAGATGGTGTTGTGATTGCGAAGTCGGATTGCGAAAGGGATCTGGGAGTTATGATTAGTAAGAATTTAAAACAAAAGGATCAATGCATAAATGTTCGTAATAAGGCAAATCGGACACTTGGATTTATTAATCGCAGCGTTAGTAACAAGACACCTGGTGTGGTTCTCAAGCTATATCTTGCTCTAGTTAGGCCTCATTTAGATTATGCAGTTCAGTTTTTGGTCGCCATATTATAGAATGGATATAAATTCACTTGAACGTGTCCAGCGTAGGATGACTAAGTTAATTCCCCAAATTAGAAATCTTTCATATGAAGAAAGATTAACAAAGCTTAAGTTGCATTCACTGGAAAGGCGAAGAGTTAGGGGTGACATGATAGAGGTTTACAAGTGGATGGACATAACCGGGGGATATTAATAGGGTATTCCAAGAGGTAACTGGTTTTGAATGAAGTAGAATGATCTTGGTACAATATCTGAAGCACGAACACTTGCTAGTATGTTAGATAAGGTTAATTTTGTATTTTTTATATATAGACATTAAAATCATCTGGCAGCTGCACTAAATTATTTAATTTTACTGAAACTTAGTGTGTGGGGCTCTCATAGCTTGTAACAGTGGTAGGATATGTTAAATCGTTTCAAAATATTTTTTTAGGGCCAGTCTACTTACCACAATTACAGTATTTTACAATAGTGTTAACACGGGCAAAACCTGCAGTAATGCCCAATTTCATGTGGGAATTGTGCACATGTTCTACAATGACAACTTATATGAAGTCTCTAATTTCTGGGATTAACTCTGCCATCCTTCTCTATATGTTCCAGTGAACATATACGATCCATTTTAATGCACAGTATAGAGAAGAGAATGTCAAGTTAGTTTGTGACATATCATAAATGGTATTTTAAAAGTTACAGTGCAAGGTTTGCTAATGTAAAACTTGTGTGTTTTACCGAATGTTTCAGATTAGTATTTTAGTGCGATTCTTTTGTGCTCACAAATGACACGTACTGTTGTCTAGTACCCTATACTGTATGTGTTTATGTATATTTTCAGTACCGAGAGTATGCGTTACGTTGCTGCTTACTGTCTGGCTGCCCTTGGTGGTAACAGCCCCTCAGCTAAAGACATTGAAAAAGTCCTTGGTGCTGTAGCTATTGATTGTGATGCAGACCTTGCAAAGAAAGTAGTTTCTGAGCTTCAGGGCAAGAACTTGGACCAACTTATTGCTGAAGGTGAGTGAATTTACTAGTGATTGAGTTTAGCTTGTAAAATTTATATTAATGAAATGAAGCCATATATTTATCATTTTATGCAGAAGGCTAAACAGTTCCATCCAATATATAAAGTACAGTATGCACTAACGTTTAAATACCGAGCTGTATTAAAAGTACTGTAGATAATCAGTTGTAGAGCGATTTTCAGTATGTGATAAAGAGTACATCACGAGGATTATGTGCATATGTAGTTTGGCTTGACTAGAAATATTTGGTCAATGTTGCCAAGAAGCTATTCTCTTGGCATGGCATATCAGGTTAAACCATTTGCTGCAGTACTCTGCTACCCTTTGTTCTCACTGAGGATAAAAATGTTGCAAAAACATGTATTTCTACTAAGAAATTGTACAAAATAATATACTGTAGTCCACATAACAAAATACCAGGCCCTTGTATTGAATTACATATATTATAGATACTTGACCATTTAAGCATAATTTCCAAATGATTTTTCATTTTTTATTTAATTTTTATTATGAATGGGCAGTACTCTTTTGTTTTTAGTTTATTATATACAATAAAAAATATAAACAAAAATGTTCAGTTTGCCACTTTTATGCAGTGGATGAGTAACCTGAAGGAAAACAAGAGCAATGAAGTAAAGGGTGGCTGTAGAAATTAATAACAAAAATGCTACCACATATATCTACATCAGATACCTAGAGCAGCACCCCACCTTTCACTCTTGTGTTTCTTGTGCCTTGTTTCTAACCATAACCCATGTAATGTTCACTCCCCAGATGAACACAGCCACAGAAGAATTCTGCACTACCACTGTAGCAGACTTGTGGCTGTATCTTTCCCCTAACTGTTTTCCCGAACCTGAGCTTTCATTGCACATTCCAGTCTCTGACCCTCTCAACTTCAATTGCATTCCCACTTGTTTACACTGTATGACTACTTTGAGCCCTTCAATTCACATTTATTTTTTACTATCTTTCCACCACCATAATTGATTTTGCTGGCATACATGAATACATTTTAAATTTGTCTACATAGCTGTCCTTTAGTCACCAAAAGTAACTATTTTCTGCACTCCAAACATGACAGTCCAATAATTCATAATAGGTCTAGGATTATACCCCCCTTTAAGCATGGGCAATCGGAAGGTATAATGGAACATGCATATGTGATTACCCAAGTAATGGAGATGCATAAATCTGTTAGGTGCATTGTGACACACATGCTTCCTCTTTAGATTCTTTAAAAGGTGCTATAGTATTTAATTGTATAAGTGTTTGCATTATTTTTTGTACCAATGATAAAATTTATATATTATATATAAAAATTAATAAATATATATTTTTTGTCAGATAGCATATTATATACTGTACCTCTGCCTCGAATAACTGAACTAAATTTAATTTGACAGCAAAAATGTTAGTGTAATGCTTAATTATGTGATAATTTTGATGAGGAAATGCTAAATTAATTTTAGATAAATAACTGGTTATAATAGAAAAAAGTACAAATTTGCTTTAAGTTTTACCTTATGCGTTTCTGTTCTCGTATTGGCATCCTTGGTGATATTTAGCGCCCTCTGATTATCCTGCACATTTGATGGTGCTACATAGCCTTCCCGGGTTGGTGCCTTCTATTGATAATTACTTGCTTACTTGTAAGTTTTACTTAAATTAAAGACAAACTTGCACTTCCTTTAAAATCCGTTCTCTAAAATGAACAGATGTTGTAGTTGGGGGTCTGTTGATGAGATCTAGGAATAGATCTTTTGAACTAGGCTTTTTATAACCGATTTTTCTTTTACAGGCCTGGGTAAAATAGGCTCAATGCCAGTTGGTGGTGGTGGCGGCGGCGGCGGCCCGGTCGTTGCTTCTGGTGGCGGCGGCGGGGGACCTGCTGCGGCGGCGCCTGCCAAGAAGGAAGAAGCGAAACCTGAAGAACCTGAGGAAGAGTCTGATGATGACATGGGCTTTGGCCTCTTTGATTAGTTTGATACAAAATAAAATGTTTCGTGAAGCATGTGTTTTAATCTTTCAAATTGTCTTCTTGTGATAGCTTGCCATGTAGATCTCGAAAACGAACCTGAGCAGGTGAAAGGGTCATAATAATTTACATAAAATATTAAAAGGAGCTGGTCCCAAACCTGCACACAGAAATAACCACGTGAGACCAGAAGGCATGGCAGGATCTGCAGAATACCCCGGTGTGAAGAACAAGTGCAATAGGTACTCTGAGAACAATGAACATAAGATGTCTGAGACTTGACACTTCCACTACACAGAACTGGCTGACCCCTCAGTGTTCAGTGAGAACTGACATCCTCAAGGATACATGATTGAGCAGTCCAGCAACCAAGAGGCCTAATGTGGGTAGTGCGTCGCGCATGTGACCCTACAGTTACAGCCCAATGATCTACTCGCCTAATCTGTGTACAGGGGTTTCTGGCACCTGGTAATGCCAGATTGGGCTTAAAGTAGCGAATTGGGCTACTTTTGTAAGCCTGGCGCTCCTAAATTCTTAATCTCCTTATGGGACTTAACAACTCATTACCAAATCGCGTCTTGCTCTTTGTGGTAAATATGCTGCAAGACAACTATTTTCGATGTACTCTGATCCCCCAATAAGCTATATTTCACATTTCTCAAACTAATCCTAAATAATTTTGTAAGGATGAATTTTACTTATCAAATGAAGTAGATCAGTGTAGCCTTCACACTGTCTTTGAAAAGTTCACTCATGGATCCGACCCCAGCGATTTTTTTGGCCTAATATAAAAATAAGTTAGACTACAAATGTTAAGAAACTCAATAACTGATTATTTATATTTTTATAATGTAATGTGTACAAATCACAGTAGCACAACAAGCACAGCCTCTGAAGCCTAGTTTCAACACCAAAAATATGGGAGTTGATTTGAAGTAGCGTTTTACAGTTGACATGGACAGGGCATCAAATCTGTACGTACGTCATCTCTCGCCTTACACTTTGATAAGAAAAATATCCCTCATTTGTTTCTAATCAAAGTTCTTATCAGCAGTCCCCGTGGCGTAGTGGCAAGACGCTCGCCTGGCGATTCGCGAGCGCTTTGTCCTGGGTTCGTATCCTGGCCGGGGAGAATTTACTGGGCGCAAATCCTTAACTGTAGCCTCTGTTTAACCTAACAGTAAAATGGGTAGTCGTATTCCGGGGAACATATAGGATTGAGAATTCGCCCGAAACGCTATGCGTGCTAGTGGCTGTAACCTGTAATAGCTTCTATATTGCATTCCTAGTACGTATATTGCTGAAACTTTCGAAAGGTGAAAAACTAGTCACTAGCATATGCATTCTTAGCTACACAACCACCATTTTCAAAACTTCTATTGGTTCTAGCTGACAATTCTAAGCTTAGTGAATTTGAAAACCCGCGTGTCTACTGTTAACCCACTGACTGCTCCAACATTTATGAGTGACAAATTCTAGCATCTGGATTGTCATTTTGTATCAGAGCAATAATAACTGACACGAATTCTGCTGGAGAGCCCATGCTGATTGACCTCGCTGAGTTTGTATTGGAAATGTACAGCTTTCCAATCAGTAATGCCAAGTATTTTCGAGAGTAAAATCTGTAAAAACGAAATTGAGGAATCGAATGGGACGTGTTTGAGACCAATCATTGCCCAAAAGGCTGTGTGAATTAGTAGCTTTAGGCATTATATATATCAGCTCTATCTAGAAATCCTACATTATGTTTGTAACTCATCTTGTATGTATGTACTTTTACCTAAATAAACACTTGATTTGAATCTTGAGAACTTATACAGCAAGAAGGAAACTAGACTTGTTGCTCATCATTTGAACCGATATCTTTGCTAAAATATGATACAGTAATGCAATATATAAGAATGAGGTTGTGGATGCAGAACTTCTTAATAATAATGATAAGCATTATTCAGCTGTTAAGTCGTGGAGGGACTCCACACTCATAATTATGTCTTTTATGCAGCAAATATTTGTAAGTTATCCTATTATCACATTTTGTATTAAATACACGGTGATAATATTAATAAAACCAATAAACAATCGTGTAGATGTTACTTTATTAAAATATAAACCGTATCAGTCACTAAACAAAATATTGGGCTACTTTTATATCAACTTCGGTACTTGTAGTCACCCAGCTCGCTACTCTGGCTACTTCCACCAGCTCTGGCAGTCGTGTGTAACTGAGCTTCTGGTCAGCCAGGAGAGAGAGATGTGTTTGGGTAGTAGTGGGTGGCTGAGGGTAGTTGATCAGTGGTGAGGTTGGTGGTGGGAGCCCGTGGTGCCTGTGAGGGAGGTGTGTGAGTGGTGAAGATGTCTGCCATCCGTCGGTCACTCCTCAAGGGCGGCCTGCCTCCCATGGGCCCTCCTGGCCTCCCAGGGTAAGTCTCTCCTCCTAATATTAAGTCAGGGAAATATTGCTGGATTACTGGAGGCTTACTGGATTACTGGAGGCTTGGGAGTGACGGTACATTATTAACAGGGTAGTGTCACAGGCAACTTGAGTTTAGTATTTTAGTTGATTATAGAGCTCAGGATCTAATAATTCATTGTATCGGGGACAGGCAGCCAGTGTGTATATATACATGTTAGGCTTATATCGAGGTCCTCACCAGGATTGAAATACAGACTCCAGGATGCAACCCAACAATAAGCTGACTTAACTCCTAGGTATCAATTTACTGCTAGGTGAACAGAACCATTAGGTGATAGCAAAAATGCCCAACCATTTCTGTCCAGCTCTGGATTCAAACCCAGAATTTCCAGTCCATACATTTACCCGAATTTACCTGAGGGTCACCACACATCTAGTGGCCTTGACAAGGATAGGAAGCAATAGGCTTGTCAAAGTTCCCACCTATTTGTCCCGATGATTTTATCGAGCAAGATTTTGTCGTTCAACGGTGTTTTGGCATTTACAGCTACGGCGGGTAGGTGGTTCAATGGGTTTATAACCCTGGCCTGGGGGTGAAAAAGCATTGGTTTATGTCCTACATTGTGGCTTGTTGAGCTTGAAACCGTTGCTTCTTGTTTGTGATAAATGTGACCTTTTAACAAGTTTTCCGGATCAACATCCTCCAAATTGTTCAATATCTTAAGTTTTGATGAGATCCGCCCTGTCATGTCTGGTTTGCAGTGATGTTAGCCCTGTGGCCCCTTTAGTGGTTCCTGTCATGAGTTGATTTGGTTCTGGAATTGCTGTTACCAGTATTTAGATATGATAATTCTTGGTTTGTGTTATGAGGGAGAGAAGAATGGTGGTGGGCAGTTAGCTGCCCAAACTACATCGAAGGGTATCACCGCAGTTCTGCTCATACCAACACATCCGGCCAAAATGCTATGCGTGTTAGTGGCTCTGGAAGATTGTAAGAACACCAATGTTAAGTACAATATTAAGAAGGTACCCAATGTACTTTCTTGAATACTGTATAAATAAATACAATAAATATGGGCTGGTTAATGTGTAACGTAGTTACTGATTCTGTCTACAGGGAAGTGAGGTCTCGCTCTTCATGCCCCTCCTGTTAGCCTTGTACCTGTTGTGTTATCATTTAACTGTCCGAATGTTTAAATTCCTTATTAAATCTAGCTTTAAAGTTGTGTTTGGAGGTGGCTTCTACAACTTGTACTTCTTTCAGTGCCATTATACAGGGGGTGTGTGTGTGTACAGTATTTCCTTACACTTGTTTGACTTGTACAGTATGCATTTCTAGCTTCCATGTATGTCCTCTTGTATTTGTTAAATAAAAATTGTGTATATAAGCATTTGATGTATAATATGTATAGAAAATATACATTTAAAATTCACCAAATTGTCATATTTGTAAAGTAAGTTATGCATGGTTATTTGTACAAATTCTTATTGTATATGTGAATAATTATTACATAATAAATGTGAAATATGGACAAACTCCTGGGTCAGCCTTGAAGTAGAGCAGAGATTTCAGCTCTGCCTTGGGGCTGGGGAAAAAAGTGATGCAGTTTTCACTTGTTTGCTCAAGGCCTCTTTAGGCCTATGGTTAAGGCCTCATATCCCATAAGAGGCCACAATACTGTCATAAGGCATCTTTTGGCTGCTTTGAGAAGAGGTGCCTTGGATTATTGGGCCTTTGATGGGCTTCTCTTGTCCCTTCAGGACATGGTATTAGCTCTTGCTCTGCCAGAGGTCAGTCAGAGGTTGATGCATTTTTACTCGAATAGGCCAAAGTTACTGGGTTTATAATTTTAAATTCTAGCATTTTATCGCTTCAAAAAAAGACACATTTTGTAATTTACATTTTTTTTTTTTTTTTGGTAGATTGAATCGAGGTGGCCGAAGCCGTGGAGGTATGATGGGTGGACGGAAAGACTACACTCCAGTGTCATTTAAGAACTACTGGGACAGTAGTGAAGATGTCGCCCTAGAAGGTGGCGATGTTTTTCGTGTGTACAAGCGTGGCTCAGCAGGTCCTTTGCTGTTACTCTTGCACGGAGGGGGATACTCGGGCCTTACTTGGTCTCTCTTTGCTGTGAGTTTATGTTGCTTGTAATGCATACTGTATAATATTGTAATTATTATTTATTTTTTTCATACAAAACTTAATACAGCATGTATTATGAAAGTACTGGGTAATCATTTGTAGATTTTGCCAATTAGGAACTAATACTTTTGAAAGTCAATTGAATAGCATAAAATGTTGATAATATAAAATGCAAAATAAATCAGATCGGTAGCATAGTATACAGTAATTATAATTTTTAGGGGAATACTCATTATTCTTCCATATTTAATGTGTGGGGATATTTTATTTAGTATTTTATATTGGTATGTTTGCAGGAATATTAAGTTACACAAAATTTATTTCATAAGAAATGTTAATTGTCAAGGCTCTAGATACAGTATTTAGTTGCATTATAATAACTTTTGGTGTGCAATAAATATTAATAGTTGACATTAGTCTAAATTATTAGTTTGTACTTATTGGTATATGTGCTGTTTTAAATTGCTAATAATTTTCATATATCCACCGTCTGCAAATTTAAGAAGACTGGGTGTTATGTTAGTTGGACCAGTAAAAATTTCACCATACGTTTCCTATATTGTATAGAGTACGTACAGTCCTTATTTATCTTAGTCATATTGAAGATCATACTTTTAATTTCAATAAAGGCAATTTTATATTAGATAAATATTAACTGAATAAATGGAAAATAAATGCCATGGCATAAAACCTGACATTAAACCCTACCTTTTTTCTCTCAAATTTTCACCCCTGTTTAGCTCTCTGTTCCAATGGCTTTGCAAACTTTTTTGCAAGTTCTCAACTAAACTTGACTGTCCTATCAGTATTGAGTGTTCTACATGGCAGATTTTGTTTCAGTTGGATAGAAAAAATAAATACTGAGGACTTTTACTGACAATAATTTTTAGTTAATTATTGCTGGTATTTGCTGCAGGAACATGTCAGCGAGATGGTAGAGTGTCAGGTGATGGCCGTTGACCAGCGAGGACACGGGGATACTCGCACCACAGATGATTCGGATCTCTCCGCTGAAACCCTTGCTAGGTGTGTGAGCTGTATTTGTGTACTTTTAGATAGGGATCAGTTAGTTTTGTTAGTATTTTCTTTGTGCTCATGTGTACAGGTATGAGTATACAGATACTGTATTACAATGTGTATTTTGAGTTTTTGTTAATGATAGCTATTATAATTGATAATCTTGAAAGCTCTTTTTCCACCTATTGCATGTACAGTATTGTAAAAATATTAGATTTTAACAGATGCAGTGTTTTATGTACAGTATGGTATAATCAGTAGAGTCCAAGACTGATTTGAACTATTTTACAACATTATAGGTTGCAAAATTAAAAAAACGTTTTGGTCCAGTGGGACCTCACGTGAAGGAACCTCGCTCTATTGAAAGCTTTCACTGGCTAGACATGTTCATGCAGAGTTCTGATGGTTCACTGATTATTCATGCAAGCCATAGCCACATTAGCCCATTGGGATGTGTGTTACAACAGTCAACAAGATCTAAATGTAAACTACATTATATACTAAGCAGGGCATAAAATCTTTCAAACTCAAATACAATAAATTACTATTTTATTAAAATGTTACAATTAAACAATAATGACTAAAAGTACACACAACTGCCAAAGCAATGTGGAAAAGTGTCAAAGATATGGTCGTTCCACCAGACCAGTAATTACCAAAGTGTAGTTACAGGACAAGAGCTATACTCATGATATCCCGTTTTCCTGGTACAGAACTGTCATACAACTCTTTTAAAACTTCCAATGGTTTCGGCCTCCACCGACACAAGATCTAACTGTTTGAAAACCGTGTCTGTTGTTATATCATTCCTTTCCAGGTGCTCCACCCATTTGGTTTTAATTACTATTTCTAGTGTTTTGACTACCAATTATACAGGCATGTAATTGAAAGGGCATACTTTCCTACCATTTTTGTAATTTGAAGTATGGTTTGCCTTTTCCCAAGTATGAATTATGGTTGCCTTATCTGGTTGGTGTGTACATTCTTATTATTAAATATTTCATTATCTATATCTGTTTTGTGATCTGTTCTATATCTTGTATCTTCTCACTAAAGTAACTCCACTCAAGAAGAATAGTTTTCACAGTTAATTATTTACGTCTTTTATTTAAACCTCTCAAGCCTTTATATTTAAGTCAGCTTCTTGCAGAATGTGAGGGTTTTGTATGAGTTTGTCTGACTAAAGATTTTTAATTGGCAGTGACATTGGTCGGTTGGTGGATGCAGTGTATGGGTCTGCTCAGCCACCATGTGTGCTCATTGGTCACAGCATGGGTGGTGCCATCGCTGTCCACACTGCATACTATGGCTATGTTGCTGGTTAGTGTTGATTATAGCACATGTTATCTCCTAGTCACACTGCTTGTAGGTGCTTAATTTGTTGTCACATTTAGGTTCCCTTGGCAAAATTGGCTTAGAAAGTACACCTTCTTTTTTTAAATACATTTTCTTGTATTTTATCAAAATGCACAAGTTTCATTCATTCCCTCCATCTGTGTTTTCATAGTAATGTCACAATTATATTCATATGTTTAACCCTTACGCTGCAACATTTGACGTTATTTGAAAAACTAATAATTTCCCTGTATTGCGACATTCAAATTAATAGAAAATTGTGTGTGTATACTGTACTGACGTGTTCAATGATATTCATACATCACTACTCATACTTCCATGGAGTAAGGAGGCATCAAATCAGAAGAAATAGAACTTGCAAACTTGATATAAAATGTTTGATGTAACTTGATAAAAAATATTCACCCCCTTAATCTATTTGCTGTGATAAGGTGGAAACTCTTGTTTGAAGAAAGTTAATTAGTGCAATGTGAGAGTTTAAAAAGTTAATTGGAGCAATACTTTCAACAACCTGTAATGCTTGTTTTGGTATTGGGCCCTCAGAACATTGTTCTTGTCTGGTAGCTGCAGCCATTTAGCACCAATAGATCTAAATCTGTTAGGAATAATTAGTTTTTCATTCAGTACTGTCACCAATAGGTATTATTAATTAATAATATGATATTTTTGTTCATTTGATGCAACATGTTAGTGTGATCTCTGTGTGTTTAATAATAGACTGAGGAACTGGGAACTAATGAACCATGACCTGACAGAAAGGAACTGGTAAAACCAGCTCAATAATGCAAAGCAAATTCGGTGCCTCAAGGGAAAAAACTCGATATCATTAGACATGCGCTCAAAGAAACATAACCACCAAGGAAAAAAATAAAGGAAAAAATGCAAATTGGGTGTTGTGGCGTTCTTAGGCAGCCGAGCTCTTTCCTCTAGTCTGGTTTATGTGGAGCCGTCCTCCACACCCATTCTCTGGTGCAAACTTCATGAAATGAAGACTGATGTTAGTTGATTTTTCTGGTTATGAAATCAAGCAGGATTCAAATATGCAGTGCAAAGGGTAAAAACAAATTTTTAATTATTTTTTTAAGAAAACTTAAACTACATAAAATGCAATTTATTTACAGTAATGTATTTGCTGATGTGGAAAAATCAAGCCAAGCTAATCTAGTTGGAAAGTAAAAGATTATTGTGAAGCAAGAGAGAGAGAGAGAAAAACACTAATATTAAGTTTTATCTCTGGAACTGCTGTATCACAAATTTATTTACATATTCTTCTTCTTAGGGATTGCAGGTTTAATCGTAATAGATGTAGTGGAAGGTACAGCCATGGATGCCCTAAGCTCCATGCAGAGTTTCCTGCGTGGCCGCCCAAACAACTTCAACTCCCTTCAAAATGCCATAGAATGGAGGTTTGTATTCCAGCAGCTTGTTCTATTGAAATAAAGCAACTTTCTCTTGTGCTACAAATTGCTGGTTATATATTAGCAAAAATTTAATTTAAATGGATTTTAAAATTAAATTTAGATGGATTTCAAGTTTTTAACATAATGCATATTTTATAGAAGGGCAAGAGTTCTCTACTTCATTGAACATTCATGGAGAAAACTATTACGCTTGTAATTTTTATATTTGTCTCAAGTAGAGTTTTTCAGAATAGATTGTAGGTACTTGGCAGGTTGTTTACCTCACAATAGTCTAAAAGTGGCCTTTATATTTGTGGCTTTCCTGTACTATATTCAAATTTGCATATTTTCAGAGTTTTTTAATACCCAAAATCTATATTTGCTAGGCTCTGGTACCCAGCAGGCCAAATGTAACTCCCACGACTAATGTGAACTTTTAATATGGAGCAATATTGGCAAAATAGCTTCAGGGAGTCACTAGGGCTCTTTCAGATAGCTTTTCATTACATTCAACACTAGGTTTCTCTCTGTGGAAAATTTTAGGTGCTTTCTCTTACCCTTGTTGCTCTTTAATGCATTGTGCTCTAGGTACCCAGTTAATGAGATCTAGCTTATGCTGTAGTTATCTGATGTGCCTTTTAGGGTGTTCCGGCCTCTGTTACCTAGGTTCTTTTTCTATTGTTTATGTTTTGAGATTTTACAAACTGTCTACCTCGGCCTTTCTGGTTTGGGCCCATTTGTGTGCTGTACTCGCAGCTCATGAGGCGGTGGCCGGGAATCTCGGGTGACCTTTGGCTGCTATCTAATGGGGGCATGTTAGGGCTAGGGTTGTTCACCTATGGCCAAAATCAATTGCCTTTTTTCATCAAGGGCCTGCTGTATTCACAGGACTTTCCAGGATCCAAATAAAACAAATATTGATGTTTGATGGAGTTTATTAGATTTTAAAATTATTCATCTTAAATCTTAATATTTTTCAGTGTGCGCTCTGGACAAACTAGAAATATTGAAGCGGCCAGAGTTTCAATGCCGGGACAAGTTAAGAAGTGAGTGAGTGTTATAATGTTTTGTCTAGAGTTACTAAGTTATAAAGCATACATTGCACTATTGCACTAACTTATTGGCAGGTGTCTGAAAATTAGAACTGCATGATGCTTCCTTCTGAAGATAATTTTGAGTTTTAGAAATGGTATTCTACTGAGACCTTCTTTGCACTTTTCCATTTTGGGGTAGGGTTAAAATCTGGATGGTTGATCAGGAAAAAAAATACGGCTTAATGTTATCCTGTAGTGAGAGTTTGAAACTAATTATCCCATTGTTTGAACCATATGGTGTGTGCTGCCACTTATAATCACTAGAAGAATTTGTTCAATATATTTTATTCTGGACTGGTCCTTGGTAACTTGTTGGTAGTACATTGGTTCTGATACCACGGAGACAACCACGAAGCTACCAGGTTCGTCCTCGCTTAACTCGTCTGTTAGATATATGTAACTTTGTATCACTTCATGGCTGCCAGGATGATTTGTGTCATCATCATTACTACTGCTGCTGTCTGTTTAGACCTTTTGAACTACAGTATTCTTGGGGGGGGGGGGGGGTGTTAGTGTCTTCTGATGTTTCTTTGTGGGATGATCCTTGGGAGTGTGGAAGGATGTGCTTCTGCTGTGGCCATGGATACTGAGAGGTGATGGGTCCTGGGCAATGCCATAGGGGTAATTTGAACCAGTTGAGCAATATGAATTTATGCACTAGCAGGAAACTGCAAGGCAGGCTCCCCTAGTATATTTAACGCATAATAGTGGTTCAAATAATTGGTTGACTTGATAAATTTCATTACAAGCATATAGAACTGTGAAAATCATTTAAATTAAGAGGTATACAAACCAAGTAATGTAATTTTGATAAAATAACAACTGCCCTCTCATAGCAAAATAACAAATTACAAGAGGATTTTGTCATGGGTTAACTCAATTATTTTATATTTTATAATCATTGGTCATTGGTATAATCATTATAATCATTATAATCACTGGGGCCTCGTAGCCTGGTGGATAGCGTGCAGGACTCGTAATTCTGTGGCGCGGGTTCGATTCCCGCACGAGGCAGAAACAAATGGGCAAAGTTTTTCACCCTAAATGCCCCTGTTACCTAGCAGTAAATAGGTACCTGGGAGTTAGTCAGCTGTCACGGGCTGCTTCCTGGGGGCGGAGGCCTGGTCGAGGACTGGGCCGCGGGGACACTAGAAAAAGCCCCGAAATCATCTCAAGATATACAAAGCAGACAATACAGTAGTGAAACACCTCTTCTTGAGGGTGCCTCATTGGCTTGGCTTTTTTTTTTTTTTTTATTCCTGCTTATCTGTGTGTTTATGGGGTGCCAGACTCCTGGAGGACTAGTGGATGCCATTTATTGGTGGAAGGGAGAAGCCATGAGCAAATGCCAATTTTGATTGGTATTCAATCTTAACAAACATCGCCCTGTGATGGCTTTGAGTATTTGTAACCCCTTTTTGAATACTTTGTTAGTTTCCCCTCTATGTGGAGTCTTGAAACTCCAACAGCTAACCCCCACCTCTTGTGAGGCAGGAGGGAGAGGGGGGGGGGGGAAGAGAAGCAAGATTATGATCCGTGTTCCCGGTAGAGCATGAGATGGTTATAGGTGCTGCTATGATGACTTCCCGGTGTGTATACTCAGAATGTTAATTTTAATTCATATTTGTTTTTAATTTAAATGCTTTAGCACCAAATTCTGGTGAAGTGAATATTTGGAGTAACTTGTAAGTCGTCCATGATGGTACTGACCATTGCAGTTATCACAACGAAGCGGCCACCAAAACAGAGTTCATCCTTTGCATCCAGATTTCCAGTATACCTGAGTTTTATTTGAATGGGAGTCCACTGTGCAGTATTTACTTTATTATATATTTACGGTAGTTAATTTCCTTTATCTTTAATATTATTTTGTTTTTGTATCATAGCACAGAGAATGGGTGCTGTGGCACTGTTGATGTTGAATCATCAATCGATAATAACCAGAAACAAAACCGAGAGAGTGGTGTTCTAGTTCGATCAGACATGATCCCCGAGGAGGGTGGTGACGCCGACACTTCTCAGACTACAGAATCATCATCGGCACCGTCTTTAAATGAAAGCAACTTACCGGTAACATTAAGAACGTCATTTAGTGTTGCTCTAGTATAGTTATACAGTAGATATTTAAAACTACTGTATGTCAAGACATCGATTTTGTCGATACTTGTGCATGAATGTGAATATGGAAGTATTTAAAGAACAGTAACAGTATAATGGGTAGTAAATATATAAGGTACTGTATATGATAAATTAGGAGCTGTGTCAAAAGAACATTCAAAGTGAATATCATATAGTAAGAAATTTTGCTACATGATTGGCATAATGTGGTTGTCTTAAGTTTCATGTATTGCATGCACGTTTTCCTCCCCATCCATCTTGGGATTAAAATAGATTATCTAGCCAAGAGGCTTGTGGAAGTTTCTCGACACACAATTCTCTGTAAATTTTTGGACGCTTCTTCATGCGCTATCTTCAGTGGAATTGTTAGTTTACTCGGATTACAATTTTTCAGGTCAGAAAATATACGTGGCGAATAAACTTAGGAGAAACGGAAAAATTTTGGCCTGGTTGGTTTCAAGGATTATCGGCCAAGTTCTTGGCAAGTTCTCCAGCAAAAATGCTATTGCTGGCTGGCATAGACAGACTTGACACTGAACTAACTGTTGGACAGATGCAAGGTGGGTTTTTGTTATGGTTTTTAAGAGCATTCTGAGAGAAATTTCATTTTGGTGATATATAGTACAGTGTGTGTTGATTTGTATATTATTTGTCTTTTCTCATCTTTCATTGTATTCATATTCCTTATGTGAGATGTCATCATTATTCAGTTCCCTTCCTTTGTGAAGCTGAAGTGCTGGTGAAATTGGCAGCAATATATAGTACAGTGGTACCTCGGAATACGAGTGTCCCTGTATGCGCGATTTTCGGAATACGAGCCGGATTTCCTCGGAAAATGTGTCTCGGAAGGCGAGGGTTACCTCAGAACGCGAGTTTGTTGATATGTGTTCAGGCTGACCTAGCGCCTGGTGGTACGGTGATCGTCGCCCCTCAGTTTACCGTTGTCTACCGCCCAGTGACTATCCCACATCAATTCTTCACCCGGATTTTCAGTGTTTTGTTGGATTTTTGGTCATTTGACTATACAATTTGTTATTATATATCTCACCATGGGTGGCAAGAAAGCCCATGTGAGGATGACAATAGAGGAGAAACAAGAGATCATTCAGAAGCATGAAAACGGTACACGTGTTATTGAACTTTGTAGGCAGTACAACAAAGCCACATCAACAATTTCCACTAGCACTCATAATCTCATTTTTCTTCTTAAGTATAAAGTGGCAAAAGGCGTAAGAACAATGACGAAACAAAGACCACAATTACTTGAAGTAGAAAAGTTGTTATTAATTTGGATACAATACAAAGGAATTAAGGGGTGATAGTGTTTCGGAGGCCATCATTTGTGAGAAAGCCAGGGTATTGCACGAAGACCTCCTAAAGAAAATCCCTGAAACGAGTGATGCAGATACGAAAGAGTTTAAGGCAAGCAGGGGCTGGTTTGAAAAATTTAGAAGTGGTATCCATAGTGTTACAAGGCATGGGGAGGCAGCCAGCTCGGACAAACCAGCCGCTGGACGATTTATTGAGGAATTTAAAGAGTTTGCAGAGGCTGAGAGATACCTACCGCAACAAGTGTTTAATTGTGACGAAACAGGACTGTTTTGGTAAAGAATGCCTAGGAGGACATACATTACCAGGGAGGAAAAATTCCTTGCCTGGACACAAGCCTATGAAAAATAGGTTTACGCTTGTGCTGTGTTCAAATGCGAGTGGTGATTTGAAAATTAAACCCTTGCTAGTGTATCATTCTGAAAATCCAAGGGTTTTCAAACAGTATAAAGTGCAGAAAACCAATTTGTGTGTGATGTGGAAGGCTAATAAAAAAGCATGGGTGACTAGGCTTATTTATTCGGAGTGGGTGAATGAAGTGGTGTGCCCTGCCATAGAAAAATATCTGCAAGAGAAACTTATGCCACTCAAAGCCATGCTTCTGCTCGACAACGCTCCTGCTCATCCTCCATGCTTGGAAGATGATTTGTTGCCCAGATACAAGAAATTCCTCACAGTTAAATTCCTTCCTCCTAAAACTACTCCTCTAATTCAGCCTATGGACCAGAAAATCATAGCGAATTTTAAGAAACTTTATGAAAGGGCACTTTTCCGGAAATGTTTTGAAGTGACTGAAGCCACAAACCTCACCCTCAAAGAGTTCTGGAAACACCATTTTAACATTTGTAGTGCTTTAAAACTCGTTGACAGCCTGGCAAGAAGTGACTCAAAGAACCCTGATCTCTGGCTGGAGAAAATTGTGGCCTTCTTGAGATCTTGAGATGATTTCGGGGCTTTTTTTTAGTGTCCCCGTGGCCCGGTCCTCGACCAAGCCTCCACCCCCAGGAAGCAGCCCGTGACAGCTGACTAACACCCAGGTACCTATTTTACTGCTAGGTAACAGGGGCATAGGGTGAAAGAAACTCTGCCCATTGTTTCTCGCCAGCGCCTGGGATTGAACCCAGGACCACAGGATAACAAGTCCAGCATGCTGTCCGCTCGGCTGACCGGCTCCCCAAAGCCGCTCCCCATTCAGCGGCCTGAATGTGTGAGAGAACTAGACTTTGAGGGGCTTGAGCCTGTAAATGATGCGCCTATTGTTGACGAAATTGTTACTCTGGGCCGGCAAATGGGCTTGGAATTGGATGATGATGTGGAGGAGTTGGTGGAAGAACACAACGAAGAACTGACCACCGAAGAACTCCAAGCCCTTCAACAGGAACAGCAAGACAACGCAGCTGATGATTCTACAGAGGAGGAGGATGAGGCAGTAGCGAATGCTACTGCCTCATCTTCCACCATCCAAATGCTAATTTCTGCTACTGCAGAAATTAGGAAGGTATGTCAGATGTGGGAAGAGATTCAAACAATTGTTGAAAAGACTCACCCAGAGAAAGCTGTAGTAGGCCGTTGCCTTAATCTTTTCAATGACAATGTGATGCCTTACCACAGAGACAGCTTGCGAAGAAGGGAAAAGCAAGCTTCCATGGACAGATTTGTGGTGAGAAAATCGAGCAGTGAGCCACAACCAGGACCTAGTGGTACTCAGGCAAAATGTGCCAGGGAGTGCACACCAGAAAGGTCCTCGCTGCCTGATGTGATAATGGAAGGGGACTCCCCTTCCAAACATTAACTCCTCTCCTCCTCCCCCCTCCTCACCATCTTCCATACGCCTACAGCATTCAACAGCAAGTTATGTAATAACTTGAACATAGTTTTATAGGTTTATTTAGATGAATTAGGTATAAAAATTTAGTTTGATGTGGGGTTTTTGGGGTAGTCAGGAACGGATTAATTCATTTCCCATTATTTCTTATGGGGAAATTAGCTTCGGAATACGAGTTTTCGGAATATGAGCCGTCTCCAGGAACGGATTAAACTCGTAAACCGAGGTACAGTAAAACAAAATTTTTAATAAATTATTAATTGTTATTATAATTATTATTATTAAGAAGGTTATAGATATTGACCCTTTGGTTGCAACACTGATTCTTTTTGGCACTATTCCTACCAATCTTGAGGTCATCTTGAGATGATTTCGGGGCTTAGTGTCCCCGCGGCCCAGTCCTCGACCAGGCCTCCTTTTTGTTACACACCTCCGGGAAGCAGCCCGTAGCAGCTTTCTAAGTCCCAGGTACCTATTTACTGCTAGGTAACAGGAGCATCAGGGTGAAAGAAACATTTTGCCCATTTGTTTCCGCCTCCACCGGGGATCGAACCCGGAACCTCAGGACTACGAATCCGAAGTGCTGTCCACCCGGCTGTTAGGCGCCAAGGGTTAAAGAATAGACACAATCAGAATTTTGAAATTAGCATTTTATTTAAGATACAATTTACCTATCAGTACGGAGGGAGCTGGTCGGCCGAGCGGACAGCACACGGGACTTGTGATCCTGTGGTCCTGGGTTCGATCCCAGGCGCCGGCGAGAAACAATGGGCAGAGTTTCTTTCACCCTATGCCCCTGTTTCCTAGCAGTAAAATAGGTACCTGGGTGTTAGTCAGCTGTCACGGGCTGCTTCCTGGGGGTGGAGGCCTGGTCGAGGACCAGGCCGCGGGGACACTAAAAAGCCCCGAAATCATCTCAAGATAACCTTATCGAAGGTACCTCCCCCCTAATTTGCTTTTATCTTTTCCAATTGGATTTTAAAATTTGGAGTGGAGGGAGAGTGTAAGAGAGAGAAAAGGATATGAGGAAGGGGGTTTGAGGAAATTATTAATATGGTTTGATGCTGCTGTAGTGATTACAATGCTGGGTCTCATACCTGAATCATATAACACAAAAATGTCACTACTAATGCCAATGTTAACAATTTTGCAGGAAAGTTCCAGATGCAGGTTTTGCCCCAATGTGGCCATGCAGTACAGGAAGACACCCCCGATCGTGTGGCTGAAGTGCTGGCCGCTTTCCTCATCAGACACAAGCTTGCTCCACCCAAGAATGATTTCAACATGTAAGGATTTTTTGTTTACTTTACAAACCTTGCACACTTGTATGTGCACATACACATCTGTGTGTGTGCACATACAGGTGCTCTTTATGACGTTGTGTAATTTCATTAAATTTCATGTTCATTTATTGCCCGTTTATCTTGTTGTGCAAGTTCATTCCCACTTAAACAAAATGGGAAACAGGATAATACTGTAATGATAGAAATTAAATTGTCACTATAATATTGAATTGTAACTATATTCAGTAGTTTCAGTTGAAATTTTGCTGATCATTTTATAACTGAATGAATTATTGTTTTTGACAGGAGTTTTCCCGCATGCTGAAAAAGAGCTCGATGATGCCTGTGACGAGTCGTCTTGCACATCCTCATACTGGAAGATAGTGGCAAGTTGTACTAGTGTATTGTAGTACACACCCTTATACATTCAAGATGCACTATGGTTACATGGGCTTTTCTTTTCCCCTCATGGGTTCTGCCTTGCCATGGGAAAAAGGGGCATTTGCACACCAATCTTGGGTGATTGATGGTGGCTTCTGCTTCTCTCTTACCTTCTGAAGCAGAGTTCAACTAGAGTACCCACTTTGAGGCTTCCCATTTAGGTATTTAGACCACCTGCTGGAGGGGTTGCCCATGAGAGGCCGTGCTTGTATCAATGGTCTTGTTAAAAAGGGAGAACACCACTAAGGATGCAGCACCCTGTTTGTGTCGGCTCACACTTGACTCCTCTCACTACTCCGGTAGGTGGTATTCCATTGTCCAAGGATACAATCCTCTTCTCTGCTTACCAATGGAAAGTTTCTCTCCATTACTCATCATACTTGTGCAGTGGATATCCACACTCACAATTTGTGCCCCACAGCTCCTTATTTGCAAGACCCTAACTTGTCACCCTCTCTCTCTCTCCTTGTGTATTACTTGTCAATGTTAACATTCTTTTTTTCTGTATTAAGATGATGATTCACAAGATTGTGCAGCAAATTTGTTAGTAAAATAACATGTATCCACCGTCGTCGTACTTTTGAAATTGCTGAGCCGGTGTAAGTCACCTTACTACAGTACTACCTTGCCTAAAAATCTCATGGCGAGTCATACTTTCATGTGCAGTTTTGGTATTCATACAATGATGTATGTACTCCTGCTGAATTTGTCCGCTCTGTCCCTTTGCCACTCATTGGCAGTGTGCTCCAATAATATTCACAGTTCTCTGCCATCAACCTACCTGTACAATAGCGTACAGTATTTATGAAATATTTATACCCGTAATCAGATATGGGGGGGCCCCTGGGTCCATCCACATAGCATGGTACAATATGGTTGTTCTCCCCATTAAAAACCCAGTACAAAGTACACTTCTCTTTGGGATCTTCGTCCCTTTGCTTTAATTAGTTGCATCTGCAAGATTTTTGTAACGTTATCTTTGCGACGTTGTCCCAATTTAGTTATAAAGTTGCAGTACCACTGATATCCTGACAGACGTGCAAGTTTTGACACAGTTGCTCATTCTATGAGCATCTATGGACAGATGCTCCAGGCAGTTTATTTAATGACAGCCATTATCTGGTAATGGCTGTCCTTTTTAACTTGGATTAAACATGACACCACAGTATCTGGAAATATAATAGCCCAGTTACATTCTTTTTGGCCTCTTGGTTATTTGCCTTTGTTCCTTCAAAGCTTCCACTCTGTACAAACCTTTGTAAAGCATACTTTGGGACTGCTTCTGTGGAACAATCATTCGTGTTGTCCCCTTAATGGTCTCTCATCATCTCTCCCAACTGGGGTATATTCCACATTTGCATAATGAACTACAAAAACAGTGTTCTAATCGTCCAGGAGTCTTTTAGAAAGACTTTGGTGGCACATGTCTTTGGCAGATATAGTTTTGTTGGGTTTGCAGACATACTGGTGTAACCTCTGACTTGCAGATGAAACAGACACATCATGCCTCTCCAATCTTCCAAAAGGGCATTCCTTAGATATGTGCCCTGTCATTATGCAGTCCAAAACTATTGGGGATGTAGATGGTTATAGACCATGAATAGTATATTTTACTAGCAGAATGTAACTTAAACCCCCCCCCCCATAGCCTTACTTCTTTCACTGAAATAGATGGGGAAAAAGTGTCTGGATAGGTTATATATTGGCCCACACAAATTTAGCTCATGGGTACTTATTGCAATGGATACCTGTACTATCAGAAGTGCATTGTCCAGCTTAGACACTTGCCTTATAAAATGTCCTGATTTTCAGGGTGTTTCAAAATTTTGTTTTCCCACAGTTCCTTAGTCATTTGTTCCATTTAACATTCTCTGTGAATCTATCTCCTTTTCACGTCACTTGTCTTGTCTTTCTCTTCTTGTAATGGCATCCTAAATGATATCTTGGGTATATTCTGTAACAGTGCTCTATAACCATCCTGGTTTAGTACTTTTAATAATTACATTTTTTATGTATTATTTCACCATACTTGACAATTGTAAGTGTATATTTGTAAAAACTTAGGTCATTATGTATACACATGTGAATTCCTTAGCACCGAAGAGGCTTAACACTTGCAGAGATTGCACTAAATGTTTTGCAGCTATTATTAAAACACGTTAATACTGGGCACTTGGAGCCTCGAACTATTGACAGCAACAATTCACTTGGGCACTGGGAGTGCCCAAGTGAATGAAATGTTAGCATCCATGTTTATTGTGGTTGACAATTTATATGACGTGGGTGTGGATCATCTAGTTCCTCCTTGTTCTAGTAGCATTCCAGATGATGTTGAAAGTCCCAGTTGGATACTAGTGATGTCTTGGAGTGTGGTTGTTGCTGTTCATAGTGTGGTCTATAGATCTACTGTCTCCTGCTCTAGGGGTCGGTGGTTCAAGGGTCCCTAGAACCCAAGTAAATGAATTGTTATTATCCATGTTTATTATGGTTGACAATTTTTTAATACTGGTTTAATTAAATTGCTCATGGTTTAGGTTGATCACAGCTTCATACTCAAAATTAGTGTTAATTTGATTCTCTATTTCTGAGAATTTATTTTCATATAAAATTACTGTATTAAAAAAAAGTTTGTGTTCTCATACACAAAGTTGGTATAAAAAATACACAAGGAAGCAAGCTAGCTGAAGAGAGGTTATTATGGTATAAATACGCATTGGAAGCATATGTGCCCGTTTCCAATCTTTGATTCTCTTTATACTATTCCTAGCATAAAAACCATGACATTAATAACGATCTTGAATGCCTCATTATATGAACACAAAAACTTGTGTGGTTGTAAAGCCGAGCATTTATTCTAGGGCTGTGTAGCCTGACTTACCTGTTGTTTTATCTGAAGTTTACGTGTAATCTTGAATGTCTCGTAATATTTTTTATTTAGCCGAGGTACTGAATAACCTCGTGTTATTCAGCCCCTTTTATTTATTTATTTTTCCCAGAACACAATCTGCCTGTTTTTTGACTAACATTTATTACAGTACTTTACTGTACAGTATAACCGAAGGTGCATGCTTCCTATTGTAATTATCTTGGTGTAAACCAATAGCAAATATATGTGCATTTTCCATGTTCTTGGTTTATCTTAATATCATATTGACTTTGAAAAATTTAAAAGAAAAATATATACTGTAACTTGAGAATAGTCTGAATTTTGCCATGGAAAGCACTTCTACGTGCCACTGGAAGTACAGCATCTAATAATGTCATAAAAAAAAAAAGGGGGTCAAAGAAGAGGCACATCAGATAGGTCAGAAGGCGTAGTATGGATAGTGAATAGATTTCATTCCACCTTAAGCAGATAAGTATTACAATAAACAAAATTTAAGCCATCGGGATTTAAATAAACAGCAGTTGTATTAAAATAACAAAAATTAACTATACATTATGCTAGTAAATCAACAAACAAGTTTTGATTAATTTTACAAAGGTAATTGGAATACAGTGCAATTATTCAGCCCTGTAACAATAACATATAAAGTACAAAACAGTATAAACTTGGACTTCCTTACAAAATCACAATATTAACAATACAATTCAAGAGAATGTATGGGGGACAGTTTATAAAACCAATTGCTATCAACCTTTTGACTACAAATAACCTCTGTTGCACAACTTTTTATTGCATAGATCTGGGATTCATTCATGAGTGACATGAGCTACAACTAAACTAAACTACTCAAAGTGAACTGTCAAAATGGGAGATAACAATCATGAGCTAATTATAGTTTTCAGATTGTTGATTATTATTGTACTTGTTATCGGGAATGAAGATGAAAAACCCGTAATGGATAAAGACAATCAAGTATCAAGGGATATAATTATAATAATCTAGGATAAACTCTACTTCTAACAGTATGTACAGATATTAGTTTTATTGAGAAAACTATATTTATTACTGATACTTTATCTACATCACTTTTTAAGTGGTTTAAGTTGCATGCATGCGAGAGATGTCCCGAGCTAAGCCTGGCAGAACATCACAGGTGTCAATTTTCTGTCGAAGAGCAATAGCTAGTTCATCTTCTAAAATACATACTATAATCTAATTATGTTTGAATTTGACAGTTTAATATGTATAAAAAGGTGGCTCATTTTGCTTATACCTATAAGACATAGGTATGAGTATACATATACTGTACAGTATAACAATTTAAAAAAAGTCCTGTTGTGCTTAGTAAGGGCTAATTATGCACTAAGTTTTATCACTCTACAGATGACTAATTGTTTAAACGAATATGCAAAACCCCACACCACCACATTTTCTTGAATAACTGGTCTGTTTAACACCCCCCACAAGTCTGCACTACATAAGTTGTCTACAACGTCATGTAGTTACTAGGGATTTTGTATTAGTTCACTGACAATTGGACCAACCTGATACTACTGGACTACTATGTTGGCATCATGCACATTTTTAGTGGAATTGACGGACATTAATAATTTAAAGATAATCATACACGTTGGATAAAAAAAAAATATTGAATATGAACTCTTAGGACAGGATCTAACTGCTTTTGTCATTTTACTAGAGCCATTTTTTTGCTAGAAGTAAAAATTATGCCATTTGAATTTTTTAATGGTAGAGCAATATGTTCTGTACTTAAATAGTGCAAAATAACATTAACAACATAATTATTCAAAAGGGAGTACAGTGGGACCTTCGTTTTTGTAGTTAATCTGTTCCCAGAGAAGGTACGAAAACCGAAACGAATTTTCCCATAAGAAATAATGTAAATTTAATTAATCCGTTCCACACCCCCAAAAATATTAACTAAAATTAATTTTTTATACAAAATACTCTTAGGTACCTTACCTTTATGGAGGACTCTTGTTGGCATATGGAAGACAGTGAGAAGGGGAGGGGGAAGGAGGAGGAGAGTCCCCTTCCATTATGACAGCAGTGATAACATTTTTGGGTTATTCACTCTCTTACGTTTTGCAGGCATACCACTAGGCCCTGCTTATGGCTCACTGCTTGCTTGTCTTGCTAAGAGTCTGTTTATAGACACTTGTTTTTCCCTACATTTTAACACTTGTCTGTAGTGAGACATCACATTGTCTCACTATGAATGATCTCTTGTTTTGACTCTTATCATCTTCACAACTATTTTCTTAGGTTGAACATTACCACTGACATTCTTGGAACCCCATGGCATGATATATAATAAGAACCTTTGTTCAGAAACCCAAAAAGCACAAAAACAATTAAATTCTTCACAAAGAATCCAATCACGATTATCACTAGGGAGAAGACACTGGTAAACTGAAGCGCCACACTTGCGGTGGATCCGTACGTGTATAAACAAACTATGACCCCCGAGGCAAACTGTGACTAACCGAATCTAGAAATTTACTACGAGAACCAAGGTTCCACTGTACTAATTATTTGGGCTTTTATTATGCCGAGACTGCTACTAGTGTCAAAAAGAACTTTAAATTAGACAAAAGCAGAAAATCTGGGGTATAACTTTCCTTGTGGCAAGTAAGTCATAATCCTCTCGTATTCAATATGAGTCTCTTGAATTAACCAAATATATATTTTTAATGCAGTTCATAACAGAATGTTAGATTATATCTTTCCAGTCAAATTAATACAAAAAATGTATTAATGTCAATTACAGTTAATTATTCACATAGGACATAAATATAAAATCATCTTTGACGACCCATGTAGATAAGGCTCGAGAATTTATTATACGCATTTCCTTTTTATTAAAAAATGTACACGTTACATTATCATTCCGATTTCACTGATAAATACATTTTCTTGCCTAACAAACTTTTTCAATTTACATGACATAAAATCATCAATGTTAAGAGCTTTAGAGTATGTTTCACAATGAAAGGTGCCTCTGAATACTGTTTATATTGATGCTATCTTTAAACTGCTAATGTTGGCAACATGATACACACTAATTCCATTTCTAGCGCAGAGAGTAATCATTCCATCCTACTGCAGCAAAAAGATTAAGTGTGTGGAGACATTACAACTCCTCATTAAGAGGCATATTCCTAAAGTAGAGGTTACAATGTGTTGGTATGCTCAAGAGCAAGAAGATATGAAGGTAAGAGTATGTTGGTGGCAGAAGAGAAGTAGTGGTTGAAGTATTTAGAAAAGTTCTCAAAACTTTGTCTAAACAAAACAAAGCAAAAGTAATTATCAACAGAAGGTACCAACCAAGAAGACTATGGAGCACCGTCTGGGTTCAGGGATATTCAAAAGGACGTAATATCACTCGGGATGCCAACACAATAACAAAGGGGCATAAAGTAGTGACATCAAATGTATTACAGATTTACCCAGGATTTTATCAAGGGACATAAACAAAAAGATTGAACAGACACACAGTGTGCCAATAAAATATAAAGTTTATTATAATTGTTCCTCAATGAATATAGAGTAACAAAACTAAAATATTTGTTTTGCTCTTTAACAAATGGAGATCAAGAAAATTATCAGGTAGAGAGACTTACAGCATTGCTGATTTGCAACAAATTTAACAAATATATTTAAATACAGTATAATCTAGTAAAAATTCTGCATTATGGAAACTCTCAGCAAAGATTCCACAAAAGTGTACTGTATTGTGAAAACTAGTGACCAGAAATGTATGAGAAACCTGTCATAGGTATAAGAAATACTATACTAGTACTCTCCCACATGACTAGAAAATATTCCTAACTATTAACACACAACTTATATATTTGTCACCATAACCAAAAGAAATATAAACAAACCCAGCAAACACACAAACATGACTGACTGATAAGTGGCCAATTCAAACTGTATGGCAAATGAAATAACATACTGACATTCTGTACAAAACTCAGATGTTTACTATGGTGCATTAGACAGCATAAGCTGTTTCTGTAATATTATCAATAAATATATATAGAAAGTGATGATAAAACAAGAATGTTATCTAATTTTGCCAGAAGCTTTACATAATACTTCAGTCACAAGGCCTATTAAAGATCATGAATTGGAATCATTCAAACACTATAGTAAAACTGCATTATAAACACAGTAGAACACTAAATATTGACTATACATATTTCAACTCTACACTGTTAATAAATTTAACGGTTAACATACTTTCCAAAAGCTTATGCTTATCTATTGGAATAAAAGGTAATTTTACATGTATTGGCTCTCGGTTATCTATTTTTGGCCATCTTGCCCCCCTCCTCCTCTCTTCAAAAGCAGCACTTGAAACATTTGCTGACTAATAGATAAAACAACAAATTTCTTGTTATTATCCATTTCTCTTATCTGATAATTAAATTATCAGTCAATAAATTAGCCATATTATATTTAAACCCTTGTAGAGTTGTGATCATCAAAATTATCATCTTGCTTAAACAAAAACCAAAAAATTCCTCCTAAAGAATCATACGGTTGAATGCAAGAAGTAAAGGTAATGCAAATATCGAAGCCTCTTGGTTTCACATGTTAGAAGGGAGCCAGCTGTGGGTCTCAACACAAGATGCTCAGTTTACCAAAACCCGTCCTGTTGGGGTGACAAGACTCGCCTTAAAGCTGGATGGGTTTTATGTTCGTGGCTTCACTTATTAGTTTACACAGTTTATATTTTGAGTTGAACTCTATTTAATTGACAAAAATAGTCACTGGGTAGTGCATATAGGTCTACAATGTAATATGCACACCTAGATAACACAAACCTGTTCCTGGTATAGCTCACAGCAAGTCTATTGCTGCTGTTATCTGAATATTTTTGGATAATGTTCCCAAACTGATGAGAAAGACCAATCTGTAATTTGATGATAATTGCAAGTGCATTTATTTACCTGTCTTGCACTTGTACACTATACCTCGTTGCTTAGTAAAAAAATTAATAAAAACAGAAGAATTTATTCATGGGTCCTGGTTAACTCCATTACATCCATATAGATGTACTCAGAACCGTATGATAAAAATCAATAATGATTATAACTGCATTGACTCAGGGTTCAACATATGATAATAACCGACCTTCAACGGTTGATACAATGCCCCTAAACTAAAAAAAAAAAAATGTGAACTCATAAGTGTTTATAATGTTTAACGAGATGGTGCTCGATATATTATATACTGTATAGGGGTGAAAGCTGATAGCCAACATCTCCGAGAAAGATTAAATGTGGAAAAATAACAAGATAGCCTTGGCTCAATGGGTTTTTTAACCATGAAATATGAGCGCCAGCGTGAAAGGGTTAGGACTACAGTATTAAGTACAGTTACCTTGAGGTTACTTTGAGGTGCTTCCGGGGCTTAGTGTCCCCGCGGCCCGGTCGTCGACCAGGCCTCCTGGTTGCTGGACTGATCAACCAGGCTGTTAGACGCGGCTGCTCGCAGCCTGACGTATGAGTCACAGCCTGGTTGATCAGGTATCCTTTGGAGGTGCTTATCCAGTCAACCAGTGAGGCAGCCATTTTATCATGTAAAGACCCAATATCAAGGTAACTTCTTTCATATGATTGTTTAAATTTGCAACTTTCATATTCCCTCCTAATGTGGTATATGTTGTTCTGGATACAAAATTAGAAAGGTAAAAGCAATAGAGTTAGTTTTAGAGCCAATAACAATTGTGTTCTTCTGTATAGATAATGAGATTCTGTAGTAACACTCGGTAAAACATATTTGGCAGACAACTGCAACACATGAAGCTCCAGAAATAATACCTAATACACTAAAGAACAGCTCACCAGAAACTTTTAAGATAGACTTTGCTGCTGAGGTTGGTCAGAATTCATGGCGTCCTTCACACACGCCTTAAAACCCTCCCAACCTTCTCTTGCTTGTTGTTGCTGAAATAAACAATGTCTTTATTTATATTTATCTATGAAATACCTAATGTGATGGTCTAATAATATGGGAAATGCTTATAAAATGTTAATTTTTATGGGAAATGCTTATAAAATATTAATTTTTATAAGAGAAATAGGAGTGAGGATGTATCACGCACTAGAAGTATAGTACTATATCTTCACCAGGATTAAGCCATGAATCAACCTCTCCAGGGGCCAGATTCACGAAAGCACTTACACAAGCACTTACGAACGTGTACATCTTTCCTCAATCTTTGACGGCTTTGGTTACATTTATTAAACAGTTTACAAGCATGAAAACTTCCCATTCAACTGTTGTTATTGTTATAAACAGCCTCCTGGTGCTTCGGAGCTCATTAACTGTTTAATAATTGGAAACAAAGCTGCCAAAGATTGAGAAAAGATGTACAGGTTCGTAAGTGTTTGTGTAAGTGGTTTTGTGAATCTGGCCCCAGGAGAGCCAGTGACAACTGATGCACAGTAACAGGCATCTCATCCTGTCATCTTAAAAACAAACAATACCTTAAATCTAAAGATAATCCCTGTGGAGGACAACAATAAATCAAGCTAAGAATGTGCATTTCAAAACACAACAGATTAAATAAATATTTTTATGAGGACCTATGAAAATTGTCATTATGTTTAATAGTATCCTTATTTGTTTATACAAAGAAAAACCACCTCAAAATTTGGCTAGACTGCTCCTCTTCAGGCCACCGCCTTCATCTCGCTCTTGACACACTGCCTGAAGGCATCCCAGCCCTCACTGCGGGACGTGTGCTGAGGAATAGTCATGGAAGCCACACTGTTAAAGCGCATCAATACCTCACACACACATTAGTATGTATAGCTCTTACCAGGACAAAATGGCAAAAACAAAACCATTCCAATTTCTGAACTGATTAGTAATTAGTATTTGGGCAAAACCATTCACGATATCCCCAGGACTCTACTCCAAGACATTTAAGACATCTAAGTTAATTTATTTAAATAATTTGAAAAACAAAAATTGGAAATCATAAATGTTTTATGTATTATAATATGCAAGTTTAATATATACCCTGTATGATATAATTACAAAATGCTCTTGGAATTGTACCTCTTTCTATATATTGGTAAGACTACTGTATAATATAATTATTTACAATTAAAACATTATAAATTTACACTAACATTGCTGGATAATATTGATGAAGTTCAAAATTACTCCTAAAATAAATTATTTCATGAGAAATCTAGAAAAATATCCTTGCAAATATCTGAAGGTTTACTATATAATCTATAAATAATAATCAGGTGATAATAGAAATAAACAGTTACTGTATATACCAAAGTACTATTATTAATTTTGCAATCATTCCATACTTATTAGACAAAATTAAAATAATTATACTGTACATAATTGTATTAATCCTCAAGGCAGAGGTTCCCAACGTGTTGCCCAGAAGCAGTGCCAGGCTCATCTCTGTTGCAGACATCAGCACCACATCAAGTTTTACAGCATTACATTACACATTTATACTGCTATATAGTAGCAATGAGAAAAAGTAGAAAGCAGACAGCCCATAATGTTAAGGAGGAGCTATTAGTTCTAAAAAGTTTGACGCCCTAACTAGCAAAGTGCATCGTAACCCACATTTTAATACTATACAGTATTTCATAAATACTGTACTGTATTTACACCTTCATTTATATATTTTCATATCCATATTCTGGTTCAAGTAATGCTTCTCATAAGCTAATGTGTCTTTTACTTCATAAAGTGCACAAGTTTCTTATGGTGGGAGCTTCATCATTTTGAAATTGGAAACTGAACATTTTGGTGTAGAAAACTGACAAAACTGGCACGAGGGACTTAACTGTGTGATGGATGCTTGGCCGGTTTCTGACAATCAACTATGAATGACATTTAAAAAGTAACTATTCATTACTTAATTAAAAATATCTTCTAGCTCACTACCATGGATCTAACTACCAGGGTTCTCGTTAACAGGGTCTCACTACCATGGATCTCACTACCAGGGTTCTCATTAACAGGGTCTCACTACCATGGGTCTCACTACCAGGGTTCTCATTAACAGGGTCTCACTACCATGGGTCTCACTACCAGGGTTCTTTGTAATGTTTATGAAAGTAATACCCTGTACTTGGTTAATTCTTTCTGTAATGTTTTATGAACATAGTTTTGTTGTCTGATTACTTTGTTACAAAATGTATGCAAACACATATGAATACCTTCCATATTAACAGTTATCATTCATAATTTTTGCATCTATACAAAGATGTTTGCTTTATATTCTCATAAAAAACTTGTTGATCGCACAGAAAAGGTTGGGGACCCCTGCCCTGGGGTACAATATACAGGTACCGATGACGACAAGAGGTATCAACTCTCGGAGCACAGAACTGAGGCTGTAGTGTCAACTTCACAAGCTATCACACACACACAAAACAAAACAAAACACCATGCCTGTCTATAAGAAGTTTTTCCACTAATCTCTTGTGATGCTAATATTTTCCATACCTTAAAACCACGATGAAGACGGTCTCGCATTATAGCAATGAATTCCTTGTAACTCAGCTGGCCATCTCCATCATCATCAAAAATCTTGAAAACTGTGTCCACAATGTGCGGGCTCAGCTCTGCACCGGTGCAGATTTTGACTGCACGGTGGAATTCCTCTGTAATGACACAATTTGGTTTCCAGGAACATAAACATAAATACTGTACTGTACTGTTATTTTCCTGTTTTATCTACAATTAAACACAACACACAATGAAACATTAATTTATGGTCCATCATAGTAAAATAATTTATACCTTATTAAACTCCACTTGCTAAATACAGTACAGTACTATATTAGATTCTACTCAGTCATGACATTGTGAAAAGGCATCAGGGTTTTATTACTCCAAAATCTTCAATCTAACAAATCTTTTAAGATATTTTTTTATTTTTTTATTTATATATACAAGAGTTGTTACATTCTCGTAAAGCCATTAGTACGCATAGCGTTTCAGGCAGGTCCTTAATCCTAATTTTTAACGGAATACTACCCGCCAAATCATTTAACAACCAGGCACCCATTCACTGCTGGGTGAACAGAGGCTACAGTTAAGGATCAGTGCCCCGTCAATCCTACCCAGCCAGGATACTATCTTAGGCTAAAGCGCTCGCAAAGCGCCGGGCGAGTGTTTTACCACTATGCCAGGTTAATAATATATGTAAGGGAAAATGCACATAAAACAATCTCACAACAGACTTTGGAGACTTTGGAGATCATATCATATCAAAGAGATCATATCTTTGGAGACCCCACAACAGAATATCAAAACCCCACAGAGAAGAGGGGAATCAAGGCTGGGCAGGACCTACTGCCAATGTTTGATATATTCCTATTTGTTATTTCAAAAAGACTGCTCCTAAATGCAAACAAATAACAAAGAAAGATGGGTTTATTTACTTACCTTGAGAAATAGGTTGGTCAGCTAATGTATACATTCGCATGGCAATAGCAAAATCATCCAATGTGTTAAGGAACTGGCAGAAGGACTTGAACTCGCTAAATGTAATGCCTTTTCCCTCAGGAATACGATCAAGTAATCTCTCGAGATACATTTCATATCTACATGAAATTGAAAAAATAAGAATTAGCAATATATTTATAAATATGTGGTATTGCATGACTGAGGATGCAATTATACTGGAGAATTATTTGTAACTTTCAATACTGATAAAAAAAATAGTCATAATATCCACCTAGAGTAAATGGCACTTTATATTTGTCATGCAGTTCAAGCATAACCTTCAAACAACCTCAATTCCCTTGTTAATACGTAAAAGAAAAAGATCTAAATTATTCACTTATAAATACATTAAATTCAAAACATGACATGAATTTTGAACATTCTGAACCATTTAATAACCAAAATCTTTTATTGATACAAATCTATTGTACAGGATAGGTAAATAAATGGAGAGAGAGATAGGATATATATACAGTATATATATACATAAAACTAAGCAACTTCACTTAATGTAAATATGTCGATTATTCCTCAGTACTGTACTGTACTGTACTGCATAACTTGGGTACAGCTTGAGTGATATTAAATACTGTAATAACAAGTAACACTTCAAATACAGTAATCTATGTCAATATCACATGCCTGCACCCTCACACACATACATATATATACTGTACATGATAACTACAATACACACACACACACACTTTTGAAAACAGAGTTGTAGGTAGTCGAAGAATTAAAGTGAGAACGTGGTGGATGCCAATGCCATCAGTAGTTTCAAAAAGTCATATGCCATGATTATAGAGAAGACAGGAACCCCATGAGTGTAACTCTCATCCTGTAACTGGAGTAAGGACCTACAGTACAACGATATCTTCGGTCTTCAGAACCATTATAGCCTGTTGTTGAACTACTTGAACCATATTTTCTATTAGTACGTAGAGGTGTAATTTTCTTATTAACAGCACAGCTGGATACAAGTTTATTTACTATTAATGTAATAAAAAGGATTCCAAACATTTGTTTTTTAGCCCATTTTGATCAAAGACTGGAATAGGGCCAGCAGCAACGTGCTGCAATAAAAAAGGTTACTGAACAACAAAAATGGTTTGCACTCGGCCATACAGTGCTCGGTACAATTAACGACAAGCTTTACTATTGATCATTCTTGAATAATACTTCAAACTTGTGCTGAACATAAAACAGAATTCAACCCAATGGAGCACTAGGAGAGAAATCATTGTATATGTTCCTCCAAATAAGGGACTAATTGAAGACAAATCTTGCAAGAATATCACAATGTGACTCATCAGCTATTTCAAATTCAGGCGGTAATAGTGTGTGTGGTGTGCGGCTGGAGTGCAAGCTCACCATAAACCATGTTATGGAAGTCAGTGTATTGTGGCATTATATTTAAGTATATGCTAGTTATCATCTATTATGGATTTAATTCTCTACATAAGTGGCTATTATACAGTATTCCTGGAGATTGTAATATATAATTTTGTAATACACAAACTCTCGCATGTTAAAACAGTAAAAGTGATAAATGCCACACAAAATAACTTGACGAGTGACAAGACGAACATGAAGAATGCACAAAGAAATCCCATTAACGTGATGTATCAATGATAAAGTCAGTAGGAGCTGTGAGGAGGATTCGAACCTGTGGGCAAATCCTCTTGAGGGCTCCTACCAATTTTCCTCAAGAAGAATCTCAAAGTAAAGCTGAAGAATTTGTGCATTATACTAAACTTTGAACATTAGAAAAAAAAGTTAATCAAACATTCTTTCCCTTTAAAAAACAATTCCAGAAATATGATGTATATAATACTCAACATATACACAAAAGCTATAGCAGTCCTGCAGTTACCGTCTATGAAGGCCGGGTACTTACTACCCATAGTGCAACTGTGGGGTGTTATCAACAGAGAAACGCATATATATTTACAATCACCTGGACGTCCGCTTTGTGGGGCTGGATCACAACAAAAGTCTCTCACGTTAGTAGTTAAATTGAGGTACACGTAATCAGATAAAGCATATCAATAATTTAAATAATTAGACCATAGAAAGCTGACCAATCATCAAATTCCATATACAGAAATAGTCACAGATGACCAACAAAAACAACACATATGTACACATACATATATAAACATTCAGTATATGTATATAAATATCCATGTACTTATGGAAATAATATTTAGCTGTATACATGAGTCTATATTCATAGGACACTATACAAACCAAATACTGTACACATTCAATACAATATTATGCAATAAAAATGATCTTTATAAACATTTACTGTATCATTTATGTATACCAATGTGGAACCTACTGGTCAGACTGAAGATAGGTGTAACGAAGCAAGATTTTAGCAAAATCTAGTTCAGTGATGGCTGGCAGGCCCTTTGAAAACTCATTAAACTCAATTTCCAGGACCTCAGTCTGAAGGTTTTCCATGAACCTGTTGGGTAAACACACTGTTAAACATTGGCATTTCTCAGCAAAACAGCCATTTATATTTATTTTCATTATGTATACTGTATTACTGTATAGTAATATGTTGATTCTTCCCACTTGCAAAAAGACCTTAGGGTCATTCTGTGCCAAATCATCACCGATGCCAACCCAACCTTCTCAGATTTACAAAATATTTATAACAGTTTAAGATGATATAAGAATACAGTAATAAAGTAATATCTGGTAAAATGTAAGGTTACATGAGCATTTTATTGATATAAACAACCTGTTGTTATTGTGCTCCAGTGATGTGAGAGCCAGCAGTGTCTAAGTGAAGAATGAACTAAACATCTCTTCAACTCATCCTTTAACATATTAATACAATGCAAGGAAATTATCATAAACCAACTGCAGAAAAACTTACCCATATTCTACATAACCTCAGAACTATATATGCCAAATAAAATTTGTAAACTACTTTAGATAAGAAAAATTAAGTCACCTGACCCTTTCCAGTCATCAAATTGGGATAAATACACTTGCATAAGGTACTGTACAGTACTTACATTTTAAACTCCTCAAACTTGAGGTCTTGCTTTCCCTTACGTCCAAAGAAGTGGAGCAACAGTGTAGTGTCAACCACATGACTCTTTTGTAGCTCATCCTCCAGCACTTCAATATCTTCCCCTGCAAGATCATACATGCACTAAAATAACAATACACCAGAGCCAAGAATCTCCTGTATATCCAAAATACACAAGGCCCAGTATATGGTTATGGCATTAAGTTAAATCAAGGCACTGTAATCCTTGAGGTTATTTTGGCATGGTATTAACAATATCAGGCTTCTGAGAGAATATATGAAAGGGTCCTTTCTGAGTAGGACACTCAGATGGCCCATAGGGTAAGGCAAGATCACTGCTGATCCTGTCCAACCACTTGGGCTGGACGGTAGAGCGATGGTCTCGCAGGTCCGCATTCAATCCCAGACCATCCAAGTGGTTGGGCACCATTCCTTCCCCCCGTCCCATCCCAAATCCTTATCCTGACACCTTCCAAGTGTTATATAGTTTTAATGGCTTGGCACTTTCCCCTGATAATTCCCTCCCTTCCCTCTCACTTCTGGTTCCATTGAACAGACCCACATTGAACTCGACCCACTCCATTGAACAGTCTGCAGGCCCACATATTTACTACAACCCAGTTGGTCTGAAACTTCTTGCAGGAACGTTTCCGATTTTCTCTTGAACATGTCCACACTTGTACTGGCAATATGTTTCACATTTGCCAAGAGAATACTGAATAGCCATGGATCTGTGACCTTCATACAACACTGACTATACCTATGGCACTACTACTCTTCACTTTGCTGTAACAACTTTAACAATTTCCATTACACCCTTACAGATGTCACATCCAGTACAATAAAATCTACTCATAAGCTGGCATTTTTCTCTTGTGATAATACTGTTTTCTGAACCAACAGAAACGGTATTATCCATCGTTATGGCTCCGACTCGGGTAGAGCATCTTACCTGTGTCACTCGACTTTGCTGCCCCTTCCAGGGCTCGGTTTAAACGGTCTCTTCGAGCAGTACTGAAGATCTTCTCTAGCTGCAAATCAAACTAAATATTAGTTTTCTCTCCCTCTTTAGAATTAGTTTGTCCTCTTCCATTTATCACACATCATTGGTTCTGCATAACACACCCCCTTTACTAAATGTGGAGCTTCTGGAACAAATTGCACCAGGCACAATAAGTTACCATACATACATACATACATGATGCCTTGAACAATAAGGTTAACTAGACCAGACATGATATAATTTGTGCTTAATTTATAAACTATTGCACATAATTTGTGCTTAATTTATAAACTATTGCACATAATTTGTGCTTAATTTATAAACTATTGCACATAATTTGTGCTTAATTTATAAACTATTGCACATAATTTGTGCTTAATTTATAAACTATTGCACATAATTTGTGCTTAATTTATAAACTATTGCACATAATTTGTGCTTAATTTATAAACTATTGCACACACCATTTCCTTCACAATATGACAATACATTCAGGATCTTCCTCACTCAACATTACACGCAACACAAAACCAACTGCTCACACTATGACAAAACCCAAATAACAGAAGGACTCGGTATAGGTCTCAACAAATAAGGAACAGCAGTCAACTTTTCAGCACTAACTTTCCTCATACCACATAACTGAGAAATTATTTTTATGTTAAATTCCAAGCAAAAATATATAGACACATTCTGAATATTTACATGTGAACTTGTGGGAAAAATAATAATATCAACATTCATTTATTTTTGGAGGATAATTCACAAAATCCTTATTTACACAGAAATCACACTAATGTGATTATATATATAATATATTATAATATATTATAATATATTATAATATATTATATTATATTATAATATATATATTATATATATATATATATATATATATATATATATATATATATATATATATATATATATATAAAATGAGAAAATGAACTGGAGCTCTTAGGTGACTATGAACGTATGACCACTGGACTGCCAGCTGCTCCCTCTACCACTGTACCACCAATAGAGTAGGTCAGGGTGGTACAGTGGTAGAGGTGGCAGCTGGCAAGCCCAGTGGTCGCAGGTCCGAGTCACTTAACAGCTCCAATAGATTTTCTCAAAACCATTATTAATAGAACACTAAAACAACTCAATACTCATTTAGTCATGAAGATATATCATTTAACTTCCACACCGTAGAGATAAAACAATGTGGTATCTCATAGGCAGACTTGCAGGCACTACTATATTAATACAACTCTGCCTACTACTACTTGAGAAACAGTATTTAGTCTTGGTTAATTAATCTATGACTATGGTTGCATGACAAGTTTTCTTAATATTTCAAAATAAAACAGTGAAGAAACTATTATCCTGAGCAAGTTTATTATATTAATTAATTTCATCAACAACATCCTCACTTATTAATTTTTGTTATCTAATTTGATAAACAATGCTTTGATGAACATGATATGTTCAATAAATTGCATAAAATTGTAAACAATTTCCTTAAAATATTCAAATTAATACATTATCTGTAAAAACAATTTTCCTTAAAAGTTAGAAAAACTAAAAATAGGCATCTGAAGCAGCAAAAGTACAGGGAAAATAAAAATGTAGGCTTGTAGTGGAGCATTAAGCTTTACTGGCACCCCGCTCACAAGCACTCATATTCGTCTTGTCAATGATCTTTCAAGTTTAAGCTACTTCTTGTTAAGTCTTAAATACCACATTCAGCACATGATGCTTAATATAATCATTCTTAAATATACCTCCTTGAATCATTCATCCAAATAATTTTGACTTTCACAATTAACTTTTCAACTATACCCGCTTAACATCCGACGGCTAATTGCGCTAGTAAATATATTTTTGGTTTACTCATTCAGTGCTGCTTACAAAAGGCATGGGAATACCTTCCATAACAAAGAATGCTCCCATTAAATTGAGCTGATTCAATAAGTTACATTAATAATTGCCAAACTCTCCTTGAAAAAGCACATGATGAAGTTGTTCCTAAAATTTAAAGTGAAAGGTTTCATCAAATTTCTATCTTGTTTGTTCACTGTTTCTTATTGATTACAAATGATACTACACATGAGCTATTATATAATTCAGTATGTACTAATACTAATTATGGCATATTACTGTTTTATGTTAATCACTACCACACATTTCTATTATTACATACTATACATCTGATTAAAAAAATACAAACAGTACTTAAACAAGGAACAAATCACTGTGACATTACTCCCACAACTTTACTTAACAGAAATTGGCACACAAGTTTCCCAAATCTGTTATTTCCACAACACTACAACGGACGCAGCAGACGACACACCAGCAGTTTGAAAATCTTGAATGAACACCAAACACACATATCAACAACACTACAAGAGTAAGCTCTTCTGAAGTATAAAGCTCATCTTCCCCATATAAGCTCATCTACTTATGACAAAGGTCTACCTCATCACCTTAAGCCTTAGGCTGGAAACGTATAAATAAGTTAATAAATTTGTTAACGATGAATTAGGCCAACACATGCATGAGTTTTCTGAGCAGTGAACACACTCTAGTTCATGGTCAGGTGATCCGAGTGTTATCTGGGCACTGAACACAATTGTGCATGGTGAGCTAAGTGTCATCTGGGTATTTAGCACATTTAAAATAATAATGATACTGGCTTTAAGTAAACTCAAATATGAAATAACTACACTGCAGGGTGAAGGCAATTCAGTGGTGAATGATTCACACATTAGAAATCTTTAGTATTCTGTAAACTGACAATATTTATACTATCGAATTCACCTTTTCCCTATACAGTGTTGAGATATACGACCAGCCTGAGTCTTGATCAGATAAAATAAGCATCCATCATAGATTACAAGTGAGGAAGATGAAGTATCTGCTCTGACACCTGGCAGGTAGTTAGCTTCTTTAGTTACAAGACATGTGTATGAGTATTATGTTGCAAGGAGAGGAATGCAATGATACTGATGTAAAATGGATTGGTGTAATGCTTGACTGGCATCTCTCACTGCAAGCACATGTTTATGCAGTGATAATATTTTAATGTTTCCTTTTGTAATCCTATATGTATATCTATACACATGCATGCACAGTATGGTTTAGTGGGTTCTGAAAATTGCTGGTTATTCAGCACATCTATGATTGGTTTAATGTTAGCAAAAATAATCTGATGTTTTTTAAAAATTTGGTAAGGTCCTCAGTGTGTGTGATTCAGGTCCTATTACATCTGTCAGGTCTAGAATGTGGTTACAATTTCTTCTGATATGAGTCAAAGTCATGCAGGTGTTCAGTAAGTGTTCAATGATGAAGCTGAATTGGTGTTGCAATCATTGGAAATAGAAGCAATGTCACCTGTCAAATATGGCAATGTTGAAACTGAATGCCTTAGTCTTGTGAGAGTTCTATGTATCTGCTACTTGTGTAAAGGAGGAAATGTATATGTTTATCTCTCAGAATGTTTGGTAATATGTTTATTGTTTGTGATGTGTGTATATGTATGTATTAACATGATGTACTGAACGGGGTGAGAATAGCTTGATCTACCTCATCCCTTTGTGTGTATTTTACCTCAAACTTATTTCAATTTCAATATGTATCTGCTGAAGTTTGGAGGCCAGACATAAACATAGTGTTTTATTGTTTTTAGTTTGGTTTGGTTTGGTTTAATAGGTTCAATTTATGTTGTCATTTGTTAATGATTGAATAGAGAGAGATTCTGAGAGATCTTGAGAGGGGTAGAAGGTATTCTGACTATGAAGTTTTGCAGAGTCTTCAAGCTCCAATGTTACCTCCTACATGTCCTGCATTCCAATGGGCTCCACAATCTTTCTTTTGGAGACTTAAATCGAAAAGCCACTCCTGAGCATTTGGAAATAGTGGTTGTGTGGAGAAGCATTGTTGTATTGTACTGGTATATGGGTAACAACGCCTGGAGGTTAACCTCGACATGGTTGCCATGGTTACCACCATGGTATGGTTGCCACGGCAATTGGCTCACTTGTCTGTACTGATGATGTGACTACTGATAGCAGCAGCATATGACTTCTAAAGTCTACAGAAACACTGTATCTACTCAGACCCAGCTAAATGCTTAAAAACTCATTAAACATTGCTACAACTTGCAAAAAGGACAATGATTCAAAGCATAATACTAGAGAACCCAAAGAGATTTTCAAGGCTTAAAAGCAGAATGTCTTTGGCTGGCTAAGTTAATCTCCCAACCTGAATCTCTAAGTGAGAATATGTTTCACTTACTGAAGGCAAAAAGCATCCCCCCCCCAAAAAAAAACAGCTTCTGGTGATGTCTGTGGATCACAGACTTCAGGCAGAACATCACCAAAGAAGACACCACCCAGCTTCTGGTGATGTCTGTCAGTCACAGACTTCAGACAGTCATTGGATGCAAAGGAATTGTAACCAAACATGGTAATAAAGATGAACACTGAATTTATGAGTGTGTCAATGTTTCCAATTGCTTTATGTCCCCTAAATTGGGAGGAACTATGTATACAAAGGGCTGTAATCCTTGTCATCACAAGTAGGCAAAATACAGGCATACAATACAATAGCACTGTACTACACAGCACTGTTGCTACACAAAACACTATACAAAACTCCCACACTATACTACTACATAAACTGCTTATAAGATAAGCTTACAAGTTTATCTTATAAGCAGTTTAATTAGATAAAGAAGCTTTATCTAATTCTTTTTGTTTCAATTTCATGAGCATTTCCCACTTTCAACTACACTGTTTTCAACTGACTGAAAAAGCATTTGTTCATTAATCAGTCCTCTAGCAACCTCTGTGGATCGCTGCAACCAGCTCTGTCAAAGTTACTCTCTACTGACAAGGTTTTCAGAAGGCAGGCTGAACTTCACTACTCATCACAGTGGTAGAGTTGTAGGCATTGTGCAACAGATGTGCTCATCACTTGGTCGGCCATATTGAGCACAGTTGAGTCTAGCCAGTAAATGGATGGGTAACTGCACCGCCTCATCTTTAGGTAGGTACATGTTGATAAGCCAAATAAACAACTCTACTGGCACACCTAATGTTTCGGCCATCCTGGACCTCCATCAAGGCTCCAGGATGGACAGAAATGTGGTCACTTTAATTTGAGATGGGTGGGCTGGGCTACCTGCTTCACCCATGTTACTGTGACATTCTCTACCGGCCAAACAGGCATTCTATCCCCATGAGCGGTATTCCAGGGGCTCTTCCTCATTCAAGTGTGTTTTCTCGCAATACTCTTCTTCCAAAACATTCGGTGCCCATCAACTTCATTACTGAGTACATTGCCACATATCCAAATACTTCTCGTGTTCAAATTAAGCATAATGAAAGTATGACATTTAAATAAAAATAAAAATTAGGGACATTTGTATTATGTTACCCAAAAATAAAATATGTATGGCCCTTTTTGGGCCATACATATTTTTGCTGATGTAATGATGTGATCTGTACACATTAATGATGTGATCTGTACACATTGTGAAAGTGTTATTCTCTCTCCTTGTAATGAGTGATGAGTTTTGTCATGAAGCTCAAGACATTTATGCATGTTATTTACGCATGTTATATGTTATAATGCAAAGCAATTTTAGCTGTGGTTGACTGCAGGCAGATGCAATTCACCTCATTCTACCACAAAACCCAAAATACATAGTATTTCACTACAAACAAAAGTTATTTAATTAAAGTTTCAATTAATATTTCTCAAGTACTGTAATAAAGTCACCATGTTTTTCCTGCACTCTTCCTATAGCAGTGCTCAACAGAAAGGGCTGAATTTAGCACTACTATCTTTAATAAATTAAGAAAAAATTGTAGCTAAAGCTTTAAGCTTGGAAATTTAGACTTAACTGTACATTTGTTGTTTTGCTGATTTTTGTGGTAGAATTAGATTGCAGCATTTATGTATAAGCATGATTGTGATTGCTGTAACATACAAAATGATAGGAATCAATCTGGGATGTTAGCTTCATCATCAGCTATCACCCAGCACATGGCACACTGAAGACTTCCAAAGACAGTAGTTAGAGGCGAGGAATGGAGCGAGGCACCGGCAACAGGCGGCACGCACAATATCTGTATCTATATTACCCCCACACGAACGTTGTTGGCTGACCGGCCCACGAGCTGCTCACTTACGACCTGCCTTGTGTCTCGAAGAACCTTCTTCTTCTTGGGGTCGGTACAATCATCCAGGGATGTATCAGATATCCAAGTGGCATAGGCCCGGAATACACCCGCAGTGATCATCTCCATTAACTGTTACACGAGATGGTGCTATAAATCCCAAGGTTAAGTGAACACCAAGTTCTATTTGGGTTATACCACCCTTTTAAATAAAAATAAAGGTAAATACTGTACCTTTAAGATGAATATCATGAAAATGAAACATGCATACTTAAATAAGGTTATACAGTACAGCAATTATAGTCTTATTACATGTGTGTGTATAGCTTCATGAGGGTAGAGATTTAGGCACCAGTTGCTGACCCCACTTACCGATGGAGCATTAATATACAGACACCAAGTATACCCAAAGCAACCAATAATAAAGTTTGGACATGCTGAAATGGAAAGCACCATAAATATGAATTATATGAGAAAATGCTATTAACACATACAAAGCATTAATTGCTATAGAAATAAAGCACTTGCCCTGGTACAAAATATGAACACTGTATTATTACCAACTGTTTCTTCAAGAACTCCAAAAGAGCTTTTTTCCAACTTGTTTAAATTGTATGAAGGCACTCAAGAAAGATGTCCCTGGTATGGTAAACTTCTGGATACAAACAGGGTGGTGTAATGTGCACAGGTTACTGTAATGAGCATACCCTTGGGTGGTAGTGGAGTTGTAGCAGAGGTGGATACAAACAGGGTGGTGTAATGTGCACAGGTTGTATACCCTTGGGTGGTAGTGGAGTTGTAGCAGAGGTGGATGTAATGTTGGTGGTAGGTGGTGACAGTGGTGGTGGTGGTGGTGGTGGTGACAATGGTGGTGGTGATAATTGCATAGAAAGTGAAGGAGACAATGAAGGTGGTGATAGATGAGGTGATAGTTACCTAACAGTGATTCTGATGAGAATTCTAGTTCTTTATACTACAAACTAGCCTTACTGTACATGTTGAATTTTATTTTAACTTTCCTGGTTCTCAATGCTGTCAAATCTGGCCTTAAAATTGTCAAATGGAGGTAACTTTAATTGACTTTCATTGCATTCCACTTGTTAACCACCCATTCAGAGTACAAGCATTTCCTTGTACTTCTTTGACACATTTGCATTTCCAGCTATCATCATAGCTGTGTGATCTTGTCTTACTTTCCCCTCACTTAAAAGAAGCTGTTCTTGATCACCTTGTCTATTTCCTCAGCAACTTGCATGTACAGTAGTACTCATTCTTTCACATCATCTTTAGGTAACCTTCTCATTGAACTATCAAAAGTATCATGCAAAACTCCCCCCCCCCCTCTAAATCCATGTTGACCTGCCAATGCAAAGCAAGCCATCACTGTCACTATCTCCAGTTCAGTGTCAACTCCCCCTCCACATAGCTTTCTCACTCACCATCCTTGCTTATCAATTATGTAATATAACTAAAGCACTTTTATAATGTGTCTATTAATTTTTAAATTAAAATAATGACAAAACAATAATACACACACATAATAGCTTACAATACAAACAATCTACACTAGTGGAAACATTTAAGATATATAGTATTACACTAACAAATAAAATTTCTCCGCTGGGATAAATATGAAAGATACCAGAAAATTTTAAGAAACAGTGTGACATTTATCTTGGTAATACAGGCTTTAATTATGTGTTTAAACCTCCACAAAATAAAAGTTTCATATTTTCTTAATCTATGGCTAAAGTCCAACCAGTTCATTCTAACAATCAACTCACCACAAGAAACTCTTCTTTATCAACCCGCTCATTACCATCTGTGTCGAACATGTTAAAGGCAATACGAAATCCTGTTTGAGGCTCTGCCAACAAAAAATCTTAAGTTATTAATCAAGACAATGCCGATGTGTGGAATATAAACCACGATATATTAGCAATGTTGCACGTCACTGTGAGATGCCAAGCACCATTACTTACTAGTGAGGATGGATAACAAGAACAAGTATTCTGTGTAGGAAATTATACCTGAAAAAGGATGAATCTCTTTAAAATATAAAATTAATTGATAATTGCTTATCAAACTAATTGAAATTTTATAATTCAGAATATTAAGATATTTCAATATCCTGCGCAGTTCAGTATTATCCTGCACAATTCAGTATTATCCTGCGCAGCTCAGTATTATACTGTGCAGCTCAATATTATACTGTGCAACTCAATATTATACTTAACAGCTCAATATTATACTATGCAGCTCAGTATCATACTGTGCAGCTCAGTATCATACTGTACAGTGCAAAATTATACTGTAAAGCACAGTATTATGCTATACAGTACAGCACTGGTCAGTACAGCACAGTATTATCCTGCATACACATCAAAATCAGTACAGTATAACCATGCACTTGTGCCACCTACTATATTACTACTGTCAAAGACGACTCCCACGTTCACTCACCCCTGTCAAATATAGTTCTGAACATGTCTGGCGAGCCCTTTGATAAAACTGGCGTTTCTTGAGCAAACCGATCAAGATCTCTCTCAAACAGCATCCTCCGCTTCAATCGTGCTGTGGAGAGGAGGCAGTGTGAATACTGTTAAAAATAAGTCTTTATGCTGTATATACTGTATATACAGCATAGAGTATTTATGTTGTAAATTAATGTATTTATGCAGTAAATTAAAACCGAAAACCATCGAACCTTAAGGCTAAAAATATATACTGTACTGCCTTAAAGCTTCATTTTTTATACTGGATTTACATGATTCTGAGCATGGAAAAAGTATTAATATAGTATTATAATATTATTATACTATGGTAACAGTCAAACTGCTGAAACTTTTGTTCTTTTTTTAGACGTGTTTTAACCCTGTCTCCGTGGAAAGCAACTCCAGACACTTAAGGGAAAACGGAGGATTAGTGCTAAAATAAATTTTTCCAAGTGCCTACCAAAAAAAAAAAAATAATAATAAATATATGAATTCTGTAATGTTTAATCAGGTCCTCTGGTCTTCAAAATCAGCACATGGCTGCAGAACATGCTGTATTTGTTAGCGAGAGAAGCTAATATAACTCTAAACTGTCTGAAAAGCTTCCCTCAATTCCCACCCCACCAACCTCACCACACTTATTTTCTACAACTTTTTACAACATAATTAATGTACTGAACATTATGTGTTGTACATCATGATATGCCGTGTAAATGTGATATACAGCAAATGTGTGTATTTTGTGTAAACATAATGTGTATACTGGACTCTGTTTATACCTAAGTGTAGTTACAGGATGAGAGCTACGCTCGTGGTTCCCGTCTTCATTATAATTTTTATATAGAACTTGAACAAGGGACCACAGACTCATGCTTGTAATGCAAAGGTGCTGAAAATATGTCTGAAAAAAAAAAATGTCTACGAACAAGGTTGTGGATGTTTGGAACAATTTAAGTGAGCAGGTCATGGATGCTAACACCATCAGGAGCTTCAGTGTCACATGACACACAGGGAAGACAGGACACGATGAACATAGCTCTCATCCTCTAGTGGTATGTGGTATACAAAAGATGGAAAGAGCTGGTCTTTTTCTTACTAGAAATGTACAAATATTTACCAACAAATAATAATATACATTTTAGTCCATTTTGACACAGGTGGGAACAAAGTGGAACAACAGAGGTGCTAATAAAAGAATTCAAGAAATGAACTTTGCAAAGAGCAGTACAGTATACTGGTGAAATTTCCTCTGCAACATTTTGGTAAAGCCTTAAAAGCTCTCAAAAGACCCCTAAATTTTATATATAACAAAAGGAATGAAAAACAGCATTTGTTCTGAGGGCTGTGCACAAATTTCATTACTGTATTAAGAGTGTACAATTGGAAACATGTATGTTCTTGCATTAAACAGATAATACAATTTAGGAAAGGTATTTGTCATGTAATAACTAACAACTCACGTCTGGGTTCTGAGTCAGTGACAGATTCTATGAAGTCTTGAGGGGTCATGTAGAGCTGCCCCTGGTACTCTGCCGAGGCAAACTTAATGAACCGACGCTCTCGATGATTTAGTTTAAGACCGCGTAAGCTCTGCTCATCAGTCTGTGGCCAAAATATTGATTTGTTAAAATAAACATAGTTCAGAGGGTGGGAGTGGGGAAGGGGGAGGAGAGAGAAACCCTGGGTACAGCCTGGTACTCCCTCCTACTATATACAGTACTGTATATGTATATATCATGTCAAATTCATAACAGACATGGGACCACTTGATTGTATCAAGCATAGGATGTGTTAGACATACTGTACATAAGGTGCCCCAATTCTCACTGAATACAAGTTTACAGTACAGTATTTGCAATGAGCTACACTCTGGAAGTTCTATGGGTTGGCATGCAAGACAACAAAGTTAATAACATCATCAAGTGGAACCTTGCCTCACCCCCAGTGCCCAATAGTGTGAAGTGCCCAGTGCCTCTTATTCCCATGGTCCAAAACCCTGATGATCTTGTGTTTTGCCCAGATGGTATCACAATATACCCCTGGAAGAGTGGCAAACAACTGTTGTGGGACAATATATGTGTATCTATATGCATATGCTTTGGTGCTGAACAGCCAGGGGGTGTCACCAACAACAGGGAAGCAGTAAAATTAAACGAGTACTGTACAAGCAACTGGAAGGTCAGTACATCTTTGTTCCCATACCATCTGAGATCCATTGCCCCTGGGGTATGGGCACCCTGAGCTTTCTCAAAGAATTGTGTTTTTGGCTCAGTGAGCAGTTTAAAGGAGGAATTTTTGTTCAGAAGCTGAGAAGCACAAAGAGGTTCATAGTCTTTAATCTTTCATTGTATCCATCTATCCATCTATGTGTAACTTGTAACCTTTAATGATGGTGCGAGGGTGTTGTGCCTTGTGTTACCCTCATAATAAAATAATTCACAATCCCCACCTGTCAAACTCCTTTCAATTACTTCTCTATTTTGATAATATATTTATAGTTTATAGTACAGTGGTTCCTCCAAAATATAGACCGAATCAATCGACCCAATCCAGATTCACAAACAATCCAGATTTTTTAATATTTGCAATTTTGGGGACAGTTTATCCCCTAATTTTCAAACTTTTTCTTTTTTACACAAGACTCAATACAGTACATATTTCTGCATATTTACACACAAATAATATATAAACAAATTGTGTAAAATTATAAATACTGTACAGTATGATGGGAAAACTGTAAAAAATATTTCACCAAGATTTTTCTAGGGGCTTGGTATCCTAGATGCAGTAAAAAGGGGTTACAGTACTATATACAGTACTGTATATGTATATGTATATATATATATATATATATATATATATATATATATATATATATATATATATATATATATATATATGTATATGTATATGTATATATATATATATATATATATATATATATATATATATATATATATATATATATATATATATATATATATATATATATATATATATATATATATATATATATATATATATATATATATATATATATATATATATATATATATATGTATATGTATATGTATATGTATATATATATATATATATATATATATATATATATATATATATATATATATATATATATATATATATATATATATATATATATATGTCGTACCTAGTAGCCAGAACGCACTTTTCAGCCTACTATGCAAGGCCCGATTTGCCTAATAAGCCAAGTTTTCCTGAATTAATATATTTTCTCTAATTTTTTTCTTATGAAATGATAAAGCTACCCATTTCATTATGTATGAGGTCAATTTTTTTTTATTGGAGTTAAAATTAACGTAGATATATGACCGAACCTAACCAACCCTACCGAACCTAACCTATCTTTATAGGTTAGGTTAGGTTAGGTTAGGTAGCCGAAAAAGTTAAGTTAGGTTAGGTTAGGTTAGGTAGGTTAGGTAGTCGAAAAACAATTATTTCATGAAAACTTGACTTATTAGGCAAATCGAGCCTTGCATAGTAGGCTGAGAAGTGCGTTCTGGCTACTAGGTACGACATATATATATATATATATATATATATATATATATATATATATATATATATATATATATATATATATATATATATATATTGTATATATATATATATTGTGACGATAATCTCCTTCAAGAGATTGAGCCTGCTCTTCCCTTCATAATTACGTCTTCACAACTATATAAAAGACTATGGAAGAAATGTCCAACAACGACAACAAACACCAGCAAGGCTTGCCAGGGTGAGCAGAAACGTATGCAACCAGCCACCTGTTCGAACTCCAACCACCAAACTACCCGTTGATCGCTACGGCTCCGCTGATTGGTCGCCGGTCTGGCTGCACCTGCACTCGCCCCCAATACTACCTGATGTCTGGGGTCTCCCCAACATCAGTCCTCAGAATGTTCCGTGCTTTCGTAGCCAGCACTCCTCCCAGCTAGACGTTAGCGTGTACTGAGAGAGGTGGTGGCTTTAAGCCAATATTCCAGCACCTCCCACTTAACTTTTGTGTTGCACTTCTTATTATTTTGCCTTAACGTAACTTTCATTGTGTCATTTAAGTATTCTTATTATTTTGATTCATTGATTTTATTATACATATTTGTTTGTCCATATTTTCATGTTTTGATTTATTTAACGTAATTAAAATTTCATTGTTAAAGTTTTACTTGTGTTTTGTGTGTCTTCTCCTTACCTTACCACAGACGAAGTTCCAGTTTTTCTATTTTCTTTTATAACTATGTGACGAGGCCATACCCCTAGCCTAAACAGCCGAACACCAACGCGTTACCGTCACAAGTTATATGGGGGCCTGTCCGGGAGCTTGACTCAGGTACTGGTGCCAAGTGGTAATTTATGGTAAGCGTATTTAACTTTGTTAACGTAGCTTTACTATTTTTCATTCAATTTCATTTTTTATAAGGTGCGGTGTATTGTGCATTACGAGAGTAACATATAGTGAAGGTGAGACAACTTTGCATTACGTGGTGACTGTAGGCCGCAGTCATACTCTTAATTGGTCATCTCTCCCTCCATGTTATTACTCGTATTTACCATCTATGTCCCTTGAATATTTCTCATTCTGACAGATCATCATATTGGTACCCTGGTACTGTGGTCTGCCCCGGGTCAAGAGTACCCAATCTTCTGCAATCTGACTGTAGGAGGACAAAGAGGGCCATAGTTCCTCTAGCTCGAACTTTAGTTGCTGAATTGGGACCTCAGCAGCAGTTCTCGTCACCAGTTGACACCTCGCACCCCTACACGTCAGTCAGAGATGATGATACATACAACGGTAGGGAATTAGCTTATTTTTTCAGAGCACAAAAGTTCGCTAATTCTGTAAGTATCATATTAAATTCAGTGGGAAAAACTTGCTTTATGTCCTATAGAGACTTGGCAAGGTATGCCTACATCCTTGGACTACCAATTTTACTTTTGAAGCATTTAACTGTTTCATTTGTTTTCGAAACTTTGTTTCATTTGTTAGTAGGATTTTCTTGCCCTTATTCTCTTACATGAGTACCGGGTACAAGATTTCCTGCGCCCTTGATTTAATTTAATCATTTAATATCTTTCACTTAACGTTAATTGTTAAAGATCACACAGGATAGGTGCCAGTTGCCACGTTGTCCTGTTTCTGACATTTCATTATTGAACATTCGTGTACCTTTATTTGCTAATTTCACCATGTTTCGTCTCCAAACTTTCCGTGCAAATCCAGCAGGTGAAATAGGAACTTTAAGTTGTGCCAAGAGGACTGAACTACAAACTCTTGCACATGAGTATCAACTAGAAGTTCCCTACCAAGCCAACAAAAATGACCTACACAACCTGTTGCTGGATTACTATTTAGAGCAAGGTAAGATAGACTCTGAAACTCATGAAACTTACTATATTGCAGATAAAACTGACTTGGCAACGATGAAACTTAAACTAGAGCTGGCTAAAATTGAACGTGAGCAGCAAAGGGAAGCCCGTGAACAGCAAAGGGAAGCAGCTGCTTTGAGGAGAGAGGAACAAGAACGAGAAGGATCACCCTCAGAGAACGTGAAGCTGCCTTGAGGAGAGAAGAACACGAACGTGGACTCGCCCTCCAGGAACGCGAGGTCGCATTACTCCGTGAACGTGAAAGAGTACAGCTTGAAACCAAACAACGCGAGTTGGAAATACAACGCGAACATGACAAGCAACAAGCGACTCTGGCTCTTGAGTGTCGTCAACGGGAATACACGTTGGAAACTTCACACCTCGCTCAACGCCAGCAAGCTACTGCCAATCTTCCCGTCAGTTTTAATATATCACATGCAAGTAAGTTAATGCCATCCTTTGTAGAAGCAGAAGTTGATGTGTTCTTTACCACCTTTGAAACCCTTGCTAATCAACTCAGTTGGCCTGTCGACCAATGGGCCACACTTCTCAGAGTCCATCTTACAGGTAGAGCTGCAGTCACACTCAGTACTTTGGCGTCTGAGAATGACTACTACACTCTGAAACAAGCAGTGTTAGACGCCTACCTACTTTCCACCGAAAGTTATAGAAGGAAATTCCGTGACCACCTGAAGGCAAGTACCACTACCTTCCTCGAGTTTGCTAACACGAAACGGAGGTATTTCATGAAATGGCTGGAAGCAGCACATGTCTCTACTTTTACAGAACTCGTGAACCTGATGCTTGTTGAAGAATTCTTGAGACGTGTGCCGCCTCCTGTCCGCCTCTACTTAGCAGATAAAGAAGAAACCGACTACCTGAAGTGTGCTAAGTCGGCTGACACTTACAGCCTCATCCACCGGCTGACACCTGAACCATCCTCCAGTAAGAAGTCGTGGTACAGTTACGAGAAGGTGAGCCCCGATCAAGCTGGTTCACAACTGTACTGCAAGTATTGTAGACTCTATGGACATACCATAGACAAGGGTGGTAAGTCTCAATACAAGGGAACCACTGACCCACAACGACCCAAACCAACTCCTCCTAAGTCCGGTAAGCCTGTGATGAATGTTGGTGTTGATGTTAATGATCTTTCTCTTTTCAGTAACCACCTGTATACTGGAACTGTCTCTGCCAACGGTTCAAATCCGGAGGGACGTTTCAAATTGAAGATCTTGAGGGACACAGCGGCTCTACAATCGATCATCTTGAAGTCGGCTGTGCCCAACATAGTCTACACCGGGGAAACAGTCTTCATCACTGACCTCACTGCTACCACTCCATACCCTCTCGCCAGAGTCCACCTGGATTGTCCCTACGTGAACGGGGAAGTCCAAGTCGCCGTCAGGGAAAAGCCTTTTCCCATGCCTGGAGTGCAACTTCTCCTAGGCAACGACTTGGCAGAAGACCTGCAACCGACCAACCTGATCGTCATGGACAAACCCCAGGTGTGTAACTCTGTGCCAAGTAACCCTATTCTTGAGTATGTTCCAGCAGAGGTTCAAGAGAGTGATGAAGTTTCTCCTCCGGTTCTCGTGACCACCCGTGCACAAGCCGCACGTCCACAGCCAGCTGACTCTACTGCTACCGCTGTCCCTCAAGACCCTCAGAAACTACCCCCGCATCTGACCAAGTTGGAGTTCCGTAAGTTGCAGAGGGAAGATCTTACTTTAACACCATTGTTTTTCCAGGCTGAGACTCAACCCGACAGTATTCCTGGGTTCTTCCTAGAGAACGACTTGCTCTACCGCAGATATAGACCCAGTAAACTGAAGGAGGAGGACGATTGGGCCAACACCGAACAACTTGTGATTCCCACCAGCCTGCGGCCCACTATTCTACACCTGGCCCATGGAGCATTCTCCCACTACGGCTTCAACAAGACTTACCATGGGATTCGCCAAGACTACTACTGGCCAGGTATGGTAAACAACGTCAAACAGTACGTAAAACAGTGTCATACATGTCAGATGGCAGGCAAACCGAACGTCTCCATTCCCAGAGCACCACTGATTCCCATACAGGTGCCTGCGGAACCTTTCCACAGACTCATAATAGACTGTGTTGGTCCTTTACCTCGGACCAGTTCAGGTAACGCCTACATCCTAACCATCCTGTGTCCTACCACCAGATTTCCCATAGCAGTTCCAGTGAAGAACATCACGGCTGCTACGGTTATCAAACATCTACTGAAGATCTTCACTCAATACGGATTTCCCAGGGAGATTCAAAGTGACTGTGGCACCAACTTCACCAGTGATCTCTTCAAAAGGACACTGGAGGAGTTCAACATCAAACAGGTATTGTCCAGCCCCTATCATCCTGCTTCACAGGGTTCTCTTGAACGTAGTCATCAGACCATCAAAGCACTCTTGAAAAAGTTTTGTAGTGAAACCTCAAAGGATTGGGATAAGCAGATTGACCTAATAATGTGTATTTTCAGAAGTCTCCCCAATGAGTCCCTAGGAGTATCTCCTTATGAGATGCTCTACGGCCGTAAGTGCCGTACTCCCCTTAAGGCTTTCAAAGACTCTCTCAGAGATGCCACCTTCAGTGAGCATCAGAATGTGCCCCAGTTTCTTCAAAACCTTCAACACATTCTAGAGAGAGTCCACCGCTTTGCTCATGATAATCTATTGAAAGCCCAGGTGAGAATGAAGACTCATTACGACCAGACCAGCAAAGTAAGAAAATTCAAGCCGGGAGACTTCGTCCTTGCTTATTTCCCTATCCCAGGTTCACCTTTACAAAACAGATTTTCAGGACCCTACTGCGTCAAAGAGTGCAGAAGCAACAACACATACGTCATTGAGACTCCAGATAGGCGGCGGAAGACCCAGCTGTGCCACGTCAACCTCCTGAAGCAATATAATGGTACTCCTCCCACTGTCTTGATTAATTGTTCTACCTTCACAGAACCCTACATCCACAGTGAGACCATCCCGGCTTCTTCTCCCGAAAGCACTGACAAGGAGTCGGCGCTTTCTAATTCCAAAATCCTTAATGATCTTCCCAAATGCTTTCAGGATAATAATCGTGCTCCTATGCCCTCTTCTAATTCCACTCTCACCTCGTCAGATAAGCCCTTCATCCTCCATGTCGACGCCAATGGTACCGACGTGGGTGGTGTCGTGATGCAGCAACGAGGCGAGAAGAATACACCTGTCAGCGACTACTGCTACAAGGAACGACGGAACAATTGGCAAGGAGCTACTCTTCCTCATCCTGAAGCTTCAGCACTTCACTCCACACCTGAAAAGTGCTCGGTCCACCATCAATACGGACCACACCACCCTACACCTCCTGCAGCACGCCCACTTCTCATCTCAACGTCTTCTACTATGGGCTTGCTACCTGCAGAAATTCAACCTGGAGACACGCTATACCAAGAGTCTGACAACATCTTAGCCCATGATCTCTCCAGAGTTTATGAAGTAGAAGCAACTCCATCCATTACTCCACCACATAGCGACGTACTTCTTCCAGAACCGCAGGCTTCGGGGGAGAGTTGTGACGATAATCTCCTTCAAGAGATTGAGCCTGCTCTTCCCTTCATAATTACGTCTTCACAACTATATAAAAGACTATGGAAGAAATGTCCAACAACGACAACAAACACCAGCAAGGCTTGCCAGGGTGAGCAGAAACGTATGCAACCAGCCACCTGTTCGAACTCCAACCACCAAACTACCCGTTGATCGCTACGGCTCCGCTGATTGGTCGCCGGTCTGGCTGCACCTGCACTCGCCCCCAATACTACCTGATGTCTGGGGTCTCCCCAACATCAGTCCTCAGAATGTTCCGTGCTTTCGTAGCCAGCACTCCTCCCAGCTAGACGTTAGCGTGTACTGAGAGAGGTGGTGGCTTTAAGCCAATATTCCAGCACCTCCCACTTAACTTTTGTGTTGCACTTCTTATTATTTTGCCTTAACGTAACTTTCATTGTGTCATTTAAGTATTCTTATTATTTTGATTCATTGATTTTATTATACATATTTGTTTGTCCATATTTTCATGTTTTGATTTATTTAACGTAATTAAAATTTCATTGTTAAAGTTTTACTTGTGTTTTGTGTGTCTTCTCCTTACCTTACCACAGACGAAGTTCCAGTTTTTCTATTTTTTTTTATAACTATGTGACGAGGCCATACCCCTAGCCTAAACAGCCGAACACCAACGCGTTACCGTCACATATATATATATATATATATATATATATATATATATATATATATATATATATATATATCATGCCATCTATCAAACTCTGCAGCCTCTTTGAACTAGCCTTAAAGTCCTCAATGCCCATGGTTCATGACATTTTTGTCATCTACAGACAAGTAAGCAGTTTCATCAAGATTCTCGTATTTAGAAGCTTCCAATGCTTTTCTGTCGCTGCTCTCTTATCAAAGCTTCTAAGTATTTTTGTTAATACTGTACTCTTATGATCTGCTCCCTTTGCATCCATCCCCAGTTGCAATCGCACTCTTCTAATAACTCAGCTTTCCTATCCGTGGCAAAAATTTATGCCATCCTACATTGTCATTCATTATACAATTCTATTCTAATAGCCTAATAAAAATTATATATAAATGGTTGTTAAAAGAAATATACTGTGTTCAAGATGAGTGAAGTCACTATGACGGCGTAGTTTTTACTCCAAAACTACCAGGGATCGTTAAAGATATAATACTACTCCAGAGTTCTTGCCCTGATACCTATTAGGTACAGGCATGTCGTACCCAAGTCACTGTAAACTGGTTGCCTCCCTCTGAAATTCCTATATTGTAAATTTAATAAAATTGAGTTGGGTTTAAAACAGGCATGTGAGCCGTGTTATATTAGAGCTGCTGGACAGAATATTTGACTGGACACATTCTTAGTCTGGAGACTGCCACTAACGATATTGTACAAGTGAATTGGCTGTTTATTGGCAAGACAGCTGGATTTTTATAGGTACATTTCTACATTACATTATAGCACACTCACCATTCGACGAGTCGGTTTGGCAGCTTCCACCACTGCATTCTTCCCAATCCATTTCCATCCAAAATAAGCCGACGTTACGACCGCTGTGCCATATAGATATATTCCTGGACTACTACTGATATTACCACGAGATAAATTAGTTTTGAAAGTCCTCGAGCACTGAGCAAATAGGTTCCGTAACTGAACATTTGATACGACCCTTCTGCCTATGGCTGCCATGTTTGTTATGAATCGATCAGCTGATCATGGCGCGCCCAACATCAGCGCGCTAAATTTGAACATAAAATAGTTCATGTGATTAATTTATATATAATAATTACTATTATTGTATATAAATTAATGACATAAAACATTTTATGCTTAAATTTAGCGCACTAATGTTGGGTACAACCTGTCCTCTTACAAATTAAGTCTGAATTTACCCGTATGACCGAAAACTGACGTAATTTGAAAATTTAAAAAAATAAAAATAATAATAATTTGGGATTTTTTTCCAAAACAGCAAGTTGAAGGTCCTATGATAGGTTAGGAGTGCAGGAAATTTTCCTAAAGTTTCTAAACATCATGAAAAACGTTAATTGAAAGTGTCCTCTCCTAACCTAACAGATTAAGCTGGAGGACCCAAACAGAAAACGGGAACAGTGCAACACTTTCATGAGCCGATTTCATTTAAAATTACGTCAGTTTTTGGCCATAGCGCTCATACGGGCGAAAAGCGACATTATTTTGAGAGGACGGGTTGAGTTAGCAGCGATTGTGGGTCTTGTTGAAATACTGCTCAGCACAAATATTTTTGGGAAATAGAGGCGAGCAAACAGTCTCCGTGGTGTAGTGGTAAGACACTCGCCTGGCGTTCCGCGAGCGCTATGTCATGGGTTCGTATCCTGGCCGGGGAGGATTTACTGGGCGCAAATCCTTAACTGTAGCCTCTGTTTAACGCAACATTAAAATGTGTACTTGGATGAAAAAACGATTCTTCGCGGCGGGGATCGTATTCCAGGGACCTGCCCGAAACGCTACGCGTACTAGTGGCTGTACATGAATGTAACAACTCTTGTATATATCTCAAAAAAAAAAAAAATATAGTTGAACAAGAGATGGCTTCCCTCATACCAGCTTGAGTGAAGCCTGCAGGACAGGTTCCTAAGTGCAATGGGGATTACTGTAAAGTGGACGACATTATTGGCCGTAGTACTCCTGACAAGGCTAGAGCAGCCAAGATTAATCTGTTGGTTCTCCATGACTGGTCGTGTGCGTGTCTCTTGGTTTTCCTGGACATCAATAACCTTTACGTTATTGGTGGTTGCAGTGAATGTGACGGAGGGGGAGGCTTCCACTTTGAGTCTCTCACCTAGTGCAGTGTGGAGAGAGGACGGGGGTTCTTACACACAGACTCAGAGAAGAGGGGAGAGCCGAAGGAGAGGCAGACGAGTCAGTAGGACAGCCATAATCACCTTTACACAACACCGTGTTAAGGAGGAGCGTGAGTCTATCAGCTCCCCAGCAAGTATGTCACAACACTTTCAATTACAAATCTGTCAACAACAAAATTCCAAATCTGACAACCCAAAATTTCAATTTCGCCAACAAAAATCGTCTAAATCCGCCAACAAAAAAAATCAAATTCTGCCAGCAAAAAAATCGAAATTTGTTAAAAAAAATACGCCAAAAAATCTAAATCCACCAAAAAAAATGCAAATCCGCCAACAATAAAGTCCAAACACGCAAAAAAAGACACAAAATAAAACTACATTATAACAAAAGTCTGAGAAAAATTTACTGAGTGTATTTTGCAGTATATTTTGTTGCAGACTGCTCAAATGATCAATTATTCTTTCTGTGAGTGTGGAACCCACACGGTCGACTCTTTAGCTTGACTCTAGAAAGAAATAAGCCTTTTCTTCATAAGAATAAGCCTTTTGTTTAGTCTTTCCATGACCTTACACAAGCAGCAACAGGGGGCCCTTGAGATGGTTGGCCAACATGCTGGAAGGAGGCCACGTCAAAGTTTGAAAAAAGAATCAACCTTCCAGCCCTTGTTGAACACCGAAGACAATTGAAGCAGTCACCACAGTGGGGCTGTTAACCCATTCTGGGCGCTCCTCATCTACACCCTAATCTTCTTCCCCTTTGTAAGTGCGCCGTAGAACTCTGGGGACGGTGTAAGCCATGTTTCACTTGATGTTCGCTGTGTAACGTTAGGGCCACCTGAGGGAGTGCATGATGGACAGTCACACGGCAACCACTCCACCACACATAGTGGTAGTGTCAACTTTGAGTGGTACACACACACACACACGGTGGTGTTTGTTGATGGTTGGAGATCAGGTAGCGATGTTGGGGAAGGTGTGTGCAGGAATGCCTTCAAGGTGTATTACAACTAATGTTGTTCAGGGTGTTAACGTGATGTATTACAACTGCCTGGTGTTAATGTGATGTATTACAACTGGCTGGTGTTAACGTGATGTATTACAACTGCCTGGTGTTAACGTGATGTATTACAACTGCCTGGTGTTAACGTGATGTATTACAACTGCCTGGTGTTAACGTGATGTATTCCTCACATGTTAAATTCGTCGGTAGCCTAACACTGGGATCATGGCGAAGCCTCATAACACTGATATTTTACCCGGCAGAGGTTCCAGTATGATCAAATACTTTTACATTGAACACACTTAGAGAGTGGTTGCTACCGAATGAATATTTAACGTTAAACGGTTGATTTAACTAATAAACGGCTGATGCAAATAATATTAAGAAAATCCTCGCCGCACAACTCGTGTTTCAATAATTATAATTCCTCCAATAATCGGTTACGATTTATTCCTATCCTCACCTTTATTTTCAGCAGCAGTAAGATAGAGGAAATACCAATGCATACAATAAACTTGGAAGATTATTTAATTAATGTAAGTGGTTGTTAGACAATTATGAAAGAGTGAGGAGAGTCCCGCAAGGCAGACAGCTTGTCCAACACTGTTCCCGCGGCGGCGGCGGTGTAAGGGCCGCTCACGTCGCTCAAGTGAACTATTCTCTTGCTCGTGTATAGTGAATACCATGTGTTCCACAACCATCTGTGGACAAAGTTGGTGATACTTGGACACATCTGGTGATTAAGGGGCGACGAGGATCGTATGGGCCCCCGGCGTACCTCAAGGATTAATCGTGAAACCCAATGGCGAAATGAATGTCGCTAATCAGCGGAAACGAATATGCCTCGCGGCCAATAAACACACAGATGGGCCGATGATTGGGGAGCCCCCTGGAGTCCCTCAGGGCGACAAGCAACCTGCCCCCAACCCCACAACTGGGTAGGACAACCTCCCTGATGGGCAGAGCTCCAACCAGGTAAGGCACCGCATGTTTGGTGTACTGATGACGTCACAGTGTTTACTAACACGGGCCCAGCTTGGCTGCTGCTAGACCAGCGTGTCCACTTTGCTAGTTTCGCTCCTAAATCAACACAAAACCTTGCTAGTTTCGCCCCTAAATCAACACAAAACCTTGCTAGTTTCGCTCCTAAATCAACACAAAACCTTGCTAGTTAAGACCTCCCTACATTAAAACGAACTGTATGTTAGGTTCATTGATAGAAACTTAACGGGACTATATGAGGCTTTGGGATACAGGTCCGCGGGACGGTGTGGCGTTGGGATACAGGTCCCCGGTATGGCGTGGCGTTGGGATACAGGTCCACGGTACGGCGTGGCGTTGGGATACAGGTCCGCGGGACGGTGTGGCGTTGGGATACAGGTCCACGGGACGACGTGGCGTTGGGATACAGGTCCACGGGACGGCGTGGTGTTGGGATACAGGTCCACGGGACGGCGTGGCGTTGGGATACAGGTCCACGGGACGGCGTGGCGTTGGGATACAGGTCCACGGGACGGCGTGGCGTTGGGATACAGGTCCACGGGACGGCGTGGCGTTGGGATACAGGTCCACGGGACGGCGTGGCGTTGGGATACAGGTCCACGGGACGGCGTGGCGTTGGGATACAGGTCCACGGGACGGCGTGGCGTTGGGATACAGGTCCACGGGACGACGTGGCGTTGGGATACAGGTCCACGGGACGGCGTGGCGTTGGGATACAGGTCCACGGGACGACGTGGCGTTGGGATACAGGTCCACGGGACGACGTGGCGTTGGGATACAGGTCCACGGGACGGCGTGGCGTTGGGATACAGGTCCACGGGACGACGTGGCGTTGGGATACAGGTCCACGGGACGGCGTGGCGTTGGGATACAGGTCCACGGGACGGCGTGGCGTTGGGATACAGGTCCACGGGACGGCGTGGCGTTGGGATACAGGTCCACGGGACGACGTGGCGTTGGGATACAGGTCCATGGGACTGTGGCGTTGGGATACAGGTCCGCGGGACGACGTGGCGTTGGGATACAGGTCCATGGGACTGTGGCGTTGGGATACAGGTCCGCGGGACGACGTGGCGTTGGGATACAGGTCCACGGGACGGCGTGGCGTTGGGATACAGGTCCACGGGACGACGTGGCGTTGGGATACAGGTCCATGGGACTGTGGCGTTGGGATACAGGTCCGCGGGACGACGTGGCGTTGGGATACAGGTCCGCGGGACGACGTGGCGTTGGGATACAGGTCCACGAGCATCACAACCTGTGTGGAGTAAGCCGTAGGAACAATAAAGTATAAAGAAAAACATTGTAGTAGATAACAAAAGTCGAGCAACACGAGGAGCGCCGCTCGCGTCCGCTGATATAGGACCAGGAATGCAACTCGTTAACTTCAATGATCAAGTGCCCTTGTTGAGTGGGTGCTCCAGTGCAAATTGGTGCAAGGTAATAAAAAAAAGCATCAGGCAGGCAGGCACGGGGTCTAGGCATAATCGTTTATGTTGTAGGATTGGCGTAACGAATACAAAAGTGACTGAATTCTCCACGCGCGAGGCACCTGCCACTCAACCACTGAATGATGGCAGGCTGTGATGGACGACGGCCACACCTCCCTCCACTACCACACTTGCTTTTCTCAGTTCCTCCTCGGCTGGCATCACGCACATTATTAATCCTTTAAACACTCTTACCTACACCTTTTTGTGCGTGTGTACATAGTTATTTTTCACTGAAAGTTTTGAGGATATGAGGAGTGAGATTGTTCTTAAGAGCCGACATGCGTCTCGACGCTCTGCTATTATTTTGGTGGTGTGTTGGGTTCCGTGTTTAATTAAGACGTGCCCAGGGGCCGCGTTTGTGATGCCGCGGCTGATTTATTTCTCCAATCATCTCTTCCTAAGTCACTATTTACTTTTTTTGTTGGTGGTAGAGTTATGGGGAGGGAGTTATGTTGGAACTGCTTGCTAAGGGCTCCATCGAGCTCCTTTTGGCATGGACTAAAATCAACAAAATAATTATTGACTGAATTCATCGGTCAATAATTTGTATTTTAGTAGAGAAGGATCAAGTTGTCCAGTGTTGGTGTATGGACAGAATATTTGACTGGACACATTCTTAGTCTGGAGACTACCACTAACGATATTGTACAAGTGAATTGGCTGTTTATTGGCAAGACAGCTGGATTTTTATAGGACTGAATATATAGTTACTCTTAGAAAACTAAATGAATCCAGATGTATGATGAGATGCTATAACAACCCGAGCCCCTCAAATAAATAGGTCGCATTCTATACGTTATGGTAACCAGCGTTACAAATTCAACCTATAATACAACCATACTTATCAAATATGATAAGTAACAGCTCATATATATCTGTTTTTTATGCATCGTATTAGACAGGTTAAGTGGGTTGTCTGGGTTCGTACGTTTCTGGTAAGATTAGGAGGTTAGATTTTGAACGTAATGACAGCACAAGAAAGCGGGTGGTATTATCGTACCTTCTGGAGAAATTGAAATTGAATTGAAATTGAAATAAGTTTATTGAGGTAAAATCCACACAAAGGGATGAGGTAGCTCAAGCTATTCTCACCCCGTTCAGTACATCGTGTTAATACATACATATACACACATCACAAACAATAAACATATTACCGAACATTTTGAGAGAGAAACATCTACATTTCCTCCTATACTTCTGGAGAAGTAAATAATACTTGTCATATATTTATTGATAGCGAACCTGAGTTGAAAACGTTTTCACAGCCGCTGTTTGGCTATTAAATATTTTGTGCGGGTGTTGGTATGTGTTGTGTTGGTATGTGTTGTGTTGGTATGTGTTGTGTTGGTATGTGTTGTGTTGGTATGTGTTGTGTTGGTATGTGTTGTGTTGTGTTGTGTTCTCTGGTGTTCTCTGACAATCTTGGGGCCAAATTCACGAAGCAGTTACGCAAGCACTTACGAACCTATACATCTTTTCTCAAACTTTGGCGGCTTTGTTTAACAATTATTAAACAGTTAATGAGCTCCGAAGCACCAGGAGGCTGTTTATAACTACTTGATGGGGAAGTTGCCATGCTTGTAAACTGTTAAATAAATGTAACCAAAGCCGTCAAAGATTGAGGAAATATGTACACGTTCGTAAGTACTTGCGTAACTGCTTCGTGAATCTGGCCCCAGGTAACTTGTATGTGTAGCAGCAGCAGCAGCAGCAGCGAGGGTGACCCGTCACGATAACATCAGTTATCATGCCGAGGCTGATGTCGAGTGAAGAACACGCCCGTATCTTAGGACTCAGTTAGATATATGTGTATATATATCTAACTTTATTTGAAAATGTATATATACACATACGTACACTGGCTACCTGTCCCCCGACAATGAATTACAAATATTAATTTTAACCATAATACCGCGGGGAGTAACCAGCGGAGGAACCGTAGAAAACGGTTACGAATCAGTGTTTAGGGAAGACTTTGCTAGTTGTAACTGTCGCACCCTCGTGTAAGGAATGGCAGAGAAAGTGAATGTTGAGAAAATAACAGTTTGTTAAAAGCCTGGCTAGCTGCCTTGTTTGGGGGAAACGAAGAGAACGGCTTGATAAGATTGCTCCTAAGGTCGCACAACAATTTCTTGGTATTTTATAACGGTTATCTTGAGATGGTTATCTTGAGATGATTTCGGGGCTTTTAAGTGTCCCCGCGGCCCGGTCCTCGACCAGGCCTCCACCCCCAGGAAGCAGCCCGTGACAGCTGACTAACACCCAGGTACCTATTTTACTGCTAGGTAACAGGGGCATAGGGTGAAAGAAACTCTGCCTATTGTTTCTCGCCTGCGTCCGGGATCGAACCCAGGACCACAGGATCACGGTTATTACTTCAACAGTTTTGGCAGTCAACGCCTTACACTATGCTCTCAATTCCAGGTGCTAATATATAATTTTTCTATGTTTGTTTGCTATATGAAGTGTTTGCTATAATAACCATCTATCTTCCTCCTCAAAAAAAGCATCAACATATTTACGTTCAGATATAACTGAAATATTATTTGTTTGGTATTAGTGAAAATATTTAACTTCCATAAATTGGATAAATTTATTATATCATTTATAGAAAAATATATTTTGAGCGAATTTTAATGCAAAAAATAGGTCATTTAGAAACAAAATTCGTTTTATGGAGAATGTAAAGTCTGTTGATCCGTGTATTGTGAGTCATCAAAATCGTATTAAAATTAACTGAGATTTGTATTTTCTCGACAAAATGTAGCTTCATAAATTCTGAACATTATACTTTTTTAACTATATAACTTTGTTTAGACCTTCAAATAACGTGAATTTAATGAATATTTTTTATAATAAAAAAATTACAAAAAGGAAGACTAAATTAATACTGGACCTTCAAATGTATGTTACGCAGCCTACAAAGCAATCAAACTCCTTTACTGTAAACAACTAGTAATGTTAATATGTGTCCCTATTTATTTTATGGAGACCGTGAAAAAAAACTGAAAAAATTAACATCCTAAGCCTAGTATAATTTGTTAGGTCTACGCCTGTATTAGGCTTAGGATTGCTTGGACAGGTTAGGTCAGATTCTTTAGTTACATTTCCAATTTAATAGTATGTCAATTGGACTAATTTAATAAATACAAAAAGTGAACTTGTGGAGGCCCAACAGGATATATCGGTAAGTTCAACCAAATAGTTGCTATAAGTTCCATCATTTTTATGAGGCTCGGCTGGATTTTCTGCAGTAATGTGTGTAAACATTGATCGTATACATGTGTATATCAGATTGTATGCCATGTATATCTTGCGTATACATGGCAGGTGTGGCAGCGCCTAGTGTACTACAGTACCTCTAGGTGCTGGTGCTGCAGTACCTAGATGTATTCCATCATACTCTTGTCTACTTCAATCGTGTACTGTTTTAGTGCCTCGTTGTGCTCCATTGTTCGTGTGGCAGGTGTGTGGCGAGGGGGAGAGGGAGGCAGTAACAGGTGTGTGGCGAGGGAGAGAGGCAGGCAGTAACAGGTGTGTGGCGAGGCAGTGGGAGGTGGCGGTAAGTGTTGACCAGCTGGTGGCAGGGAGGCGGTATTAAACGCAGCTGGTGCAGCTGTCTGGGTCACACACGTGCAGCTGGTCAGCCAACCCAGAGTCAGACAGACAGACCAACACAGGTTGATAAAAATGAAGAGTAGAGGGCGTGAGTGAGTGAGAGATAAGTGAGAGAGAGTGAAGTGAGGGGCGTGAGATTCATTCAGTAGTGAGGGGGGTCGAGGGGGCCCAGCTGCGCCGCTTGACATGCACACCACGTGCGCCGCGCAGTCTGCCCCACACGCCCGGGACCCTCACATTTACCATTATCTCCGGCTAACTTGCATGCTTTCCCGCCACCTTTTGGGTCACGCTGGAGACGCTAGAGAGGTACTTGAGGCGTGAGGCGGCGTGAGGGATATGTGAGGAGTGGGGGAGGAGTGTGTGTGAGGTGGTTAGTGGGCGGGGCGGGGTTAGGCCACGCCCCCCTGGGAGTGCGGGCTGTGATTGGGTGTCGAGGGCGAGTGAGGGGCGAGGGCCGGGGTCGGGGCGGCGAGGAGGGCCAGTTGTTGGTGTGGAGCTGGCGCCTCAACACGGGACCGTGGACCATGTTAGTGGTGTGTGGAGTGAGTCCGAGTGTGTGGTGATCACTAGTCAGGTGTAGAGCCATGTGGCGGCTCTTGTGTGCGCCACCGAACCTTGGGTCCGAGTAGGCGGGCCATCCCAGCACGCTGGACATGTGCCCTGGGTGGTGGGCGGGTCGCGGCTGCCTCTTCGGAGTGTTCTTGCTGCTGCTGCTGCTGGTGGCGGGCGGCGCGTCAGCCCCCGCCGCCCCTAGCACCACGCCCGGGGCCTCAGGGGCGCCACCGCAGCGTCGCCAGCATTCCGCCGGTGGGGCCTCGTGGGTCCCCCGGGCGCGCCGCCCCCCGCCGCCACCGCCAGACGTGGTGCCTGGGAGCCAGGTGGTGGCGCCCCTGGTGCCCGGCAGCACCGCCTCAGACCCCAGTCAGATGGTGCGCAATACGCGCAGCACTCTCGCCAACATCACCAGGAATTTTCGTCATCACCATATGTACCGGCAGCAGCTGTATAGTGAGAACGCTGGCCGGGTCATGAAGCTGCTCACTGACGGCACTGTACACTTCACTGACAACTTCACCGACCCTCACAGTGAGTAACTGCTCTCATTCTCCCTCACAGGTCACCCTCGTCATGCGGCACCCGCAGGTATACTCACGCAGTATACTCACGCAGTATACCCAACACTCACACCTCAACCCACACTGCCGCGCGCTCCTAATTACCCACAACAACACGGAATTGTGGCGCTCTTGCGCTGAAAGATGCCGTCCCGGGCTTAATGATATTCATAATAATGTAATTAGTAGAAACTGGTGAGGGGGGAGGGTAAGAGGTGGTGGGAGGAGTCATTAACAGGTGAGGGAGGTGAGTGGAGGTGTGAGTGTGGGGCTCAGACCCACGGGGGTACCACAGGCCTCACCTGAAGGTGCAGCTGCTGCAGGAGGGCCATGGCGCACCTCCCCCCACCCCCTACCCTACCAACCCCCCCCCCCCACCCACCCACCGCCGCCCCGCGCAGGCACTCGCCCGCTCTCTGGCCTTCTATAGGTGCCACTGGTCTATTGGAGGTCCCCCCCTGTCTGCAGGCTGTTGGTCCCCCTCTGTCTGCAGGCTGTTGGTCCCCCCCTGTCTGCAGGCTGTTGGTCCCCCTCTGTCTGCAGGCTGTTGGTCCCCCTCTGTCTGCAGGCTGTTGGTCCCCCTCTGTCTGCAGGCTGTTGGTCCCCCCCTGTCTGCAGGCTGTTGGTCCCCCTCTGTCTGCAGGCTGTTGGTCCCCCTCTGTCTGCAGGCTGTTGGAGGTTCCTTCCCCCTGTCTGCAGGCTGTTGGTCCCCCTCTGTCTGCAGGCTGTTGGTCCCCCTCTGTCTGCAGGCTGTTGGAGGTTCCTTCCCCCTGTCTGCAGGCTGTTGGCCCCCCCCTGTCTGCAGGCTGTTGGAGGTCCCTTCCCCCTGTCTGCAGGCTGTTGGTCCCCCCCTGTCTGCAGGCTGTTGGAGGTCCCCCCCCTGTCTGCAGGCTGTTGGTCCCCCCCTGTCTGCAGGCTGTTGGTGGTCCCCCCCTGTCTGCAGGCTGTTGGTCCCCCTCTGTCTGCAGGCTGTTGGTCCCCCTCTGTCTGCAGGCTGTTGGTCCCCCTCTGTCTGCAGGCTGTTGGAGGACCCTTCCCCCTGTCTGCAGGCTGTTGGAGGTCCCCCCCCTGTCTGCAGGCTGTTGGAGGTCCCCCCCCTGTCTGCAGGCTGTTGGTCCCCCCCTGTCTGCAGGCTGTTGGAGGTTCCCCCCCCCCGTCTGCAGGCTGTTGGTCCCCCTCTGTCTGCAGGCTGTTGGAGGTCCCTTCCCCCTGTCTGCAGGCTGTTGGAGGTCCCCCCCCTGTCTGCAGGCTGTTGGTCCCCCTCTGTCTGCAGGCTGTTGGAGGTCCCTTCCCCCTGTCTGCAGGCTGTTGGAGGTCCCCCCCCCTGTCTGCAGGCTGTTGGAGGTCCCCCCGCCTGTCTGCAGGCTGTTGGAGGTCCCCCCCTGTCTGCAGGCTGTTGGAGGTCCCCCCCTGTCTGCAGGCTGTTGGTCCCCCTCTGTCTGCAGGCTGTTGGGAGGTCCCTTCCCCCTGTCTGCAGGCTGTTGGAGGTCCCCCCCCTGTCTGCAGGCTGTTGGAGGTCCCCCCCCCCTGTCTGCAGGCTGTTGGAGGTCCCCTCCCCCTGTCTGCAGGCTGTTGGAGGTCCCCTCCCCCTGTCTGCAGGCTGTTGGAGGTCCCCTCCCCCTGTCTGCAGGCTGTTGGAGGTCCCCTCCCCCTGTCTGCAGGCTGTTGGAGGTCCCCTCCCCCTGTCTGCAGGCTGTTGGAGGTCCCCTCCCCCTGTCTGCAGGCTGTTGGAGGTCCCCTCCCCCTGTCTGCAGGCTGTTGGAGGTCCCCTCCCCCTGTCTGCAGGCTGTTGGAGGTCCCCTCCCCCTGTCTGCAGGCTGTTGGAGGTCCCCTCCCCCTGTCTGCAGGCTGTTGGAGGTCCCCTCCCCCTGTCTGCAGGCTGTTGGAGGTCCCCTCCCCCTGTCTGCAGGCTGTTGGAGGTCCCCTCCCCCTGTCTGCAGGCTGTTGGAGGTCCCCTCCCCCTGTCTGCAGGCTGTTGGAGGTCCCCTCCCCCTGTCTGCAGGCTGTTGGAGGTGCTCGTGTTTCGTATGCGCGCTATGACCAAAAGTGGACGTAATTTGAAATGAAATCTGCTGAGGAAAGTGACGTACTGTCCCGTTTTCTGTTTGAGTCGTCCGGCTTACTCGGAAAGGTTAGGAGAGGAAACTTTTATTTAACGTTTTTCATAACGTTTTGAAACTTTATGATTATTTCCTGCCCACCTAACCTACCAGAGGACCCTTAACTAAGGTACTCCTGCTGCAGCGTGTGTATACCTGCTTGATACCTGGTTGATGGGGTTCTGGGAGTTCTTCTACTCCCCAAGCCCGGCCCGAGGCCAGGCTCGACTTGTGAGAGTTTGGTCCACCAGGCTGTTGCTTGGAGCGGCCCGCAGGGCCACATACCCACCACATCCCGGTTGGTCCGGCACTTCTCTTAGAAAACAGTCCAGGTATACAAGGTCCCGCTGGTGTCTAGTAATTAGCAAGACTTGAAACACCTCTGGGCCTCTTGGTATTATTATGACGGCAGTGTTCTCTCATTCAGGTATATTCTGAAGCATGTCTGTGTGGTCTCGTACGTGTTGATGAACTGTAAAAGTGTTTGGGTAGTGAATGTAACATTTCTAAGGACCCTAGTTTACCACGGACCAGATTCACGAAGCAGTTACGCAAGCACTTACGAACCTGTACATCTTTCCTCAATCTTTGACGGCTTTGGTTACATTTATTAAACAGTTTACAAGCATGAAAACTTGCCATTCAACTGTTGTTATTGTTATAAATAGCCTCCTGGTGCTTCGGAGCTCATTAACTGTTTAATAATTGGAAACAAACCCGCCAAAGATTGAGAAAAGATGTTCAGGTTCGTAAGTGCTTGCGTAAGTGCTTTTGTGAATCTGGCCTCTGGTCTACTTGTAGTTGGTGTGTGGCAGGATTGTGGTTTGAGGAGTACAGGAAACTACTGAGAGACTTGTCAGTGGTCCTCAGGAGTGGGTTCTGTGACGGCTGAGACTATGCAACAGAGGTATTTGGGTCGAGACGGGTAATACGGGCTCACCATAGCCCGTGCTACTTGGAAACTTTTGTTCCGAGTAGCGAATCTTAAACAACAACAACAACAACGGGTAATAGACTCGCACAAGAGTGTCACTTACTCATACATAGATCATACATACATCATACATAGTTCACAAGTATGTGAACTATGGTGTTCAGTTTCTGAACCCATTATGTGCCTCTCACCCTTTCCACCACCGCCCATGGGATGGGTATAGGCTGCTTAATAAACGACATTACATGAAAGTGTGTGTATTTACTATTTGTCTGCAGAATCAGGCAAGCAGCCCTTAGCAGCTGTCTATCTCCCAGGTACCTATTTAATGCTAGGTGAAGAGAAGCATCAGGGTGAAAAAACTTTTCCCATTTGTTTCCGCCTCCGCCGGGAATGGAACCCGGGCTATTAGGACTTCGACCCCCCCCCCCCCCCTCAAAGTGCTGTCCACTCAGCCGCGAGGCCTCACAAATTGCGTGCTCACCTAGTTGTACTCAATTGTGCTTGCGGGGGTTGAGCTTTGTCTCTTTGGTCCCGCCTCTCTACCGTCAATCAACTGTTGTACAGATTCCCAAGCCTACTGGGCTCTATCATATCTACATTATAAACTGTGTATGGAGTCAGCCTCCACCACATCACTGCCTAATGCATTCCATCTGTTAATTACTGACACTGAATTTGTTTCTAATTTGTTTGTAGTTCATTTAGGTACCAAGTTTCCACCAGTGTCCCCTTGTTTCTGTCAGTGCATGTGTAAGAGTTAATGTGTAACTCATATATCTATCATTATTACCTTCACATGTATCAATAGATGTATATGAATGTAAGTACATAGGGACTGTTAGGAGGGTAGAAATAGCCTAAGCTACTCTATCCCTTTGAGATGTATTTATTGCTTATCTCAATAAACATACTTGAACTTGAACATAGGGACTGGTGGTGGAACTTAACACAGGTAGCACCTGTGTTATAACACAGGTAGCACCTGTGTTACCAGGTGCTTCAGTAACACCGCCAATACTGGTGGTGGAACTTAACACAGGTAGCACCTGTGTTACCAGGTGCTTCAGTAACACCGCCAATACTGGTGGTGGAACTTAACACAGGTAGCACCTGTGTTACCAGGTGCTTCAGTAACACCGCCAATACTGGTGGTGGAACTTAACACAGGTTGGACCTGTGTTACCAGGTGCTTCAGTAACACCGTCAATACTGGTGGTGGAACTTAACACAGGTAGCACCTGTGTTACCAGGTGCTTCAGTAACACCGCCAATACTGGTGGTGGAACTTAACACAGGTAGCACCTGTGTTACCAGGTGCTTCAGTAACACCGCCAATACTGGTGGTGGAACTTAACACAGGTAGGACCTGTGTTACCAGGTGCTTCAGTAACACCGTCAATACTGGTGGTGGAACTTAACACAGGTAGCACCTGTGTTACCAGGTGCTTCAGTAACACCGCCAATACTGGTGGTGGAACTTAACACAGGTAGCACCTGTGTTACCAGGTGCTTCAGTAACACCGCCAATACTGGTGGTGTTACTTCAGTATTGATATATGTGCAACGTTTCTATATGTAAGTGCATGTGTACGAATTAACGTGTAATGAGTTACGGTTTGATAGTAATGAAGGTACATACCGAGAGTGTCATGGGTGACCTTGGTGGTTCAATACATACAGGTTTTGGGTTGTGTGAGAGGTCAAGATAACACTATAAGCCAGGGCTCGTAACCTAGGCCTAATGCATAGGCCTATTGTGAGTAATTGGAGCATATCAAATGTGATGTTTATACCTATCAGTTCTTTTAATTGTGAAAAAAGTAGGGTGACTAGTTCAAATGTTGGTGGGAGGAGGTGGCTAATGTGGATAAAGTTAAATCCATGCAGATGGGGAGAGATGGAAAGTGTGTGAAAAAAAAAAAAAAAAAAAAAAAA